CCCATTTCCGTGAGGTCCTACCTCTCCACGAGGGAGCAACGACCCCTCCATGTCCCCATAGGGGACCGTGTTTTTTATGTTTTTATTATTTTAATGTTCCAAATACCTAATTTATTAATATTTAAATTTGAACATATTATATTTTCGATATTCTACAATTTCAATTCAATTTTTATCTACTCTGTATATTCTACGAGATTTTGATATAGCCTGTATTTTCGTAGGCGCTTGACATTGCCATCTGGCGGAATTTTCCAGAATTAACTAAAATACTCGTCAGGAAAATTCACCTGCCGAATTGTCTTTCCGCGTACTCTAAAGGAATTTTTGGAAACTGTCGTAGAGGCTGATAAGCGCCAGTTGGTAGAATAGAATAGCGGACGAGTAGACGAGCAGATAAGTAGACGAGTGGAGGAAATACTAACGCTGTAGACTGTTATTTACAACATTTATCTATTTTCCTTTTAATTGTTACAGTAGGTACACTCATTAGGAATCAAACGATAACATTACCGACATGGAAATTTATTGAGTATTTGCAATTCACATGGTTTTACCAGTTGGTTGTTCTGGGCTACCCTTCGGCGTAGTTCTCCAAAATCCCCATAGATGGCTATACTATGCCAACTTGTAAGAAGACATTAAATAAGGTATTAACATAAATATAATTTTTCTCATTAAACTGACATTACTATTCAGTATAAATTTAATAATTTATATTGCACGCTTCTAGTGGTGTAAGTTGACCTCATTTATTGCGTCCAAAAATGAGGTCCAACATTTCTAGCCAACCAGATCTCTCCCTATTAGTTTCCTTATTACTGTTACTTCATACTGAGTTAAATGAAAGTATTTTTTGAATGACTTACCTATAGAAGAACTTGCAGATGTTTCCAAATGAAAAATCGTGTCCTACTGGTGGATTCAATTGAAATTCTGTCTATTCTCACTCTGTCACTCATCTGATCCTCCAACCTCCATCAGAATGCGTATAACCGTCTGTAATAATTTACAACCAGAATTTTACCATCGTAATATCAAGTTAAAAAGAATTCTTTCTCATAAATGTAAGTCGATACCTTTTAAAAGCTATTAAAAATCAGAATGACTAAAATTTGTACGGTACGCTAGACACGTTGAGCGACCATGCTCGAATTCTCAGGTTGTAAAACTGTTTTATGATCCCATCAACTTCTGCCCCCTTAATAAATCCTTATTGAAAAAGATACTTACCAACTAAACGGAAGGATCTTCGGCCATTTAAATAAAAAAAATACCTGTACAAAATAGTGTGTACAAAATACCTTTTGGTTTACGAGCGTGAAAATATACAAGAGAAAAAAGAAATATTTATATCCCAACGAACGAGAGTGATTGAATAAAAAGAAAAATAACGTAATAGGTGAATAAAAAAAAAAAAATTCTAAAGATTATCCAACTGTAATTCAATGTGTGACGTTCGTGAAGGAAGAAAAAATTAAATAGTAACGTATTATCTACTGCATACGTGTATGCATAGTATGCTCGATTAAAACTAACTTCCCAACTTCTCTCGTTAACCGAGAGACTCCTGAAAGCAAAAAGCAGATAAAAATCTACCGTCAAACCTGGCGCGACATTCTCACAGCAATAAACATATTAAATTCCAGCCGGACTGAAAGCTATTGACCAAAAATATGACGAGTTCCGAACGTCGAGTGGGACATTAGCTGTTCGACGTGTCTAACATTCGTATCGAGTAGCGAATCTCAAGAGAGAAAGAGAGAGAGTCCGAAGTCCCGCTGTGCATTTGTGAGCATTTCTATTGAGCCGCTACTGTGCACTAAAGACACTTCAGAGCCATTGTGAACGCAGCATTACTCCTAAAGCGTCAATCCTAACCTAACGAAATTTCTTCCGAATCGCGTACGTGTCTGCTTACGAGTACCAGACTGATGAGAACAATGAGAAGATAAGAAAAATATAAATAAACAATAATTATAATTATATCAGTAAAGCGACAGTGTGCCTCCCGGTGGAAACGCGCCACAATGTGAAATTATTAACACGGCTTTACTTCGTGACAGCAAGGAAGGTCCCTCTTTTAGGTTAATTGTACCCATAGAAAAATAGCCAGGGAGTTCCATGCGACATAAAGGTATTTGCATCTGCGTACACGGCATAAATTTTCAGTATCGTCGCCCGACGCCTCTTGGAAACTGGACAATGGACGCTAACGAGGTTAAAGTTTTCGAGGGACGCGTGCCAAAATATTTGAGGGTGAAGGAAAAATCTGGAAAATTGATAGTCCTTGACTTTGTTGAGTTTTACATAAATTTCCTTTTTTTTCTTCTTTTTTTCGAACGGCAAAATTTATTCATTAAATATCTTCTGTACTTAGGACAGTGCACGTAAATGGGACTTCTTTCTGGGCCAGTCTTCAGGGAACGTCCACGACAAAAGGATTGTTCATGGAAAAATAATACACGCTACGTGCATTATAGGTACGGTTACTCGTGCTCAGTTTCGCATTAAAGACAGTTCGAGGGTCGTCGTACAATGGGGATAGTATTACATTGTGCAACAAGTATATTTAAAAAACACCCCTAAGAATACTCGAAGAGCTTCAAATAGGCCCGTATATATGGTTAGTGCGTGTAGCGTCGCGACGCGTCCTCAAAATATCGGTTAGATGGATACGAAATCAAAGGCCAGAGAAATATATGAAAAGAAAAATACCTTTTCTGCGCCGTAAGTATTTCTTACTCGTGTGCAACACATCCGGTGAATCGATTGTCAAACGAAAGACGAGAAGTAAATTGAGTGATGGGATTTATGTATAAATATCTTTTTTTTAAATCCGGGTGGACATTTCGCATATAAGATGACGTGTGTAGGATTTTGAATATTTTACGCATGACTGATTATATTGAGAAAAAAAAAGATACGTGGGATTTTACTGTAAACGGGAATACCTGTCGAATACGGCTAATTTCCGGTTACCCGAAAAGCCCCCAGAAAAATGATACGACTATGTGGGCTGAAAAATCCTGGTAAATACCACAAATTCACAATGGATTTTATGAGTCCTCGACTCTTTTGAAATATAAAAGTGTAACGACCAGCAGCCAGGTCGAGGATCAATAGATCACTCCTCGAGATGGGGATCTAAAGTCTAGTGTATTTTTTGCGAGTAAAGTCCCTAGGAATTGGAGGACGATAAAATCGAATTTGTCCAAACAGTAGGAGGGACGAAGAAAAAGTTTTATGGGGTGGCCTATGGGGTAAGTACACAACATAAGGTACGGACAAGCGAAACCTAAGGATTATGGGAAAAACGTCAAGTACTAACGAGAACCCCCTACGTTGGCAAGAGGGTTATTGACGATTTTACATGCATGCTACCTTCACGAGATCAATAGGTATGACGAATTAACGATTTGAGATAAAAGATCATATAATCAGATACGTTATTGATCCCAAAATCGATTAATATATGCGATCAAAAAATGGTATTATTCAAAACCATACAAGAAATTCAATACCACGTCGACGTTGCAGAAACACTTCGCCATGTTGGATTTACTTGGAAACAGTAAAATCAGCAACTTGACTTCTTACATCTATGGAAAGAAAAAAATACATTTTTCAAAATCGCCCTGTTTCTTTTAACCCTACGGACTCTACCAGGCACTCCAAAATCATTTCAGGCTTACCAATCTCAAGAGTACTCGAAAGTACCGCAGCTTTTAGGGACGTAGCAAAAGTTATTGTATCCAGCGGCCAATTCGGAGGGTGTTTGGGGTTCCTTGAAAGTACTCGAGCACTGACGCTTAGGGTGCCTTGGGAAAATTCATCGTTAAATGGTAAAACGTCACTCTGGCATTAGGAATCGACGTCGCGATGCTTCTAGTAGCCAGAAGAATTTTCATCCTGAAAGCAAAGATAGTTGGACCATAAGTGCCCCATATGCATACATACAGAGCGGTGGCGTAACGTACTAACATAGTACTAACCTTCGTGTCGAGGAATAAAATAAAGAAGAGGTTCAAGGCGATGGCTTACGAACCGTGAGTGTACTTGATTGAATGCGAATTAGCCCGGGGCGCGCTGGTCGTTCCTAAAGGTTCGTCAACCTGGGTGCACCAGGACATCAGTAAGTGTAGGTCAGTTAGACCAGAGGAACTGGTTCGATGAGATGTGGTTGGAAATCTAAGAACAAGAAAAAAATATTTTAACCTGTTACAATGTATACTCTGTACAATGAATTAATGGTTGATACGTTAATGACAGTGGTATGTGTTTCGCGAATAAAAATAAAAGAATCAATAACATAAGACGATTAAGGATTCACTGTTTAAAGATCTATAAGACATATCGTGCATGATCGTGCCCTCGTTCAAATGATTTTCAGCTACAAATTTATAAGTCATTATAATAAATCAAGGCAGGTATGTCCATACCAATTAAGACTGAAGAGAACAATAATTCAAGTAGTATTTATTTCGCACGAGCTATATAAACGGACGCTCGATAATAAAATGTTTCCAGAAAGCAATGAGATATAATCACGTCAAACAAATATCCAGCATCCTGATAAAATTACATACCTTTAACATTCGCTAATAAATTCTACATCAGCACAATTATTTATCCCTACACGCCTGTAATAATGACAGTATTGTCGCGTGACTCATGTGAGCTGCAGCTGCAGAGTTTTTCGCGCGTTAAATTATTTCGATTTTTCGCTAACTCTCCTGTACTCAAGGCAGATGCATTATAAGGTTGAATCTCCTTCGTGTCATTGGCTGCATTTCCAGTTACCTTCCACCTTCCACCTTTTATCTTTTCCTTCACCTTGGCTGTACCAACGCAGCAGCAATTAAGATCCATCCACACGCCTTCCCAATCACCAAGTCGTTTTACTTTTTGTCCTCATATTCCTTTATCAGCTATCTTCAGGCAGTATCTCTTCTTCGATTATCCACACAGCGTATAAGATACGTCCGTGGTCCATTGACGGCATCTGGGACATCAAGAGAAAAGGAAGAAAAGACTCCCCCACCGTCCTCTTGACTCTCCTGGGTTTTATCTGGGCTTAAGTCGGGATTAACAATGAGGGATGAAGCGGCATCTGGACTAGGCCCTGGGATCATTGCCACTGAAATGATAAGAAAAATATAGTGAGCGATAAACCTCAAGACCATTAAACCAGCCAATCAAGTGGCTCCCGATTAATCCAAAGAACAAGAAATACACATGTACGTGTTACCTGAAAACCTCAAACAAGTCTATTAATACCAATACCAAATGTCATTTAAAACCTAACTCTTTCTCATGCAATTTCCAAAAGTAAATCAGAAGAGACGCAATCCTCTCGAAAAATCCTTTATGTTTGTTGCCTTTAGAATCCGGCAGTAGCAGCTACAAATCCATTGTCCATAAAACATATGTTCCCAGCAGACAGAGAGACGACTACGATTTGAGTACCCATGGCCCGGCCGGACGAGCAGACCCGCTGTACAGATAGTCAGACAGTCAGACAAGCGAAGCAGCAAGCAAGAGAGAAGAATATGGCACCTGGACCAGCACGCGCCTACTTCTGCAGGAGGGAGCAGAAAAACCGCCCGTGAATACCGATGGGAAGCATTGTGGTTACGTTAGAGAATGGTGAACCCATAATGCGTACGTAACGCACAACATTGTAGCCGGGATAACGACATTAGCGGGGACAATGAACAGCTTGAGAAAAACAGCATTAGAAACCCTTCGGATACCTAGGAAAATCCAGTTAGGATTTTTCACCCATAGCCACACGCCTACGTTTATCGCAAGGGTAAAAGAAGAGGGTACGCTCATAAGCGCCCTGTGAATATAACGTTGTCACATAAAATTGTTCAGCGCTTTAACGTTAACTCATATAAGGATATATTGGATGTTCAAGGATGAAATTTGTAGAAAAAAAAAAGGGCAAAGTTAGTTGACAACTACAAATTTCATTCTTGACAACCCAATATATGAATATAAGTAGCAGTTATGAACTTGCTTGAAAATCTTATGGTTTCCCATATAACCGCCTATCCTAAAGTACCGAATGACTTCATTTACAAACATGAACGACGTGGCTGCGTTATTTGTAAGTGGCTATTAATTTCGAACAGGTGTCTGAGCACTTTCGTCGTAAATTAAAGGTTCGCTTGGGAACTTGTAATGGTCGACGCGTAACGCATATACGCATATAGGTGAAGTCAGGGCTATGTACTAATGCGTAGTTAGGTGATTGCGCTAAAAAATCGTAAATCACTGTGCTAGCCTCTTTACGAGTTTCTGGACGTCTTTACTAATATTCTTATCTAATTATGAGATTAAGATTGAAATAAGCGCGCGCTTTTGAAATATCGCACGTAGCTTAAAATTATACGAGCTCGTCGTCGTTAATTTTACAATAAAGTCAACCCGTTTGGGTGCTCTTCGACGTGGCCGCTAAAAGACCGGCATTTGCGTACAAACGACTCAACGTACCAATTTATTGATAATTCAAACCCATCCGAGGAAGGCCGTGAATATAGTAACTGGTCACTTCGTGGAATACGATTGGCGGTATCTGCAAAGAAGAAGATTTGAGTAAATAAATAAATAATAATAGTACTGCTGAATGCATGAGAAAAAGAAGAGAGGATGATCATTAGCAGACAATAATCCTTTCAGAAAATCTTTCATATATAACACTGGTTGACTTGACTAAAGTGAAACTAAAGATGAAATGTATTGACAGGGTATTGATAAGGTGTACAGATATAAAACATACGTATATAATCGCTGAACTTGATTCCAGTGAAAAGAGCCAGCGCTGATCATTGAAATTTTTCTCCACGGTCTCAGGTCACTTTCCATCTTTGCCAATCTCAGACGCCTCTGTTTTCCGCAAAGATCTACCGACGAATACGCGTGTGGATAATCGCTCTTCTTCGGCCTACGGACAAAGAGAGAGAGAGAGAGATAAGAGGTGGAAAGGAGTGACCAACTTTACAGCCACGAAGACTTCAACGAAATTGTAGGTTACGTTACAATAAATAGTTGAACCTCGAGACTGATTGTAAAGCAACCAGATCAACGTAGCCTTTCCGTATTAAAATTCCTCGTATTATCTATATTCATTCTTCTTATTACTCATTAACGTGCCTTCACGAGCATTGTGCATGATTCCTTCATACAATGTATCTTGGCTAATGATACAAGAAGATACCACGGGCAACTGATAATAGCAGATGGGCGGTTATACCATGTGGTTTCCGATATTCCCTGTCCGCACTGTCTGCCGTTTTATTCATCCTTTTCGCAGGGACAGCAGACGAGGGGACCAGGAGAAGCAGGACCTGTCGGCCTCGAGACTAAAGTAGCAAGGAAAAAGCAATCTTATAATAATTACATTCTCGATCTTTTTATCTACAGTACTGACGCTAACCATGTATTACACTACCTGTGCAAACGTACGAGTGATCCACATGTGACAATTCAGAGTCTATGTACCTAGAAATGTTATATAGGCCATCTCCTTCAATCCCAAGAGACGCACGAAGCGGGACGTAAGAAATGGAGGACGATGCTTTTGGAGATGCCGCCCCAGTCAGCGCAGGAGATAGCACAATGGCACTTGTCGCAGAAAAGCCAGCGTCAGGCCCAGATTCCGCACCGTGCAGAACAGGCCCCGTCACTTTGTCACGTTCCTGACTGCTCCTCGAGGGGATGCCCAGCCACTACCTGAAAGAGAGCAAGAGAGAGAGTGAGATAAGACTATCCGGGATGAAGTCGACAGGAGACAACTTACTCGATGCACCGAAGCGGACCTCGTAAATAAAACATTTTGTAGCCGGTTTCGCGGTGCGGTCAGGACGATCAGGGGCCCACCTACCAGAAAAGGGCTACCTGGCCTCGAGGATGAGGTCTTCATTCAACCTGGTTGTTTGGCAGCCTAACGCGGTTACGTATACTTGTTACTATGCCTTGGTTCAAGGGTGACACTATGGCTGGTGGTACTCTTCTTAGGGTGCCATTGACTCCGAGACGGTCGACTCCTGGACAATGCTGACTGTCAAAAGAAATATCTTTAGTACAGATGTTAATCGCCTGGGAATCGCGGGTGGCTCGATATTTCTTTTTTGACTCGTACGTACCTTGGAAACCTGCTGATTGAATATGAAATCGAGTATGTTTTCAAGATGATACAATACCGTCCCGTACGTTGCATATGTGGCTCACTATACCCATATTAGTGATCCATCACCATTCCTATAAAAGGTCCTTTACCTTTTGTCAAATAGGCTCGATCCCACATTAATCTGCCCAAGCGCCGATCAGATAAGACAAGTGCTTCTCGTCCTTTACTTTTTTATTCCAGGATATCGAGGATATAATAATAAAGTCTTCGCAGGGTCTCCGTTCTGGCACCTAGAGGACATTTCAAAGTATACATTCTTTTTTCCAAGGGTGCGTGAATACCGGGAGTCGCATTGAGTGACAGCAAAGATAGGTGTGGGGTGAAACGGTGAAAGGAATGCTAAGAAGAAAATATCTGTTCGATCTTGCGTTACTATTTTCTTTTTCCTCTCCTTCCTTCACTCGTTCCTTATACTTTCTTCGTTTCGTAAAGTCAGCCAACGTCACACTGCGTGTCACTCTGTAGAGCTATATTATGCATCTGTATGTATGTATATATATATATTCAATAAAAATGGACTTTCCCAACTTTCAGTCCACCACCCGGTAATGTCATTTTCACTCAGAGCTTGTCCCGAGCCCCGGTGATGTTTACAGTCAAGAATGCGAATAACTTAATAAAAGAAATAATCAGGAGAAGCGGCATTTTCAGTGCACTTACCCAAGGCGGCTGATTAAACAAGAAACGATCGACGAGCAAAACCAGAAATTCCATCAGGGAATCAAGCGAATACGAATTAATCGGGATAATTAAGTTTTGAGCGCAGCTTTGAGATGAATTCAACGGTCATACACAACGATGTTATCGCTCTATAGGTAACTTGTTTGCAGCTGCAACATTTTTCCTAGACGTTGCAACCCGTACATAACCCAAGTACATGGGACAGTAGGCAGCAGTCTTATACACTGTATACTTACGCGCGTTGCTGTCTGCTTGAAATTTTTCTTTTCACACAGAATTCACCTGGCCAGGTAATTGCTGTAAGTGTACGTTAACGAATTATGCCAAGATCTGTGTGATTACTTAGAATCGATCAAAGGTTTCCGATAAATAACGTTGATTCATCGATCACCGATACGCAAGAATCTCTCATAACGAACTACAAAAAGTTGAACTAGTAGAAGGCAGATGGCGTTGCAATAGAACACATTTTAAATTACCCAGTCAAATGACAGTTTTGAAATTCTTATCGACAATGAACCTGCCACCGTAGAAAATGGCAGCTCCGTTAGCCTTTAGTATCCTTGAGGATTTAAATCTTGCGAACTGCCGGAATGGGCGGACAAATTATCGTCTCGAATCACAACAAAGTGTGCCCATTTTTTTTTTTCGGGTATCCTTCCTCTTACGCTCCTTTATGTGGCAAGGGATGGAGCATATGATTTATTAAAATCTCAACGTCTACCCTCTTCGTCTAAGGGGTGCCTACTGCTGGACCCCCACGTTGACGAAATGGTTCTCCCTCATGAAATTCTTTGGTGGTCGACACTAGAAAACTCTATGGTATTACATAGGTAGTGGATATATATCAATGAATGATCAGGGGAATTTTGAGTTACAGAGAAATTGAAAAAATAAATAAAAATATGCTTTTACCTGTACTAAGAAAAAAACGTTCGTGGATAATAAATTATTTTGAAAGACGGTAACAACCTTCAGCTTGCTCTACTATTTATATAAAATAATTTTTTCTATTAGCCATTTTTTAATGTTTGATCAAACAGGTAATAGGTGTATGGAGCCACCTGCTTGTGGTTGCAGCTGCTTTTTCAAAATTCAAAATAAAATCCTTGCCACAAAAATAAAGCTTCATTGACTCTCATTGAGTCTTGCTAACGTCAGTCACTTCACAGTAATAACAGTTTTTCCGATTATCAATAAATATTATTCTGATCAAACAACCATGTGCTTTGGACATTTTTTTATGTATTTTTTTCAAACTTCAAGGAGCGGTACCAAGCAGGTTAACAGGTTCTTGGATGCAGCATTGACAGAATACAAGGTGCACCAACCAGTGCAAATAAAAGAACTATCCTTACTTAGCAACGTGCAACAATCCTATTCCACATTAAAGAACCAGATAAAAAAACTAATTGTACAAAATTATAAAAAAAGAAACCTGGCAAAATAAATTCAACCCCCCGGTTAGTATCCAAAGGGTGAAACAGGCAGATGTGCCCCACGAACGCATCGAAGAATCGCTCCTGGATATGCACACGTCGAAAGATGACACCAACGATATATATTATTTATTTTCTAAGGGGTTGCGATTTGACCCTGCCACCCCTTTTAAAGACGTTCCCGTACCCCCTGTAGTTACCGATCAGATAGTAGGTACCGACATACCAGGAACTGTCCACTGCACGCACCCCGAGGACAAGAGTTCCTATAGGCACATGAATAAAATATATCACACACAAATGATAAAACCGTAAGGCTCAATGGCTGCATGCACGAGAGTCAATAAAAAAGAAAACTGCATATCGTTATCTCACCGTAAACAAAAATATTCAAAGTAACCACGTTCAAAAGAGCCGCCAGCGATCGATCGCAAATGCAATTCGAGAAGGCGTCGCTGAACGATCGGGCGTGTCGTTGCACAGAAAAAGGAACATCTCGCCTATGTAGCAGCTAAATATCAAGGTCATTCAAAAAGATTGATTGCATCCAGTTGAGAGAGCGCATGCGTGATAGAGCTCCATGAAGGGCATGGGCGAGAGGTGGCGTCACGATGCCCTTTTTTTTTTCATACATATATAAACGTAAGTATAGACGTCGAACGACAAGTTACCCGAAGCGTCGACTGTATAAAAATCTGCAAGAGGATAATGACATAGAGCCTCCATATAAAACGTAAGATTTTCTGTAAGACAGAGTGGGGGATCCACGGCACGCGACCGTCCTCTCTAACCGGCTACAAGCATCAAGGCGAGTCTCCACGCACGGAGACTACACGGTGTCCATATATACGTGTGTGCGATAAGGAGCTGAACGATGGGTGCATCCGAGAAGAGAGAAGGAAGATGGGGGAAGACTCGTCTTGAGCAGGAGAAAAAAGAAAGTAAAAGGAATCGGTAAAGAGAATACACGTTGACCTTGGAAGTCCTAACCCACTTCTAATGCGCAACGACATCCCGACACGTCCACGTGCGCCTTATACGTGGAATTTTCATAGATTCCAGCATGCACCTCGATCTTGGCGGGAATTCCTGCACCGTTTGAATCGTCCTGATGTAAACGATTAGAAAATTCCGTATGCGAGTCAAGGACGCGTTTCGTCGCATGTCAAAGCTTCCTGTACGTAGTATGGATCTCTGCTGAATGGGTTGTATGAGAATTTGTCTTCCTTCGGAAAGGTCCCATTTTCAAGAATTCAGAAGAACGTTACCAACGCAACGTGAAGAATCGTAATTCGATTTGTTAGCTGGTCAGCATTCCTGAAACGTAAAACAGAGGATCGTTATTATCGTCGGAAAGGTGGAGAGTTCTGAAAATTCATGTAAAATTTTATTTACGGGTAAAAAAAATAGTTATGGCTATTCCTACGGAACAGAGGAGTGTGAATAATCTGTAAATAAGTGTCAAATGGTCAACGCATGGTACACCTACCCAAATGCGACACACGTGGGACGTACGGTCCTGCGTACGCGAGAGATTAATGACTGTTAGTCACAGAAATTTCATCGCGGCTCACGGAAGCTGCGGGAGTAATGACTTTTTCTTAATACATTAAGTCGACGATCAGACGTAGAGCAATAATTTTAACGCCTCGAGGAATAGCGTATGACAAATCGTACGGGTGTCCACGGAAACCTGATGCCATAGTAATGACTAAAACGAAATCCATGGACCAAAGGAAAGAAAAGAATTTCGAAGTTTCTATACCTGCCGTGAGTGCGAGAGAGACGGGCTTATGCGTCTTTGGGTGGGTAAGAGAAAGACGGATATACCAAAAAGTCAAATCCTTAATATAGATACCTTCTCGCTTGATCTTCCCAAAAATTTCGAGTAGCCGTAACTTCTAAACCGTTAGAGATATCAAAAATTACCAATTATAGTTTTTGCTCATATTTTTATCAAGGAACTCGAAAATGTTCACGATATTCCCGCAATGCAATTTTTCACGTACTTCTGAATACCTAGTGACCGCATATACTATAACTGTCAAGTTAACGCGTGTGCATTTAATATAATTTTATGTAATTATATTAAAAAAATATAAACGCATAGATAAGAGATGCGTAGACCATCCGAACCCATGGTATCAGTAGCTGATGGCGTAGTGCGTGCGCGCGCCTTACTCGTGCCAGTAATGAGCCCGCATGGCGGGACTCTCGACGTGTTTCAAATGCACAATACAGAAACGTAGGTACGTAGTGGAAAAGAGAAGCGCACGTCAAGCGGACAACACAAATAGACTACCACACGGGGCCTAACACCTGCCTTTGGTGTCACCGTGAACGGCACGAGGCGTTCGCGAGGCACGAGGTGAAAGAGAGAAAAGGAAAAAATAAAAAAAAAAATAAATGGCTGATCATAAAACGGGCCTTGCAAGAAGACACTTTTAACGTAGGGTTAAAAATCTTATGGCCAAAGCTTACGACGCTTGGAGCGATTAGGATACCCATACGTATGCCTAGGGATACCCCTCAACGGCTCACTGGTTAAAATTATGACTCGCGGTTTGCCAAGATGTCAAAACGTACAGATACGAATCCGGTCGAGCAGATGGAAAAGGTGCGCGCATCCTTTGGCACCCAAGTACGTATCCGCTGTGGCGAAGTATCCTTGCGGCTGTTTTCTAGGTTAGGATTCTTCGAGTCCATCCTTTATGGGTACCGTTTCCATCCCTTGGTCGCTTCCATGATGTTTTATCCTTCATCTACGATCTCGTGTTACGAAAACCCTTGCGAATGGATCTGGAAGCGGTTAAGATATGATAACAGTGACTTAACGTATGGGACAGATGGTTTATAAACAATTAACTAGACGGTGGATCGTTGGTAAGGTATAAAATAAATATTAGGAAAGAAAGAAAAATTAAGTAATAAATACCTCAGAGCCGAACGAGCAAATAATGGAGCAATGGCGTAAGCATATACAATGGCCTCATGGCGTTTTGCGGTTTTTTCATTTTGGCACGCGCACGCCCTGCCCCGTGTAAGAGGATACCGCACAAAGCGCTTTATTGTATGAAATTCAATACCCGCTAAATGCCATAGGGACACGTGGGGGATGGCCGTGCGTGTCTCACAGGGACGGGGTACGTGTGTAGCTCGTTCATACGCCAGTTCCAGGATCGCGTCCTTCCACCAAATACTAGGTAGACCGATTATCCCTGGAACGGTCTGATGAAAGTAACGCATTCTTCAATCTAGAACAGTGTTGAAGAGCGATATTGTAGAAATAAAAATAAACTCTGAGTTAGTCTGGTAGGTGGACTGTACACAGTGATGGAAATAAGGTCGCTTGATGGTGGCGCAATGTAAAATCAATTATTCAAATCGTTTCCAGGAGCAGTCAGTACTGCTGACGCCACAGGTAGCCTGGAAATAAAAAAAATAATTAATTTCAGTTACAACGTTTATCCAAGAAATTATATATTTAATTCAAAAATATATATACTTTACCTATGAAGTACTTTAATGCATAAGACAGGTGCATCAAACCATAAGTGCATAGGTGTCATTGCATCTGCTGACATTATTCAGTAAATATAACTGTTTATCGATAATAGCAGATACTTTGGCACTGTATTGATTTGATAGACTCCCGTGTCTCCTGTAAAAAAAAATATTAATTGATACCAACCCAATAAGTGTAACAAATCATATCATGACATTAGGCCTTATATTCATCACATCTGTTTACATCATGGTGGTATATCTATATGGGACAAGGGATGATATGGACCATGTATAGAAATTCAACGTCTGATCAATTACCCTGATAGGGATGATGATGCTGCGAGAACGAGCATGGCGAATCTATATAACGTGGCATATTGTCGGTATAGAGGATAGTCGCGTTTATGGTGTTAACTTTGGGGTATTGAGGGAGGGTGTAGGTACAGTGTAGACGCTGCATGGGGTTGATGCGATGGCATTTGCCATGAGCCTGGTGCATTTACGATTGTAAATGGTCAACTGATGACGCGATATACGTACACCAGACGGAGTTAGTCACGACGGGAGTCGTCATTAGTCATTTGTAAAGTCATTAATTGACGATTGTGAATTTGCGAATTTTCCTCCAATCGATATATATATATATAAATTCACGTATATTAAATGCATATATGTATATTACTCCATGTTCCTGAAAAAGAAAAAAAAATAGGAAGATTAATCGTTATCAGCTTGCATTGTCACATTAACAGCTAAGAGAAGCGAGCTTTCGAACGGGCCAAGAGACAATATGGAAAGTCCACCGTGAGATAATCAGCCCGTATGTTATAATCGTTATGTATTTGTTTCAGCCATTATCTTTTTGCGTCGTGCTTCACCTGCTCGCATAAATAAAATACACGCATGAAGATTGGCCTCTTCTAGTTGGACGTACATATATATTTTTCTTTTTTTTTTTCTAGAAAGTCACTAGCTGCTGCGTTTAAGCGATAACGGTACGTTATACGTAAGCTAGCAATTGTATAATTAATAGCATCCCACATTGTGCAATATCGAGAATGCATATTTATAGGTTAAACACGGTGCACCGAAGTGTCAGAGACCGTTGGCGAGGATATTCGTAAGAGAAGCGAAAGAAAAAATTAAAAGCACGTACTATGTATTTAAAGAACTAATATTATTTGGAACTGGTACCTGGACGTAGAAGGACGACGCTCCGAAACTTCTACGAAGACTGTGAATCCGCATATTTGCCTATGAAAAGATCGAAGACACCTGAGGCGCCACACACCGTGTTGGTAACTCAAAACTACCTAGAGAGGCATCGCGCGACAGACATGTCCCTGCACAAAAGATCCTGAAACCCCTTTTGAAGCGACCAGTATCACCTTTCTATTGATGCACCGTGCATTTTTGAGTACACCCTGTAGAAGAGATGCCAAGATCGAAGGGATTGACGACGATAAATAAGAGCACCGAACCGACGTAAGGACAGTCCATGAGATTTTTCGTGTAACAAGAATTACCTAAAACTTTTCTTTTTTTTAAACCTACCCAAAGACACTGGCAGATACAGGCTGATACGTAAATAATAGACAGTATGGCGATCACAGGAGGTAACTCAGCGACGCGTAAACGCAAACGCAACAGTACTTTATACGCAGTATTGCTGGGATGAATCAGAAATTTACATGCGTAATTGCACCGATTATGCTTTCGTGCAACTGGTGTTGAATTGACCCACGTAGAGGGTGAAGGCAGATCGCCGCGTACGTGGATACGCATGATAAAGGTAGAGGGGATGACATAACCTAACCTGGATTAGGGTAGTAAATGTTGCCGGTGTCGAAGGCATTTATGCGAAGGTATGTACTGGACTAAGGGCTGGATCGTAATGGGGTGTAGGCCGTTTAGAGTGAGAATAAATTAACCCGCGGTTGGTCACAGTCGCGACAGATGTCTCTGAGGAGCAGCATGGCGTCGGAAAAGCGCAGTTTTTATGAAATCTGATAAATACAGATGACGTTCGTGTCGGCGTCGTTACGTAAAGGAGTTGAATTACGTTGAACACGGGCGATACGTGGAGTCTGACAGACGTATTTTATAATAAAGAGAAGTAACCTGGTGGGTGCCAAATAGTATTATAAATGCCGACAGTACCGTGATGCATTGGAATGGCTAAAAGAGAAATGGGTGTGGGAGTTTAATTAAACGTTAGATCCGTATAATTATACAATCGTTATTTCGACAAATTGTACCCGGGAACCGTGGACTATCGCGTACCTAGATCTACCCTATCTCACGAAGGACAATTACGAATTTCGTGTAAGAGCGAGATGAATTAAGAGAAGGGAAATAGAGCATGGTATGAGAATCCACGTACATAACCTATGATTCATGTCTTAACGCGTCTTCTTTACCAACGATTATATACAGCTAAATGAATATGTACACGAAACTTGGACTAATTCGATTTTCTCTCGTTACGTCGTGTCTATAGCACAGTCCCTGCTACACCGTCCGGGTTCTACATTACGTTTTTCATTAACAGCCGACAAGGGAGCTCGAGAGGAAGACAAGGAGCCATGCTGAAAAACGTCTTGAGCACTGGAAGTATGGCTACTCGAACTATCACGCCATAGAAACCTGAGACAAAAGGGAAGTGGAACTGTAAAGGAGCATTCGTCCAGTGTGTGCCCTTAAAAGAACTCTTAATGAACAAGGGTGAAGTACTCTACCACCAGGTAGACTATAAACTCCCTATGTCTTTACCAAGCAACACGTGGACAGTACCAAGCACTTAGTAAGCGCGATCGTTCGGTTACGGTGGTTAAGTAAATTAGCGTTCGCGGTGAATAAATTCTTCACGCTACTTGGAGCTCGTCCCATGTTATAGGTACGTACGTATACACTGCATCCCCTACCTTCTCCAGCACAGGACACGTAGTCACCTCTCGTCTACAGGGGGTAGATTCACCGGCATATGGCATCCAGAATAAATTTCATCACCAGAAGTTCTAGAATGAAAAAAAAAAGAATACGAGAAAACCATACACAATCCACACGAGTTCCAGTTTCATCCAAAAGGATCCTGAATAGCCAAGGCAGATGCTTCAAGTATTTTTGGTATGTCTACGCCCGTGCACGGCAGCCTCGCTCGTCGTCGGCGCTTATAATAAGAGTAATAAACGAATTAAAGAGGGTGCCCGCCACGCCACTTTACGGCCCCGAGACTCTTCACTTTGGTTAGGGTGGTCCTTTAACTGGTTCAATTAGACTATCCATCCCTGCCAGGGTTAAACTCCTGGTTATACACGTTCTCTGCACACCAGAATATATTACATACGATCACGCAGTTCTTACACGTCTTCATCTACGTACGATACATATATACATAATCTACGGATGTCTCATTGTATGAAATACATAAATTTATAAAATATATATCTTAATTACATAGCACTACGTATATACGAATTCTACTTGGCAACGACAAGAGCTTGCCACTAGATAAACATCTTCCCGAGGTCGGCACTTCGCTCTCATCTCTCCCTTCCTGATGTGGCTTAACTTCCTACGTGGCCGTTAGTTCCAACCCGGACAGGGTATTCCTACACCCAGAGTATGTACATACACGCGAGGAGAGTGCCGCAGTGCGTACGTAACGCGTAACTACTGTCCCCGGAGCTTTGTGGCTTTGGAGCTTTGTGCATTCTCCGAAACAATAGGTCTACGAAGAGGTTAGGAAGGGTGTGTTTGTGACACCCGTTAGATAAACAGAGCTGGATATCGCACTGGGGATATCATCCCTTATGAAATCCGCGTTCCTCGATGATCCTACTAGCCCGAATCGACCTGTAACAATAGAATACTGTTAATTACCAAAATTATGTAAAAATAATAATAAAAATACCAATTATATAAATATAATAATAATTTAACGCCAGAAGCATGCGTCAAAAGATATTTAACATTTACAAAACACCCTCAGGACAACCTTAACTCCTACAAAATCTTCCCACACCAATCAAAGAGCACCCTTCGTAACATACGTTTCCTAACCCCCACGCCGCACCCACGGGACTACTCTTCCATCCCCCCGGAGAGTTATCTACCCTTAGCTGGTACAACGAACGCTCCTAGAATCTCCCCTTAATACCGTTCATACGTAGGCACAGCTATTCGCGCGAACAATATTTTTCTTACAGCAATTATCGATGTACGATCGATTCTATACAATTTGTATAATCATAATTATAATGTAAATTAAATAAAAATTTTTTTTCATGACCGTCGCATATTCCATTCTATACACCTAATCTAATGCATACACATACGAGCCCAATCGTTAGCAACGTAACGATTTGCTTGGCGAGACACTTAAGGCGCATTCACACGAGCCACTCAAGCCTCGAGTAATGCGAGCAGGATGTTTATGGGGTCCTCTTAGACTGGTAGCGTATTGCTCGTCTCTGCAGGGGGTCTATACGCGCACCCGTACCCCCATGCTGTCAGTGGAGAGCTCCCTCCCTTCCACCCCCTTCTACAGACCGCTTATGTATATCCATGGGAAACGCTTAAATATTGCTTTATTTCATCGTACGAAGATACATTTGTTCTGGTGGCAACAATGGAGCCGTCCGGTTGGCAGTTTGTAAATTCAAAGATTTTTAAGGTTTACGGTGTACCGACAGTAGGTACCGTTTATGAGGTTATGGTAAAACTCTGTATACACGATGGTTAACTTTGACTTATGGTATCGTATGAAATTGACAGTGATTACAGTCATTGGGTAATCATCCTCCAGATTATCCCATAGGACTTTGGGGGAGGATAGGTCAATGTCTAATTAACCATGAAACAGTTACGAGCTAGTCAAGTTTTGTATGGGGGGGGTGGAGGAGGGAGTTGAGTTTTATCTGGATGGAGTTAATGTCATCGCTAGGTTAAGGGACGTTTTTAGGGGGGGATTCTATGGTGGACACGTGACCATCAGGCTCCGCACGTGGTCTATGACCACCAGGTGGCTACGGTCACGGCACCACATCGTTAAACGCTGATACCGTGATAAGAGTTCTTCTCTACACCCCCCTAGTGAAACGACCTAAAGGCTATCCTTATACGCAGCGGGGTGCAAGTGGTATAGGGTTGTTTGGTTGACATTTTTTTAGTTTCTCGTGGGAGAGTATACGAACGGATTGAATGTTTAAAAAATTGAAATTTGAAAAATTTGTTTTCGAAAAATTCGTGGACTTGGAATTTCATGGGACGAAGTGAATTTTTCATGGGAACGAGTGCATTAATAATTATGATGGTTTATATGTGGGCGGTTTGACGGACCAATAAGGCATGACATGACCGATCAGTTTACCATTCACTTTGTATTACTTTTTCCACGTAGCATCCACTATCTTCCTATCTTGCTACGTGGAGTTCACACGAGTCAGTGAGGAACGGCTTTGGTATTAGGGGTGGCGTTACATAATAGGGGATGATTGCCGTTTGACAAGACCCTTTTATAAACCTTTTAATTCATCGATAGATTATGCCGGATTCTACGTGCCCCTCAGGAAAACCCCATACACCTTTTTTTTTTTCTCATTACACCCCGTACTGTTACTCGCCCCTTAAATATATATACATTACACCAAAATTACATGTAGTATATAACATACTTTTTGTGACGATATCGATCAGAGATCAATTATTGATCTGTATATTATTGAATATTGACAATAAAGGGTGATCATTAACAAACGTAAGGATCGAATGAATAAGTTAATTTCACCCGGTACATTAATCCTGTACAACCTCATATAAATGCCTATAAATAATAAAAGCCCGCAAGACTAAGGGATGCTCAGAAATTTGCGGATCATGGGAATGAATAAATGAATGGGGTATAAAAATTTTCGAATAACGCAACCAATCCTCCCATATGTCGAGCCCCGTATAGAATTACGCGCAATGCAGGAGAAAAGGTGTGCTGGAGGCAGCATTGGTTATAGCTTATAGGTTAGGTATCTATCTTGGGACATCGGTCCGCCATGAAAGATCATTTAATACGGTTCGAGTGTCCATTGAAAAGGCATTATGGGTCCTGTGACGGTTTTCGGGGGCGCGTGCCGAGACTGAATGATTTGCAAAATAAACGTTCCTTCCTTGTCGCTTCGTTTCGTTGCTCCGTCACTCAGCCATTTTCCGATCCCCGCAGACTGCGAGCGAATCTCGTGACTTCGCGGAAACACACTCCACGAGTGGTCCCCATTGATCCCGTACAATTTTTATTTCGGATGCTGCGTGGATGATGTACGAGTCCACATTGTGATCGTAGTCTAGGAAAAGTTCCTGAAGCCTTTATCCCACGTTCTTTGTATCCCGGTATCCCTGTAACCGGAAATGGAGAGTATCACCTTTGTGACCAAGGAGAAAGACTCACTTAAATGTCCGGTGGTTGTCAATTTTTAAATTACCCACATAGACGTGGACTCTTCATTTATTTTCAGCGCCAGTCTTGTTTACTGGTATCCGGAACTGTGGCTACGTCATTGGACTTCCGGTTGGGTCTTTGTACCGGGATGATTGGCGCGTGCCGATGGTGGACGTAGAAATCTGCTCGATCCATCATGAAACGCTTGTTAGTGTCCATTGTCATCCAAGGCGCCGTTTGCTAAAAGAAATTTTTCATGCTTCATATACGTATTGTGCGAAAATTTTGTAAATTTTTACAACGTACCTTTTTTTTTTCTATTTCTTAAACACCCACGCGATCAACGTGATATATTGATTGCGAATTATATCTTCTTATGGATGGGGTGTCTTATTTTATTCCTAATTAAGAAGTCATTTTCGGTATCAATTCTCAACGGTTATAAGCGCATTAGGCTATCCCCTTCTGAAAGGATTACGGGGCTGGTTATTTGTACAAGGGGTTACCCATTGGAGTAATACCTAGGAGACCCTTTACTGGTTTTCGTGACACCCTATATGTTTGAACACATTTGTTGATAACCCCTTGATACCCCAAACGTATAAAGTTACCCGATTTACAATGCCATTAAGCTACTGCTACAAATTGCAGTTTTAACACGCTCCTACGAATTATTCTACATTGGATTTTACGGCCCACAGAAAATACTTACGCACATACGCGCGGGCGTGTTCACAAAAATTTTACAAATTTTTTTAAACCCCGATCCTCCGTCTACCCTTAAGTACTTAAAATTAATCTATTCCGTACCAGTATTATAAAAACCCTTTCGCCAACGTGCTACGAGGGTGGTTTTAGAAAAATTGCAAAATTTATATCGGTCACGCGTGCCACAGTTGACGCACGTTGGATCTTCTCCCTGGGGTGCCGGACATTTCGAAGATCTCCAGGGGGATAGACACAGGACGTTAATTTATTCCTAGTCCATTCAACGACCCTTAAATGACCTAACCCCTCTTTGGATACTTGGACGGTCGCGTGTATACCGATAATAAAACCGGAAGGCTGTTTCGCTTAACGAAGCAAGATGAGTGCGTGGACGGAAGCTGTATCCAAAAAAAAGTCCATTGGTCCATCTGGAAAAAAAATTTGAATATTATTAACGATCAACGCACGGTAATACGGTGAAATAATTTGAAAAATATGAAAGGTCAGTCTATATATCATTATAAAAAATGTCAAAATTTTTCATAGAAACCATTGACATTTTTTTTTCGTTTCTCATAAAAAAATTATATATATATACCATATAAATCCTTCAAGATCCCACATACGATAGGTCAATACGGAGGATGAATCGTGGTGGAAGAAACGCGTCTAGATTCGCAGCTGAGCGCATACGGGTGCCCTAATGGGCTCGAGGAAAAATTCATATAAAATTTATAATGGCCCTCGAGAGCTGTCGAGAAGTGGAAGAAGGGAGAAGAGAAAAAAAAAGAAGAAACGAAAGAAAGTCAGGTAAGGATAAAATGATCCCGTATCGTGGAAAGATTTTTGACGACGATACGAGAAATGGTTCGTCCAGGCAGCGGAGACCAATTTAAATCAATTTAACCCACCACCCCTGTTGCCTAAACGAGACTCAATTGGCGGACAATGGTGTTCGGCGGCGGCTTTTTTTTTTTTTCAAGGGTACCATAGAAGAGCAGAACAGCCACAGGAGCATCATCCTCGTGGAGTGAACTCCTTGACGTACTAATATCGTCATTATTCATCGGTATGCTCACCCTGGTGAAACGCATGATATTTTTCTTCAAAGACAAATTCAGAAAATCCACAAAGGCCTTGTACAGACGCTATGGCGTTAAACGATTGCGTGATCCCGGCCGGAGATTTTAATCGGGAACCCGGAACCACCCCATTTTCCCAACCAGTACTTTCGTCGGATTACCAAGTTACCACCCGATGCTCGAGGGGTCGCGGAAGAGTCATATTCGTGAAGCGATAAAAGATAAAATCCTGCGGAGGACGGATCTAATGAATGTGGGAGACCGGAAGATAAGTGTTATACCTATTGAAAGCAGAGGACTCTTTGGGTACAGGTAGACCGTGTGAACACCGTGAACGTAGGGCGAACAATCGTTTACGAACGTTAGACATTAGACTAATGGAAATTAATCGGTCGGAGCGGGTAAACGTTAATCGATACGTCATTGATTAGTCATCAGAGACGAGGTGAGCGGCACGACGTAAATTGACGTGAGAACGCTGCCAGGCTCGAGAGGCATCCCTCTGTTATAAACTCCATCTAAAAAGTATAAATGAATATAAATATATATAAAAAATATTTCTATTAAGATTCCATATTAAAAATACCTTATATGTCAAAGATCCAAAGAATCTTTTATGACAGTTCACACGATTCTACCTCATTCCCTAATAAAGTCAATCCTTTATTTCCCCTTTATCCAAGTAACCCTCCTCAAAGGGCAGAGGGTGACTCCGTCCCTTCCATCCAAAGAGGGGAGTAGGTCGGTATAACCAGCAAAGACTCAATCCCATTGGCGGAATAGCAGCACACGTCCAGATACCCAAGGGACGCTTCACACAAGAGGGTGTCTAACGTCCTGTTAAACGTTTGAGGGTGAGCTTTTTTTTTCCAGGAAGCGAAACCCTTAATTCGAAGGGCGTGTACATCTGAGTCAGTAAAGAGACACCAGACACCTAGATTACCTAAAACAAAAAAAAATCACAGTATCCCCACTAAGGTCGTACGTTAAAATAAAATTAATTAAATTAATCTTATCCAACTACAAATTGTACACCCGATACAATAATGCCAATTAAATGCCTACCACCAAATTCATAAATATCTAATAAAATCCCTATACATCTACCTACAATCGATACCTAGTCAATCAACTGTATATATTTTATAATGTTACCTGCACTGGAAAACTGTTAGGTTATTCTAACAGCGATAAGTCCATAAGAAAGTTCTTTCCCCAGTGCTATTAACCTGAACGCACAACCCATCACGGACCACGCGCCAGGAACAGCTTTACTTTGAAATACCGGAAGCAGCCGGCATCAGCACGAGCCGCAAGATGCGACTAGTTTACCAATGTGATCCCACATCATCTGTCCTGACAGTACGTCTACTCCAAAGTCCCTGTAACAGTAAAAGTACATATATCGATAAAATAAAAATCTAAATATTGCCACGCTATAAATACCGTCCCACTGAGAGAAGCACATAACCTAAAAGCATCCGTAGATCCTGTCTGTATCGCACAGGAATGATAGACAATAAGAAATAATCGTAGAGCAGAAATAACTGGAACGCAAAGTAGAAAGAAGACGCGAGCCACACGTGGATGACAGGTGACAGAATATAAAACGAGCAAGCGCCTAGTTACCTCCTACGTGTTGCCTTCGAGGCACGCGACAAGCATTGTATGCAAATGTTCAAGCAGATGTACGGATAAGGATGAAAATTCACCCTTTCGGGTTTACTAGAACTCTAACCTCCTCCATTCTATCACTAGCAATCTAATGGGTAGTACGTACGAATCTTACATTGAATATCAGTCTGTCTATGTAGCTGTATAAGAGACTACGAAGTTCCATGAGGTTAAAAGTTTCTTGATGGAAGTTTCAACGAGAGGTTAGGTATGGGGATTATTGTTTTCGAAGTTTGGTACTCATGAGATATCACGAACGAAATAAGCTGAGAGGGATAGGTAAACAAGTAGGGAAGCTGATTAGCACTCTTAGATCTTCGAAGATAGGTTATGTCTTTGACGCGGGACAATAGACAGAGAGTGTTCGTTAAAGAAGTTAAAAGAATTATCGGCGTTCCTGACTACTGGTGTTCATTGAAATATCGATCCTCTTATCGATAGCTGCTTAAGATCAATGAGTATGCATATTATGGAGATACCGCACGGTATAGATATACATGGTATTCTTATAAGATTATGATTAGTGTACAAAGACCAATGGTAATAATGGATTAAATTGTAATTACGTTTGAGAAGTGAAGGTATGTGAAAAAATAAAGGAGAATTTGACAAAGAGCAAAACCAATAGTTGTCTCGCGATAGGATTTTGATGAACAGTTTTAAAAAACACCTCGTCGCATCCGCAGGAACGAGGGGGATGATATCTTCCGCGTGGATTGGTACCAGTGAGAATTTCACTTTATTGCCACAGAAGTGCGTCCAGAGTAGATAGTGTCAGGGACAACGTACCACGGTCTACCTATAACATGGTCTTCGCGTACAATAAAGCCAGTTCCGGACAATAGCCGTAGCAACAATCAAATCAGAGCGCTATCAGCTCAACCCCACATTATCCTTTGATCCGCGTACTGGGTTGTTCATCCTCTAGCTCAGTGGCGCACTCTGTCGTTCGGTAACTCCCTCGCATGTTAGCTCGTGGGGCGGCAAACACTCTGATTGCCCACCCCTCTGTATTTGAACAGCCTCGAACTCCCGTGAACGTCGTGTTGTAACGGGGTTAGAGAGCAGAGCTCTACCTATCTGCTGTATCCACGACTTGGTAGACCTGGGGTATTCCAGAAATTTTTTATTCAGCTTCCATGGTCTACCAACCGCCCTGACGCTTCCTGAAAAAAAAAAAATGCAGAGTACACTGAATTTTTTTCGTTTTTAATAGTTACCTCAGGGATGATCACCAGGTAATCCTTTGGGGTGACCACGTAACTGGACGTCTACCAGGCACCTGTCGTACACGTGGTAGGAAGTCGACGTTAGGGATAATGCCGCACGTGCCCTGAGAATTACACATGCATGAAGTGATAGCTGAGGTGGTTGAGGGTGCTGATATGAGGTAGAGGAGTTTGTTCAGGTATGCGTGTCATACGTGGATTTGATGCTTGTACCTTTTCCCGGGGATATCACTTTTCCATTTTGTGTGTATATACAGGGTGAGAGAAAGGAGTGGGTATTCGGCGTGGTACCGATCGAAAGCAGCTTCATCTCCCTCCTTGATCAAACATATCCCTTGATCGTGGCTAATTGTGAACTCGGTGCCTGGGCCCGTCGTCGCTCGCCGACGTTAATCCCTTTTGGAAAAGGGCTATCGGGCAAACAAAGGTCCCTGTTACGGTAGCCCTTAAATTAAACAACAGACGAGTCCATGGACTGACGGATCCCATCGTCCTGAGCCCTGAATCCACGAATCAGTGGAATGGCTGGAGTTTCAGGCTGATGAACCAGGTCTGGGTCTGTACAATATACGTACATCCAATGCATAGCTACTGCAGATCCAAGTGTACCTAAAAGGTAGTCTGAGCTCTAAGTTTCTCTCTAGGTCAAGTCACAGACCTCACCACCTCGCCCGGGAATGGCTCCAAAGGATTAACCGGCTTCTGGGAAGGAACGGGAGAAATGGCGATCACGCAATTCCAGGCCAAGCTGCTGAAGCCTCGATGGAGATGTTTGCGGCGTGGGTTCACGTTCGATCGAAGCGTAACGGGCCGTTGTCTTGGATGCGGGTACCTGGCAGGGAGGCCAAGAGCGACGTGGAAGAGGGTTCTCCCTGGGACACCCTCGTCGACCCAACCCAGAGACCAGCTGATTAGGAACCCTGGCGATATGGCAAGTACCAAGTAACAGTGCCAGTCATACTCTACAGGAACGAAAATAGCTGGTACGTCCAAAGATTAAAATTTATAAACTTAAAGCATCCCTTACGCATTGCAATCCCTGTGTTTCTTTTCTCTTCAGGCACGATCGTCATGGACTGGATCTTTTATTGGTCCAGGACTTCAATGAGCATCCCCTGTAACATACAGTCGCTGTAGTTCAATTGCAATGGCATATATACATACATACCACACGCCAGATATGAACTGGTAAATTCGGGCCTGGTCCGGTACCTAACAGGGTCGATCGATCCCTCGTAGAAACGACTAGGGGTGGCTCGGCCGATTAGACACCCTTGAAAAGCAACCGCTCCAATTGGCCGGGGATGGCCACTCCCGTAGGCGGTCCCTCGACACCCGGGACAGCAGACACTCAGCCAGCTACCAACGTGGTTAGTTCGCGTAGCCCGCTCAGTCCCCAGCGCGACTTTGAGTCGCACGCACCACGCATCTCGTACTACGCACTACGCACAAAACGCAAGCGCGACAATCGTGCGTCGCGAGTGGTTACCTCAGTGAAGACAAGAATTACTAAGCTTTTCGTACAACGCGTATCCGACTTATGGGATGCGACGACGGATACTGAAGACGCAGTGGAAACTAATGAATTTCTTAATTAACGAAACAATGAGTTAATTCAATATCAGTACCGAAAGTGAATCGAAGGAACATTGCTCAAGGACTGCCTTGAATTTGTGCTTTTCTAGCATTGAACACTGTGGCTCTTGACGTCCCTTAAAAATGTATTGCTCTTATCAAAATCTAAAATTACTTCTTCGCCAATCTAACGCATATCAAACGGTATGACCAGGACATAAATTCATATCAGTGTACTGACAAACGAATCCTTTAAATACTAATCGTTATTTACTAGTCAAAGAAATAGTGTATACGGTTGGGGCTTGATGGCACCAAAGAATCGCACCTAGCTGTGTACTAGTGATAAAAAAGATAATTAAACCAGACCAAGTACCGATTGTGACCAGAGACGAGACATCATATTACCCAAGGATCCTCGACTATGGTTGTATTGTAAGTAAATAAAAATTGTAAGGTACAAATATTTCTATCAATTCAAATATCATAATCGCGCCTTTTCTTTCGCTCCCACAAAATACAATAATTCTAAACGTTTCTCACAAAAAGGATATCATACTTCGCAATGTTCGTTACTTGAAAACGCATTCGGACCCTACTCGGTGCATCCTGTATCAGTCAAAGGATCGATTTCTCTATGGTGCGAAATTTAACTAAAAACCATGGGCGTACAGAGGCTTCCCTATTGGCGCGTGGGCGTGTTATCACGCGTTCCCATTGGTTGCCAAGTCTGACCGTACACCCTCTGTTCCTACGGCACATAAAGCCAAGCTCCCAACGTTATTCCGCGTTACAAGCCAGAGTTAACGCCGTTTGACAGACATGGTATAACGAGGTCCAATGGAATCTCACAGTGGGATCCTGGATAAGCAGGAGTCAGAGGTTTACGGGAACGCGATTACGGATACGAGGATCGCCGTTCGTCACTGATGGTGAGAAACGCAACGCCCCGAAGACAGATTAAACGAATGTCCTCGGTAAGACGATCCCTTTTATCCGGGATCTCGTTGCGAGAGCAAAAGAACTTTTTCGAAGACTTACAATACTTGTGTCTTTAAATCTATAGCCATATGTATATATGCATAACCATATGAATACATAATTGTACTTAAAGATATATACGGAGTAAGAAAATACTTGTTAACCAAGTGGCAAATAGAAGCCTGACAGCTAACCAGGTATTAATTATACTCGTGTGATCCACTGGAGACTCAAGTATCTCGCCCACTAAGTCCCATTAACGATCGACGATCGGAATCTACGTTTGGCTTAGAAAATAATATATTTAATAATCCAAAAAGCTAAACAGCTTGTTCGCAACCTGGTTAAGTTTATATCTGTCGACGAGGTAACCAATCTAGTCGGACCGATTCGAAATCAATAACGATCGCAATTTGCAATTCAAGCGAAATGACTATTGTCGCTGAGTCAGCAGTACGGAAGAGATGTCGATTCTAGAGTGGAGCATCGGTATGCCTCCTGGAGTAGTTGTCACCCGGGGCGCACCGGGATAACGGATCCCCGTAACAAGATAAACGTTACTCCGCAAGTTAATAATACATACGCATATATATTGTAAATCGTATAGAGAAATCGCAGAGCCGTCGCTAAAATGGCGGACAGAGGTACCTAATGCTTTGGGCTCCGAAATGAATATCGAACGAGTCTAATTGAATGTCTGGTAAAAGTTGAATTTCTAAAAGTCTCGACTTAATCTCGCGCGCGATTTCAATCGGCCATCTATCCGCAACGGATCGATCCATCGACAGGCTTAGCGAGGCTTAAGCTTAGATCGAATGCCGTCATCTTTAAAAATCTATCTAGAGTTAAAGGTGGGGCATTCGAAATGGACCCGTGTCGAAATTCTCTCGGTGTAGAAGATTGATCTTGGCCTTGTGCCGAGCAAATCATTATTTGCCCATCGGGATTTCGAGACCAAAAGTCATCGAGTGGGTGACAGCCGCGTGGGATCGTACGTAATAGATGGTCGACGTTGCCAGTTCAGGTTCGAAAGCATTTTTCTCCCTGTCCGCTACTTTACCCGAGTAACCCATAAATACAATGTAACCCTGGCGAGGAAGCATCTAGGATCCTATGATCAATAATCGTAATCTAACAAGTATCGATTGAAGGTAGGATGAACATTTTCAAACAAGAAATTTCTATTCGGTCACCTCGTGGAGATAATCCAGGACCCCCGGGAAGGATACGTGTAGGCTAACTGAGAATGAATCTACGTATGGTTAACGCTTGAGATATCCTGCACGCGCGTCCAGGGGACAAGGAATTAACTTGTCCCTAGGTGTAGCTAATCTGCGAAGACGATCTTCCTGAACGCGTCCTGGGTATAGGTAAGTAGGTAGGCTGAGGCCGAACGCGGTGCAGATAGAAAGCACAGGATTTTTATCAGGGTCTTTCACGTGATATTTAGTGGCGAGTTCCCCGCAGGATATCTAGCTTAATATCTCAATGAAGCCACCTATGGCTCGAGAAGTTCTTAGGCATTAAGGTATGTCCACACGTGTCTCTCTGCGTAGCTGTGTATATCGTCACATGTGTAGCTAAGCCAATCTTGAGCCTGGATCGCCGGCCGATGTATCATCTTACGCGGTGCTAAGGCGATGACTTTATCACCGATCCAGGTAATCATTCACCAGGCGTGATTCCCCTCTTGCTGCTTTGATACTTTTACGTTTTTACCTTGAAAAAGAAATAAACAGTCTCTTACTTGCACCGAAGTGTCTGTACTTATAACTGCCAAGGATCTTACCTTGTATACCATCCTTATCCTCTTCCTCGCGATCCTCGTAAACGCCTTCGCGACGGTACCTCGACAGTTTTTACCCTGGGGCCAAGAAGAATACGTCTTCCTGAATCGACGTCCTGGAATTTCGCTTCTTACCTGGACCTCGGTACTCTGAATCTATATGCAGGCCCACCAAAGACGTCATCTACGTCGGTGATCCTGGTGCTGGTCTTCCTCGAGTAGGCTGACGTGATGACCGTAAATGTCCAGGTTTACATACCACTCGATAAAACCACGTTGCAGCGCCTAGCCTCGTGGGACGTTTGCACCGTTCCTCATTCCTGCCCAAGAACACATGGTCCTGATAGGTGCACGTACATGGTCCAGGTCGTTCTTTTTAACCTGTATTGATAAAAATCAAAAGGTAGTGCATGGTGCAGGATTATTCTTTGTAGGATATGCTTCACTAACCTCTGATACTGTTACGACCTCAGCATTCATCCACAGCAGGTTGGTCCAGGTCCAGTGGGCGTTTACTCTCTTGATACACTCATGGTCAATGACTCCTCAACATATTTACACACTACGTATACACTAACTGATATATTATTGACAAATCAATAATTGACAAATTCTTATGCTGCGAAGAGTTCAGAATTTTCTTCTAGTATCAGTACCGGTCCACATGATATAAGGTCAATTTAGTTATAACCCATATATAGGTTATTCGAACAAATTATCACCAGAATAAAACTCAACGATAAGACAGAACCAAAACCAATTGATTTTTTTTTCCTTAATTCATTTCATGAATCTCCTTTAGATTACCAGGTCATGTCTAATCTGTATGAAGAAAAATTGTTCTTCATTAATTCAAGATCCTGGTCTCAAACCTTCATCCAAATCCTATATGGTCCTCTAACATTGAATTTTCCTATAGTATTTCCTAGGAGCAGTCTCAGGACTGAATGAGCTGGTAAAGGGATTTCTGGGAAGCCGCCGAACACCGGTGTCAGCCCACCCACGATCACCCATAAGTATAATGCTAGGTACGACTGGTGTACCTACATACCATAAATCCGGATTTTATCTCGAATGTCGCGACGCTCTTGGTTGCGCAATGCTAAATTAGAGTTTCGTTCAGTACGACTTACTAATTTCACGATTACAGATATAGCCCATACATTTTTCATAGGGTGAATTAAAAAAGAAAACTAACAGTCATACCCATCCATGAAAATCTTAATATTCAATTAGTTGAATATATAGATCCAAGAAATCTAAATGATCATCTTCGATCTTACAACGCAGATAGGATACAGAGTGGCACGCGTCAAGCAAATTGCATTTGTTAAAATATCCAAAACTTCGGGCAAATCCACCGATAAGCTTATTAAAGACTTCATTGAATCGATATCGGTATCTCATGAAAGTTTCAATCGAGTTCAGGAAACCGTTATGGACTCGATATTGTCGCAGGTCGTGATCATTCGTAGCTGACAGTTTGTAAACGCAAAAAGACAGTTTCAGTGCGCAGAAATTATTCGAATAAAGTAACAACCGTTAACGGCGAGATAAAGTTCAGTCGTTGGTATAAAGAAATGCATGTAGAGTCAAAGTTCACGATCACTCCTTGCCGCTGTATATGCAATGTTAACGCAAGGAAGTTATATGTGCGGATACACGTCGCGAATGGTAAAAAAAAGTAAGTAAAAGGATCCATCGATCGGTATATGGCCCCAGGAGGTCTTCGAGTTTCCTTCTGCACGCTTCGGCAACCTTCCATCTACGTGCGCCGAAGCTATCCCGACGTTTACAGTCGCCCACCGCGTGTCAATTAAATTTTGAATAATAATTTGTGTGTATCCATAATAACGTTTGCCCGGTAGGCGTCAGTGACCGGGAGGGGGGTGGCGGAGACGAAGGAGGATGTCGAAGAGAAGGAGAAGGCGGTCTTGATGTTTCTTGAGTCCTGGTCTGTCCTGCGGAAGACTTGGTAGAACCGGAGATAACACCAGGAAGTAACCTGAACCTTCTGCCGGTGAAGAGGGACCATAGTAGAACGACCTATTGAAAATATTAATGTTACCCAACCGGACACCAATTAGTTCTGCCATTGATAATATATGAGGATCATTTGTTTCTTAATATTACCAGATGTCTTTTCGTTCACGATTCGAATTAGCTCAGCCACTTCCTGCTCCTAGTGCTCGGACTGTGTAACGAGGTTCAATTTGTCTCGTGCCAAGTTCAGTGGAATACCTGGACCCGGGGATTCTCTCTCTCTCCCTCTTTATATGATCCTCGTAGATGCTCACTGGAGTATATATGTTCCTGGTTTTCATTATGAATTTTCTTTTATTTGTTACAGGAGTCGCGTGGGGTCGCCGACGATGTCAGCGACTGTCGCCGGTAACCAGCAACAGCAACATCCCCATCAGGAGTGGGATATCAATGATTCCAATGTTCCCAGGGTATGACTATTAAACGTTAAATTCATTTAAATATATTGCATACCTTGACTCTTAATACCTGTATAGTTTATGCGTGTATAAAAGACGTCGTAAAGTTAGTAATGGCTCGGATTGGCTTAGGTCCATGACAAAGGGCCCATGGGAAATATCCAGAATTTTCAAAATTACCTGCTACCTCCTTATTCGCCTCCTTGGGAAACACCCAAGTAATTGAATGACGTGTATAGAGTTATGCACGGGAGAGAAGGATCCGTCAGATTCATAAACGAATCGACAATAAATATACCTCGACAACGTCTTCGGACTCCTTGCTGTCTCTCCTCGTGTTTTTCATGCTAAAAAGATATAGGACGTCAATTAACAAGGCATAACTTTTCACGCAGATCGTAGAGTACGACCCCTGGTGCGAGTGGGCAGACGGACACGTCAGAAGAGTTTACGGACCTGATTGCGAGGAAGCGCGACGACATGCCTCCGGATGGGCTATGAGAAACACGAATAACCACAACGTGAGCATCCTCAAGAAGTCCTGTCTGGGTGTTCTTGTTTGTTCGCAAGGTTGCATACTGCCAGGAGGTGGTAGTGTGCATCTGAGACCAGCAATATGCGACAAGGTTAATAAAAATAAAAGAATAAAAAGAATTTCCAGTCGATCCTTATTGAATTAGCCTTTAGCCTCTTATGTATTTACCTTTTTACTTCAGGCACGAAAGAAACAGCAGGGAAAACCCTGTCCCAATAGACAATGCACAGGACGATTAGAAATATTGTCCTGTCGTGGACATTGCGGCTATCCTGTCACTCACTTCTGGCGGCATACGGAACATGCCATTTTCTTTCAAGCTAAGGGTCAGCACGATCATCCACGTCCTGAGGCTAAATCTACTTCCGAAGCCAGGAGGAGTGTCGGCGCTGGCAGACGTGTTCGTGGATTGGCAGTTTTATTGGCCAGAGAAGCCGCCCTGGGCTCTAAGGTATGTCAATCACCTGTTGAGCATGTCAAATGCGATACGGTACGATTGGCCGATAGAGAAGTTACGCCATCCAGGTATAACCTTGTTTCTCGTATCGTCTTATCTGAACTTTTATGATTTCTTTCAGTTAATGTCTCTGCGGGGAACTAAAAGACCAAATACAGAAGCTATCGAACAACCTCCGAGAACGACGCAACCTCCGCCCTTAATATCGGACAAAGGTAGGCATTGCTTTTGTCCTTATTTTTACTTTAAATACACTTCACTTACCTTTACGGCTTTCTCGGGACGTACTGTATTCTGTAGCGGAGATGCGATGAGTGGAGGAATCTCTTTTTAGCACTACCGAAACACTTGAAACACACTGAACACACTTAAAAATATACGCGACTGTCACCGACGGTTATCGTCAACGTCCGCGCGTCGTTTGACGATAGTATTTACATTTTCACGTGCAATCGTCTAGCCGCAGGGCGTCGCCGCTGTCGTTTTAGCTTAAAAAATATAACCGTTACGATACTGAGAATAATTTAAACGTAATCGTTTATTTTCCTGTTATTTTATATTTGTTTACGATGTTAAAGTATATCTATTTTTTTTCTTAGGATATTCCTGCTCCTGTTCGCCTTTTGAATGCGTATGCGGACTTCAGACGAGCATACCTTCGTATCAGCAGACACAGCATCAAAACACCATGTACCCTCAACCAAATTCTACGAACGAGACTCCCTATTGGATCCAAGAAGCTGTACAGAGTCACGAAAATACCCTGGGCTATTGTTTACCCAACCAGGTCCCGCAGGAAGCCTCGTATCCAGATTTCCCTTCGTTCACCGGCGACCTTTTTCAGCCTGAAGAAATTTTCCAATTGGATCAACCGCTGAGACCAGACTTCCCAATGAATCCTCAGGACATTGCTCGTTCACCACCGACCTTGCTCGACCTTGGCAGTGGTACTATAAAATACGAGATCAAACAGAATCAGGATCAGGCTTATTGGAGCCAGCTTCTGAGCGAGGACTCCAGCAGCAGTCATTTGAGCCTTCCTCAAGCTCAAGACGAGAGACTGCAGTTTCCAGGCTTTGAATCTGAAAAGGACGTCAATGGTTTCCATTCTAGAAGACCCGTTAATTGTTACGGCGACGAGAAAGGTGCCAATCACAATCAGAGCATTACGGACCCAATGAATTATCCCACCTATGCAAGACCTCAGGATCAGAAAGACTTCGCAAGTGATAACATCAAGTACGATCCGAAGAATGATCCTGGACATACCTACTGGACTCAGGGTTACGAAAATAGGTCCCACTTTCCTAGTTTTCAGGCCCAAAAAGAGGACAATGCCCTCGCCACCCGTAGACCGCCCACCTGTTTCGTCTCGAACAAAGAGCCCAGTCAAACTCAGCCGCTTAATGATCGAATGAACTATCCTGTCTACCAGAAGCCACCGCCGACAAATCACAAATCGATGACTCAAGCTTCAAATCTGGACGAGACGATTCATCCTAGTCACAGTCCCGTCCCGGAGAGCAATGTAACACCTTTTGGAAATTTCGAGGCTTATCATCAAATGATCGACACAAGCGTCATAAAGAGTCCTACTGAACGTTCACCGATACCAGGTCATAGAGTCCTAGATGACAGATTAACCTACGTCAATCCCACTGAACAGAGCTCCGCCCTTTCTGAGAGACTCTACCCAGATCAGACCTCAGAGACTACCGTCCAGTCTCAAAGTAGTCCTGAACCCTTCTTCTACCCCAGCAACGAACGCTGCCATTACACGTGCGAAGTCCTGGACACGCGAATCCCCCAGATGCCGCTACCTGCTGGGCACAATGTTAACTATTCCGAAGTTGCTGACCTGGAGGTACCGCCATTCGTGGATTATACCCTAGTGGGCATGCTGTGTAGCCCTGGCGATGATGATCCCTCGCCGGGATTACTTCCTGCTTGCACTCAGCCTAGCCAGACTTACGTTCCCAATCACTAAACGATAGACAACGTTGACTTGTACTTGTATTATAAATAAATAATGATAGTCGCACCCTGGAATTGGATGTTTCTCTTACTTTCATTGAAACACTACAGATGGCAGCACACTGTGCTCCTTCTATAAGAGTACTGAAATCTTTTTGTACTTATTTTGTAAAAGTCACATTATTTATTTGTGATTTATTTATTCATTAACAGACACTCTCACGATCACAATTGTGTATGTATATCTATATGCGTATATTCCTCGAATACAAGCGAAACATTTGAAATAGCCAAAGTAATAGGTATGTACGGACGAAATGGCGCGATTTTTCTTCATTTATTGAAAATCACAACCAACGTGCGACGCGATCAATCGTAAGGAAAATCGGCCTTTGAGAATTCTCTTGGATAAAAGAATATACTTAATTTTTCTTATTTCTTCCATGGGAACGATAAAGACAACGGAAGTAGATCTGCAGGACGTAGGAAAATACGACTGATGTTAACTGCAAGAAAATTCTCCAAGTGATCATCCTGTTCCCATAATTGGTCGTGAACGAAAAATAAAATGATTGCGCGACAAAAGTCGCGTTCGTTGAAAATCAATATACGCGTCCGTTACAAGAAGATGGACTCACGCAGCTCTGAAAATTGGAATTTAATACGACCCAATTTTTGTCGCGTTTTGAAAATGTATATATGTATACAATATAATACAAATATACAGATATATATTTTCATTGACACAACTCACAGTTTCCAGCTCAAAAAAAATCTTAACGATAGAGAATATTGAGAATTAAAAAAAGATAGTGCGTAAGATTAAATTTGATAGTTTCTTTGTCCTATGCTAATCATACATTTTTTCTTTTTTATTTTGGTCGCGACCTATAATCTATCTCATGGAAATACCACTCGCATTAATCGACACGCATTACGTCTAATTACTGTCTAGTAGTAGAAAAAAGATAGGCTCGAAAAGAAGGGGACGAAAGATCCTGAATTAACAAAAGTAGGGAATTCCTTAACGCTTAAACTTTTCAAAGAAAAAAAAAACATTCTTGCTTTTCTCAAATACTCAAAGCTACCCAAAAGAAAGTACTGCACGTGACAAACATCTAAAACCCGTACCGCTTTACGTATGAAAATCGAACTCACAAGAGACACGACAATTAAGAAAGGATTGATTACACATACCATTTCCAAAATTTCATCGAATAACATGAAAGCACCCCTTTTTTTTCCCAAATGGAGCTTACACGTTTGTGCAGGCACGTTGCTCTTTGATACTCGTTTCTATTATTCGTTTTCATGTTTTTATTCTCCTCTTCGTTCCCTCCGCGCACTTATCCAAAAGACTTTCTAGTTGTCATCCTGCGAATGCCGTTCACAAAAAGAAAAGCAAACAAATCAGCTAAATCCTTATTCTGTCGCTCCTATGAGAACCCTTAGTTTTAGGACATAGATTACAAACAAGAACTCGAGTGAAGTAAAAGGGAACTATTCAAAAAATAAATAAATGTCATACGAGGCATCATCCCATGTCAGATTTGAAGGTATAGAGAATCCACGGCTAACCCCAAAAAAAAAATAAACGTGCTCCTTACAGTTCCACTACAAGTGCAAAAAATATTATACGTACGTAAAATGGTGCTGGTGCATAATACAAAAGTATCTAGAGTCTCTAGAATTCGACAGCCATGAACTCCACATCCTGAAATACCAAATATACAGGCGATAGATAACCTCAAAAGCTAAGAAACAAATACATCTCGAGATACAAAGAGAGAAAAAAAAACGATACGCTTACGACACGGCATCGTTTCTGTATTATCATTAATAATATATATACAATGAGTTGATCTCTCCCTTAAAGTCCTACAGTCTTAGCCCGAATTATCGTCAATCTTCTAAATGATAAGTCGCGACGATTACTCTGGGCACTCAGAGGTTAGCCAAGAGTCAAGTGAAAAAAAAAAAAGAAGGATCAGGGAAAATGAACGAGCGAAAAAAGAAAAACGGTACTAAGGAGTACAAATGTGACAAGAGTGAGGTTAATCGATCTCGAACGATATCGAATTCGTTAAACCAATCGATCCTTTCATTCTCTTTCTTTCTAATGTTAGGTACAACCATCAGCATCGCTCGACGTTCTTGCAGAAAAATCAAAATACAGAAACAAGACGCAGCGACAACTCTTCGTGTAAACACCGATCAATCACGTCAGCTTGACGTTCACAATAACCAGAGACGTCGCCATTACACGAGTCTACGAAGAACAACCAATCCGAGATATCATTAACGCCTACGTTAAATAGTTGGTAAAAACTTTCAAAGGATCAATCACAGCTTCCATGTACGAATCTTACTTGCGTCCTAATATCATAAAATAATACCTTAAAAGCAGGAAATTCGCTCAAACCGTTCATTCTCATTAGAAAACAAAGAAAAAGACCATAAGCCTGTACTTTACATCAGCATGCATATGCGTATACATGCATATCACCTTCTGCCTGTGCTCGCATGACAGTATTAACAATAATAAAATAATAATATTGATAATAATAAAGAGAAAAGAAAGAAATTCAAATTTCGCATTAACGTAAACTACAGTGAGGTTTAATTAAAAGATGAAAAAGGACAGCTGTGAATTATCTAATGAATGATAACGCTATCGTTTTTGCTAATTGCCACAGCACTTAATCCGAATTATAATAATTAGTTCTGATTAATTACGCAGTAAGAGGAGATAGTCGTGGTACAAAGCAAATGGCCCCTTCCCTGATGTTGGATCAGGAGATCAATGTCTCTTCGAGGTGTCATCTCCTTAGGAGTTAGACCGTAAATAAGTCCCTTACAGTACAGACACTGATATCGTGAACCGTTAGTGTTTCTTTTCTTTGTCTTTTTTTTCTTCTTTAAATTACTTCCTCATAGATTGTTCACCTCGACGAATGTATATATGTTATATTAGAGCTTGGAAATTTTTGAGAACAAAAAAAAAGGAAAAGAAAAATATTTACACAGGAAATCAGAAATATTTACCAAGAGCGTTTCGATCTTCTCTAATGAACTATAAATAAATTCGCTAATTGTATATTTTAGGTATGCGCTTCATTAGTATCGTTTTTTTAATCTTTTGCCTTTTTTTTTTCTTTGTTCTTCTCCTAACTAATCGTCATTGCACAAGACAGTTACGCCAGGACGCATCCTTTTCCCTTTGTTTTACAAAAAATGTCTTACGTACTAAGGATATTATCGTACGCGAGTATTGCACACTTTTTTCTTGTTCTTTCTTTCTTTCTTTCTCTTTAGTTTTACGTAAGCGTATATACGTGTCTATATATATTATACATTACGACCGCGCATATGTACGATATATATGACTATACATACGAAAGCATTCACGATTCTGTAAAACTTACGGCTATTAGAGACTATTACAGGATGCATGAGAGTCGATGCATGGATTCGCGATTGGTCAGTGCGTAGGGGAAAAAAAGAGAGAAAAAAGAAATGAGCAATGATTAATCTACAATCGTATCTCCAGTAACGACTGGAGGTTTCGAGTTTGTTCTACAAGTATGAAAAAAAAAATGAAAGATTGAGACTATCGTAAATTATAGGATAGACAACGTATTCGCAATGTCCGCATATTCCATTTTGTTTTGTACATAATAATAATAAGCTATACGCGTACGACTATACTGAAATACTGACCAATCGAATCAACGGTCACGGATCAAATTAGAACTTTATTCTATTTATCTTATATTTTTGTTTTTTTTTTAGTCTCCTTAAGTGAAAAGGAAAGAATATAAATTTCTATGCAGTCACAGCTATCCACAGCAGCGGTAAATTATGTTTCGCTCGTTATCATTTTTTTTTTTAATTTTAATTACTTATATCACAATTAACTGCCAGCACGACAATCGGCTCTGGTGTTTTTTCTTTTTCGTAATCTTGTTTCTTAATTTTTTTTTTAACAGCTCGCACGTAATACCGCACTCTGAATTTGCTCGTCTTATCGACTACCTGTTAAACCTAACTTTTAATATCACGGATGCGTTTATGAGGCTCTGGCAGGTTTTGGCCTTGTTCCGAAGTTCCGGATCGTTGGGGACTTTTGAAGATTGGAATAGTCCAGAGAAGGAGAGTCACGTTGTGAGATATCCTTAGGACTCGGTTGATCGTCATTTACTCCATCAAGACTTCGTGATCTTCACACGTGCTTCTGGCACACCGAATGAGAATTTCGAATTGAAATATGAGAATCTGATTCTATTTCTTTTACTACTGTTGACTTTTTGCGGGCACTATCTCGACTTCCTTTTGCACCGGTTTCACGCGAACTCTGTAGAATTTCGTACCCTGGGGCACCTTGTAGCGATTCTCGGACTGTAAGCAAATAGATTGTGAGATTATAATGATCTGTGGGAGTGAGATGAAAGGGAAGAGATCGGCGGTCCAGGATGAGACTTACCTTCTTGGCGTGACAGTACTCCTTATCGACGACCTTGGCGATAGCGTAACTCCTTTCGGGATTGCCGTCAGGATTGATTCGTAGATCCAGGGCGTCATTGCAGTCCGAATTGAGAAAAAAGAGCGTGTTACTGTCCTGGACGAGCATGTAATTCTTGTGGGGCGGATCCCAGGCCACGAGGACGACGTCGCCAGGATTACAGCTGGTGAAGGTAATGGGATTCTGTTGAATACTGCTCAAGGTACTCTTGGTTAGCTTCTCGCGCATATGACTCGAGAAGAAGGCGTCGCGACGATTAGGTTCAGGACTGGTAGCAGCATCCCGACTCAAGGATTCCGATACCACCGCGACGGAGGCATTCATCTCCTTCTCGCGAGCTTCCGCCGTCGAAATGCTCGAGGATGAAGCATCCGCATCGTATCCTCTTCTAGAACGCTCCTTCACCAGCTCCACCTCCAGACGAACCTTGTCAGCTTCCAGTGCCTCCACTTTCTCATCTGCAGTTTTCTTGCTCTCGCGGGTCAATCGCAATTCAGCGGTTAACCTGTTGTTCTCATTCTCCAGCATCTCCACCCTTCCGGACAAACAAGCAATCTCGCCGTCCTCTTCCAATCTTACTTTCTTCGACTCGGAGACCTCTACCTCGTCGCTCTTACGATGATTATCCAGCTGTGCTTTGAGCTTATCCTTCTGCGCTTCCAAGGCACTGAACGCCTCCTCCAGTCCAGCTCCGCTCTGACTCATTTTCAGCCTCTCGTCGTTTAACTCCTGACGAAGCTTATCCCTCTCGACCTCCAAATCGTGAACCTTACTCTCGAGCTGCTCAAACATCTTACGTTCCGCAGCCATATTAGCCTCCAAGACAACCTTGTCTGCCTCTAGATTCTCCACCTGAGCGAATAAATCAAAATTTTATTATGTACTTCAACTAACTGGACGCTATCGAATAAAACACAAGATGATACTTCATGTAATGTATACCTTTTCGCTCAAAGTTTGCCTCACCATGCTCTCGGATTCCGTAAGTCGTCTTATGGTGTCCTTGTATCGTTCGCACTCTTTGGCCAAGGAGATCTCTCTGGTCCTGTGCAATTCCATCTCCCTGTCCTTCTCCTCTACCACGGTCCTCATGGCTTCGTTGAACCAGACTTGCTTCTCGGTGTCGTTTCTCTGCTTAGCCAGACGCAGCTCATGATCCAATTTTGCAGCGCAATCCGACCTCTCCTTCTCAACGGCTGAACGAATGGACGCAGCCATCTTACTCTTCATATCCTCGTTAGCCTGAGCAAGGATCGCTTCGTGATTGGCCAGCTCTATCATGTCTGGTCGCTGTAAGTAAAATAACGATATAATTATCTCTATGCGCAACTGAATATGAGCGAAGCCTGATAAATAGTAAATATAACCTGCACCAACCTCAATTTTCTCAAGAGTGGAATCACTGGGAGTCCTTTCCATAGTGGAAGCAGTCATGCGCTTGAAGCGACTACGCAGAGTGTCCACTTCTATCTTATAATCCATCTGCAGCTTATCCGTAACTTCCTTGACCATCCTCTGCTGTTCAGCCCGCGCGGCGACCAGACTATCCTCCAGTTCGCGTACCCTGTCTTGACACTGGGTCAGAGAATTCGTGAGGGAGGCAATTTCCATGAGCTTAGCTTCATTGGCTTCCTTGAGAGCAGCTTCCTTCTCCTCGCGCGCGTGCTCCAAGGCTTCCCCGACGTGACGTAGACGCGACTGCAGACTCCGCACTTCCGCTTGCTCGCTGTCCATCTTCTGTCTCATGGTGCTGATCAGCCGTTCGTGCTCCGAAAGATCAGTCTCCTTCTCCCTGAGGCTCTGCTTCAGGGAGGATATCTCGTCCTCCCTGTTCTGCACGTGTTTCTTCAGGTCAGCCATCTCCAGCTCGTGGTCCACCGTAAGTTCCTGTTCCCGTTCCCGAAGAGCCCTGTCGCATTCCCCGGAGTGCAGGACAACCGCCTGACGTACACGCTCCGTCATCTCAGCCATGCCGTTCTTCTCGTAGGTGGTCTTCTCGCGCAAGGTCGCCAGCTCCTTGCGGAAGGCAACCAGAGTATCGCCCGCTACTGTCTTCATCGTCCTCAGGAGCGAACGGAGTCGCTCTACCTCGCCGCGTGTATTCCCAAGATTTTCCTGCAATAGTTAAAAACAAGGATTGGCGCATACGATGACATGAGAACCAGTATCTTTCTTATCGTACGGGTCAATTGTTTTTTTGTAAAAGACCCGCGCGTGTGTGTGGGAGCAATTTACGAGGTAAGGATTTTGGAAAAATGGGTGCGACGGCAGCTATCCTGAAAAAAAATTAACAGAGACAACCACACGCGGTTTCTCAGCGAGAATCCAAGCGTGAATAAACGTTTTACGTTAAAAAGTTTTGCTACAAACTCTCAATTCTTTTTTTAAATCCACTCTATCGTTGCTTCCTTCTGGAATCTTCGAGTACGAAGAAAAATAAGAAATTAATCGAGTGTTGGTTACCTACACTGGTGAATACGGGAAAAATGCTATTGGTGATCTGTACGTGGTGGTCGGAAACAATAAAGCAGGCGGTCAGGCAAACAGGCATATACGTACGTACCGACGTTGCAATCTACTTGTACAAAGCCATCGTAAATTGCGCGTTGAGAATGTACGTAAAGATAACTAGAATGAAAATACCTAGAAACGAAAAGAAAACATAAATAGATATGCGTACTGAGAGGCCTGTGGTATCCTCTGGGTATCTTCCAAAGAGATTACTACCTGAAGACGAAGGAATAGCTGAGCATAAGGGGAGCAAATGCAGCGCAGAATGAAAACTGAAGAGAAATAACGAGAATGAATATAAATAAAAAGTATTTACGGCTACGGCTACGAAATCTCTTAGCGAGGTGTTATTCGGTCCAGTACCTGGAGAAGGTTAACGATAGCCTGATGACCGTCTCCAGGATGCTCGCTGAGACTGCTGGGCAGAGACTCGTCCATGTAATATTCGGTACCCATGAACTCGACAACTCCGCCGCAAGCTGAGGGACTGCTTCCGCCGCTACCGGATTGCTGTCGTTGCTGCTGCTGCTGCTGCTGCTGCTGCTCGCCGCCGCACACCAGAGGTTGTGTCAAGGAACAGGTATTATTCAAGGATTCGGGATGATCGGAATGCACCGGACATGGCTTGCTAAAATTGTCATTTCCGCAAAAACGCTGATGCAAGCTAGATTCGCAATTTTCAACACATTCGGTTAAGGGACTTAGCTGAGACGGTCGTTCACTGGTCGTGAGACTTGGAAAGTGGAAGGAACCGGGTTCGCTCGAGGAGGACGAACGATTGAGGTCAACGACTTTTGAATTCAGCGGCGACAGATTAGTCGAGGTCGAGGAAGTGGGGGACGCGCTTTGCGAGGCACCAACCTCCAATTGTTTTTGTCTCTTCTGCTTCAAGCTGTCGAAGGAGTTGATTTTTACGTCAGTCCCGGCTTGTCCGATCTTCTCAAACTCCTCGGTATCCGTTTCAGACTCGAATCCGCCGCTGAAATGTCATATTAAATGAATCGATTCTTTGAAAATGATCTAAAAAAACCAACTGTGACCGATAATTTTCAAAAGCAACGTCTCACCGATCACCCAGCATCGGTGCTCTTCCGCTATCCAGTTGTTTGGTTGCTTCGTGTATTGCAGATTGACCCTCTTTGTCCTTGTTCTCCTCACTGGTAGTTTCTGTGTGACTTTTGGAAAGGAAAAATTGCGTGATGCTGTTCAGGTCTGGAGTCGAAACGTTGAAAGCCAGGTCTGGCAGTTGATCCTTCAATGACTCCATGTCATCCAAGGTAAGCTATGGAATTACGAACACGTGAATAAGAGAAAAATAATACCGAACTGATATTGTATTCGATGACACCTACCTTTGGAAGTCCATTGTCGAAGACAGAGGGCGCCTGTGTAGCAAACGGAGGTGGTGTGTCCTCTAAACCGGGGAACAGCGTGTTCAGGAAGTGCCCATCGAATTTATTCTGAAAGTCTCGTCTCCTTGCAAGCTCCTCGCTGTGCACAGCAAGTAACTGACACGCCAGGTTACTCGCCCAGACGAGAAAAGCCTGAGAGAAGGTCCTCCTTCTTACAACCTCAGCCACAGCACTCACGTACATTTGCGGGGCCAGGTGTATCTGCTGCAGCACCTCCAGGTGTCGCCTCAGTCTCTTCAGACTCTCATGATACATAACCAATTTCCCATCGACCTCCATCATCTTATTTTCCACATACATGATCCACTTGAGCCGATGATAGATGTTCACGGAGAGTTCTTCCTTGGCCCTGGTGCATCTCCTGCGTATGTCGCGCAGCTGATTGTGATTCTGTAGCATGACAAGCAGCTGACGTCTGTGAGAAGTGCACAAATCTGGCAGAACGCTGGCGTCTCCCAAATTGTTGGCCCTGTTCTGATTCTGAAGGAAGCCTTGGGCAAGTTCGCCCTGCTCGTGCACCAGCTTCTTCGTCTGGGCCATCAATTGCTCCAGGGCATAGAGTCTCTCGCCGAGTCCCTTGATCTCCTTCATATCCTGCTTATTCGCGCTGTCCACAGCGGCGTTCACTTCCACCTTCAATGACTCCATTACTCTCTCGTCAAACTGTTCCAAACCTCTTGAACATTGTTCAGCAACCTGTTCGAGGCTGCTCTGATTATCCTTGGCGGATATCCATTTCAAAAGACTGAGAACCTCCTCCCTATTTTCCGATGCATCCTCCGTCGCAGGCTGTTCCTCAGGACTCAGAAGACCTTCGGCCTGAGCTCTCAGAGCCGGCAGTATCGGTATTTTTGACAGTGTTCCCAAGTCTGCATTGAAGCTAATAATAGAAAAAGAGTCAAATCAGCATCAAAACAGAATCCAACGATCAGGCTCCAAGATGGAAAACTTTACTTGTTAAGAAGCTCCATGTGCTGCTGCCTCTCCCTCAGATACAGAGAAAAACTTTGTTGAAGAAGCTCTGCCCTGGACTGAAACATCTGCGTGATGTCCTCCAAATTCGCAACAACGGCCGCCCATCCTTGCTGCTGCAAGTGCTGATCGTGCACCAGACGCTCGCAGATCCTCGTTTGCTCCCGGGCAAGACCACAGCATTGCTGAGCAAGTTGAGCGCGCGCTATCAGAGTGTGATAAGTGGCGGGCATCGCCAGGGAGGAATCAATCTGGCTCTGAAGATCCACATCTACGAAGAAGATGGTCCAGGTCACGTTAAACGGAAACACAAATAAACAAAAGTCTAGAATCGTTGCATAATGAACTCATTGATTAAGGAAACGACGGAGATGACCAAAAAATCCACATACATTATCAAACGTAAAAAGTGCAAAGTGCACTCTTGCGTGTTATCACTTGGATCCAGATGTCTTCGACTCAATCAGTAAAATATCATATTCTACCGAAAAAAAAAAACTTCTAAAGGAACAAACCTAATGGCTAATCGACAATCAAATTAAAATCCTAACGTTCGAATCTTCAGCAGTAACGGACATTCAAGGAAGCGACTCAGCAATTTCTCAATAATTCTCCATAATATTACATCATTCCGCGTCCAAGGTGTAACCAAGTTTATCAATACTCATTGCATTTCCTGATGCGATTGCAAAAGTGCCACTCAAGAAAATAATTAACCAACTTACACTCTAAGCTACCCGCGAATCTCGCACATCCTATCAGTACACAAAATATCAACAGTGATTCGTGACACTCTCAAAAGGAAAAAAAAAAACAATTCATTAACATTTAAACCTAACTGACCACGACAATTTACGATACCAAATAACTCCAAGTAACATCCGTCGAGCGTGCAGATGCCCCAAAGAGAATTTCGATAGCATAACAAAAGTCGTTAATTAAGTATTTCCTTCTAATAAACTGCGCATCTTTTATAAAGAAAATTATCAATAACGCAGTTCATGGATACACCATTGGAGAGCCGATCTAGATCGTTCCGCGGTTTGCCTGCGAATAATTCCGTTAAACGTTGGACTCCACGGAGAGAGATAGAGAGAGAGAGAGACAAGAAAGAAAGAAAAAGAGAAGCATCACAAAAACTTCTAGCGCATATCTCTCGACAAAACGTCCAACCGAGGTCGCACGTTTTCAAAGAACCAACAAATCATAAGGATCCGCCTTCTAATCGCATCGCAGACAACATAGAGCATCGCCAGGGCGACTCTCCTATGCAGACGTACATATAAGCAGTACCTCGGTTACAGTACGATACAAAAATAACATTTAAAAACGATTTGTGCAATTTTATCATCGAAAACATATTTTTCTCCAAGTACCACTAATCTTTCACGCTTTAAATTCCACTTCTGAGAAATACACGCGTATCCTGTATGTACATATAAACTTCGGCTCAATACGTTACATTCACATTATTTATATACTCGGTCGCGCCTTGCTGTTTTTTTTTCTCTCATTCTTTCACTTTTCACTCGCCACAGATTAAGCAGCTTATACTCTCCGCGTCTAGAATAAAGAAAAAGACGCGTTTCGCTAGGATCAGCTGCTCCGATGGTAATGCTCGCAGTGAGCTAAATATACGCACTGGCATCAGTGCACTATCAAGAGAAAGGTCATAACTGCCGCGCCGGCTTAGGTAAATAACAAGGAGATAAAGAAGAAGGTGGATCGAGCATAAGAAGTTTAAAGACCCCGTGTGCTTTTACGCTGGTGTGCGTGAAGCGTCGCGGTGCCTATCTGCGTCTCTGGTAGAATTATAAAAATAGATGGAAAGCCGCGAGTAGCCAGTACGTTATATAGAGCTTGAAAATGGTATAATAAACGAAAAAGCCACAAGTGAATTAGATATAAATTTTCCTTTTTATATCATACTGATATCCCGGTACGTTTTATGCGATACTTGAATACCCATATGAAAAACGAATCCTCCCTTCGTCCCCATCTCATCCTTGATATCGTATCATAAATTATATATCGGCACGCGGATGACATTTGGATAGCTAATATAAGCGTCTTGTATACTTTATAGCCTCGTGAACCTGACTAACGCCAAATTGTGTCCTGATCGTTCGAGCGGGACAAGGCGCGAACAATGATTATTTCTGGAGCGTGACGACACAACGTGAAATATACAGTGACGTGAAGAGTTGACAGTTTTGACGGAGTGCGCTCTCTCTCTGTTTCTCTCGGCTCTACAACTTCGCCAGCTTCGAAATGTACAACGTATCATACTCCAGACACAACTTTGATAAGCAAAATGTTTCTTATCGTTGCAGTCACTCTCTTGTGCGTTGAATAAATTGTTGGAGGGAAGAGACCCCTCCGCCATTAAAAGCTGATTATCATAGCGATAAGCGAAGTGGGTCAGAAAATTTGAACAGCATCGATAGGCTATTCGCATTCATCAGAGTGGCTGGAATCAAAAGAGAGAGGACAAGGAGAGATAGATAGACAGATGGAGAGAGAGTTAGCGAGTGATCAAAACGTGTTACTTCAGAGATCAGTAGACGAGTGAGAGACTTGGAGCGAGATGCTGAGGAAGGTTCTTATAATAGACTGTCCGCCATTATGAAGTCTCAGGGTTCAAAAGGACCTCAGCGTGTAGCCCCTTCTCGTTTGTTTCAGTCCTCTTGACAATGGCGTCGACCGAGGACAGGTAACATGCCCAGGGACACGGTGACCTCTCGTCTACTCACCGGAACCGTAGTCTATGCTTGGCGTTGGGGGAATGTGACTCTCTATGGCAGCCTTGCTGAATAAATAGATTGGATTGGTATCCGTTCCAGCCGAATAGGAGCAGACACGAGCGTTTGGTTCTAGACTTTCGCCTCCGCTCATCAGCAGCACTTGATGCGCCGCGACGACGCCGCATTCGCGCTCTATCGCCTCCTTCAGCTGAGAGACACTGCAAAGGGACAGAAAGAAGACACTGTTATGTTATGCGTTGGTGAAAAATTAATGAACGATTGGTCGCGGCGATAATTAATTCAATATTAATTCATCGCTCAATCCATTCTCAAGTCCGACGGTCTCGCGAGACGACGCAATTTTTCTTTACCCACGACGCAATCGAATGTAACGAGGCCGCTTGTTTACCGCGCAAAAAGTGCTAATGCACATTTACATGTCTGACAGTTGCACTCCTTATCAATACCCACAAAATGACTTTGCCAGACTATTGTAATCGCATGACGAATCTTTAACAATCGCTAATGGCCTACGGGCTATTGACCGTTGCGCGAATCGGTGAAATATTGCGATTGCTCAAGGATCTGTTCTTGTGCTGCAATCTCATATCGAACAAATAAACTTAGCCTTTTAGCTTGCAACACGAGTACAGATTGAGAGCTCGGCTAAGCTTAGTTGCGGGTCAGGCTGAGTGTGACATAAGCGCGTTACACCCACGCACGAAGGAGCGCGAGTAACACGAATTAGGTTTTTTTTCTCTCTTGGTTATACCTGTTAGGAAACTTGAAGATTTTACTTGGATACGCAGTCGTATATCCGTGGATTTTAAATATATACTTCTTTCCGTTGGAAGAGAAGTTGACACGCGTGGACTTATAGCTGGGACTTTTAAATAAAACGAATGCTCATCATTCCTTTTGACGTGGTGCGGACGGAAATACTATTTTCTGTATGTGCGCAGTTACGCGGTAGCGCGCGCTTAATGAATCTTACTGATGATAAATATCGCTCGGTGCAAAATGTCTACTTTAATTCGCGAGCTGTACTTATTTATATATCTAGCTATCTATCTTGTACGGTATACACATCCGCTAATTATATCTTTCATCTGTACACCGTTTTACGGGTCGGCCCACATTCGTGTGATTACCAGGTCGACCCCACATCCTGAAAAGTCGACGGCGATTGAGGAGCGCCTTGTGCGAGTTAAATGTAATCATTGGAGCATGGAAATTATTACCTCTGCAGTGCCAGCTTTATGTCGAAGGTGATGGTGGTGCCAGTGTCCACGTGGAATATGTACAGCATCTTTATGCTGGTCAGGCTTCGAGATTATTATAGAGAAGATTTAGGCAGGAAGAGTTTCTGTGTCGGAATATTATGGGCATTCGGTGTTGGTCCTTCTTCCATAAGCTGTCTGAGCTTGCACTTCCTACCTCCCGTAGTCAACTGAATTGGGGCCGTACCCCACGTTTTCTATAACTCGCGAGGACGGCCCCTAGTAATATGCACCTCATCGATCAGCAAGTCCGTTGCATCAGTACTGGTAGTTTCATAAATTCTTTAGATGCTTCTTGGTCAGTGTAGATAACAAGTAGCATTCAGGCTTAATTGATTCTTCTGAGAGGTATTGTCTTTCTTGACTTTTATCAGATTCAATGTTGATTGAATAACGATGATGGAGAGGCTGATGCAATAGGTTTAATGCACAGAGATATATAAAAAGTATTAAAGAAATTTGTTTGGAATATTCTTGCAGAATGGATAAGCGTCTTGAATTTTAAATTAGACTTCCCACAGCCTTCAAAAGAAATAATAGATTGTGTCGTTCTAGAATGGACTAACAAAATTCATCACTGTGACCTTGTTAATGAAACAGTCGTTGAATGAACATATAATCATAAGAAAACAGAATGTAAGTCCGAAACAAATACTTTAATCTAACAAATAAATGTCAAGCCCAAAAGTATCTCTAGTAAAGCAAACTGTGTACTTCAAACTTGCCTTGTCTGCGCAGAGAAAACTAAATAACGAGCACGACAAGGTATCTACAGTAACATCTAGGGCTAAAGACGTACCGTGTTTCTTCAAAAGCGTCAAGGTAAGCTAGAAAAGATGCCCTTTTGAACGCTTCTTATAAAAAAAAAATCTTAGTAACAAGTATAAACGAAATCTAACGATGACTCGTGTTGTATCGTCATAAATATAAATAAAATCCTCCACTATACGATCCTTAGTTCTTCCTCCGGGTCGACTAAATTCTCTCCGGAAATTCCTGCTTCGAATTAACTTCTCTTAAAGATCCTTTTCCATAGTTTGGAATCCCCTGAGCAGTTTCCTTAGTCTTCCTTCGAAGTTAATCAAATAGCACTTTATCCTCTTCAGCAGGTCTCTCTCGAGTCTTCAAAAATGACTGACACCTTCGAAGAGGAACGCTGAACGATCGGCTTGTCAGAACTTGCAACTCGTTTGTAGTTGCCAATGAGATCAGCTGCTCGTCAAAACAAAGCACTAGCGGGTCCCCCTGCACTGCACGCACGTTAGACGTTTCTCGTAAAACTGAACGAATCTCTTGTCACTGGAAATCCCCAGGTGCGACGATTCCTTTGTTAAAGATAACGAGTCCTTTTATTCCAATATAATATCGCGTATAGACGTCGTGGAGTTCGCTGAGTGTCGAACCACAACAAACAATGCTGCGCGATTCGTACGAAACGAGTGCGCAAACAACAGAGAACAAAGAACGGGCACTTTCCCCGTGAGTTTTCTAGTTTCACGTTCGACTGTAAACCCTTTTCAGTATATCCCACGTCCCAGTCAATTTTCTGGACGTTCCTTTAGCTGAATTTCACGTGGACAAGATAATTATCCTTTACGAAATTACTCTTGGGATGCTCTTGCTCCAAGGGGGCAACTAGCTCGACGCAGTCTCGCTCGACATTTTGTTCTGACGCATCGCGTCGCTAGCTGTTTACTGCGACTGTGGATTCACCCGAGAACTGAAGACGGAACGTCTGCTGGCTTGGCTGCCTGTTCTCTCTGCTCTCTCAGAGACTCCACTGGAGTAGAGGGGACCTGCAAAGGAGATGGTTACCGACCAGTAGCGTCACGCCATTCGAAATCACTTTAGGCCTCAAAAATCAAGACATGATCTAGAACTCTATTGACCCTCTATATTACTTTAATATTGCACGAGTAAAAGGATATTCCATGTCCTTTTCATAATCCAAGCAATTCCACGATAGAAACGAATATTACAACGAACAGAGAGGACAAGGACTTCATGCGCAGTGGAAGCCACGAAACGTTCTCTCACTGCGCCATGTTCATGCGCACTAAAGAGTCACATTTGAATTACGGATAGGATTGCGAAAGATGGAAGGACGCTAGATCCCTGATTTAAAATCGGTTTTAAAGGAGCTACGTAGATAGTTGTAAATAGCGGTTACACTCGGTACCACTAATAGAGATCTGTGTTACCGAGTGTGCGCCTTGGATGAGAATTCAAACACTTCGCCATTGTTATCTTCCGTGTGGAAGCTCTTACCATTGGCGTAGCGTTCGTCATATACCCAAGATACATAAATAGGCGAAATAAATAAATTAAATCGCAGGCCCAATGCCAAAAAGCATTGCGGACGCACGGAGGAATGATGCGTATCATCAACATTCCCTAATTAATTATAAACAAAGATGATTAGTCTGGCCATCCTTATCGCATCAAGGACGTTGAGAATGTTTGAGCTTTTGCAATATTACGTACTCCAGAAACTGATCGTTCTAAATGCCACTCAAATTTACTTAAACGACGCACTTGCCTGCTGGGTTTATCGTGGTATAAGATCTAGATTAAACCTCGGGCGCAAAACGTCAATATTAAAGTATACATATGCTTGTATATACATTATATATACACTGGGTTATTCGGGAATATTTCGTAATCTAAAATTAGTTGTACATCGTACGGACTATTTCAGTTGGTCCTGTACTCTTGAATAATCATGTGTAACATATAACGAACAATTGAGAACCGGAAACGTTACAAATCGATATGCAGTACCGATAACAGAGCTCTAGGTCTCAATGGCTACTTATTTATTTACCCTGCATCGTCACACTGACAGCTTCTACCGAAGTACCTACATTGCCACGAGATATATAGGCCAAACAAACTATAGTTCTTCGTCCTCCTCGTGCCTGCACACGTGGCAGTCACTATAGTAAACTCCCGTCGTGCCAGCAACTGAAAACGATCTTATAAACGGACAAAAAACTAGAACGCAGCAAAGTGTAGTAAAAGTTTATAGAAAATTAAGAGAAGCCGCCATACGTACAGAGAAACAAGATGTAACAGTATCCCAATGGCGTTATACAGTAGCAGACCTTAAATTCGGTCTTTGACACGCAATAATAATATCCAAATATGTTTTTGTATTGGCGGGCGAATTTCGCGAACAAAAAAGAACGTACGTTCTTTTAAATTGAGACCAACAAGGAAAATAAAGAACGTACGACAATGACGTCTCTGTCTGGCATGTACCGAACAATGACCCGATGCCTCCCTAGGTAGATTTTGCGCATCAGAAAAGGAAAGCCAAGCTGATGGCGATCTGGTTGACGTTTTGCGATGATCGAAGGTCTTCTGGTACTAGTTGAGCGTGCGAAATGACGAGAATCACGCAGGAGGTGCGTGGACAGAGCGAGGTCAATTCACGCATCAGCACGTGCGATTTTAATCCGTCTGGTTAACGAAGTCGCGACTTATTACGAGTCACGGATCATGATCGGTCGATATGGAAGGAGTTTGGGTTATCGACGAAACTTTTCTTGCGATGGAAAAAGCACTTTTTTTTCAATTTTTATACTTCATACTGACCTTGAAATTCTAAATGGCCTCCCTATAGATCGTCAGAATTAGCGCTTGACGTATTTCAGCGTACGCGGATCCGGTTGAATCAGTCGGTAACGTAGAGGACTTAACGTAGAGTACGTAACCTTGGGACTATGTATATTTAAACAATTATTAGATACCGAGATATGGATTTTTTAACTATTTTTCGTTTTAGCTTGTATTTCGGTTCCGAAGTATGTCTGCGTCAATACTTTGGAATCTCATGCAAAACCATGTCCAGGTTACCACTAGGAATTTCAGTATTCTCATTAATAATTAGGATACCTGACAAACTTATTCTTAAGAAAATATTTCTTTGTGCCTATCTAGAAAAAGCTTATGCAAGAGAAAGCCCAAGATTTCTTGCCTCGGATTTTAGTCGCAGTTCATTGGCCGGCCCTGTGGTATTGATCGGTTGAATTTGCAATGGGCGCGTTTACGAAGGGAGACTTGAGCACGTAAACAAGAGTGAAATAGGGACGAAGACGCGTTAGGTATTATTGTGCGACGGAAAGCATTCAAGACAGGAAGTGAGCTATGCTGGTGCGCAAATCTCAAGCTTTGATTGTATCATTACACTCAGCCTTTTTAAATTCGCAATAACCATGAGTTTGCACAATAACAAAATGCTTTTATCATTTGCAATGCTAGCTTTGATTAAAACAACAAAAAAAACTGACACTGGCTATCGTAAATTATTCTAGGGGTCAGACCATGTATGATGGAGTACGCCATTCTGCAAACAGGATTCTTGATTGCGTTATGCTTTCTAACAACGTATGTCAAACGATACCACAGACAAAAAACAAAAATAGAAAATCAATAAACTTTTCTCAATTATGATACAAGTTTATTGAATCACTGCTTTTGCAAATCAACAATGACAATGGGCCATCCTTTTCGGTCAATTATTAAATTCCTCCGTTTTTCGTGTAAATATAATATGACCATAATAATAATATATAATAATAACGAGATATACTAATTATAATAATAGTCAAGAGATAACAATTAAAATATATATATATAATTCTGAATGTAAATATATATATATATACACGTATATACAGATCTAAGTCAGCTCAATAGTACCAACTCAAGTTAACTCGTCCAATAGATCGATACGGCTGTACCGACGTCAGTTCGTTCGTTTGAACTAAAAGAGCCCTGCGCATATATATAATATATAAAAGAAATATATATGTCTATATATATGTATGCCAGATTGCTCAGTATACAACGCATCAACCGAAATTGGTCTTGTCGAAGGAATGAAATTGAACGGGCTAAATTCCGTTGATACGTTCGAGCCGAATTGTATACAATTTTTAATGTGTGTATATATATATATATTTCCCCATGATATAGCAAGTAAATAGTGAAACCAATTATTTTCTTACTTAATCGATAAACCTATTATATAGTAAATTTCACTTAATTCGTGATATGGTTCTCGCGATTAAATTAACAACGTTTTAATGTTAGAGCGTCGCCGTTCCACCTTTTGGACACCTACCTATACAATATCATTTCGCCCAACTAATATCAAATTCGATCGCCTCCCGTCAATATAATCAATTAATTAATTTTACAATTGCAATATATATATAATATATTTCTCTCGTGTCAATGGATGTGCGTATATGACTATGAATGCGTTTCACAACATGGTTACCTTCGTTTTTTCTACAACATTTCCACTTGTCCTAACCTCAAACCTTGATATACACTTTTTAAATAATTTTTCATCAGCTAACCCTGTCCACCCTGTATAAATAATTCACGTAACCCCAGGAAAAGTCTTGGCTCGATTCAACGAGCACAAAGTGGCACACTCCTTAATATATCCACGATTCTGGAAAGTCAAGTCGAATGTTTTCGCAATCCTGCCTGACTCCATTTTTATTCAAATTCTCACAATACATGTCCTTCCCCCGCATCCCCCTTCCGACCCCTAACCGCTCTCGTGCTCGAAACCTGAAGATGATGGACCTCATGATCCTCGAATCCTCTTAATTATCATTGACCAATTACATAGTGTCACCAGTCAACGAATATAACAAAAACAAGTCAAAGGACCCATTTTTTTGGATCCTGATAGACACAAAAAAATGCGACGATCCGATTCGAGGATTATCGGTCGAGATATATTTTTTTTCAAGATCACCACCTTCATCTTTTGGCGCACGAGACTTATGTCTAATGTGAAATGAGTAAGGTGAAGAAAAAAAGAGATAAATGATCTATATCATATATGTGATCAAGATCGACGTTGATGATTCTCATGATGGGGTAAATATGCGAAGGACGTAAAATAATAATAAAGAAAACTCGACTGGACTAGACAGCGACGTGCGACAGTACAAAAGTTTTCCGGTACACGGTTGGAAGGCATAGAAGGCACGCGATACCGTAAGTACACGTTAGAAAGCCAAAAAATCCACCCAGAAATTCTTTCGAAAATTTACTCGTCGCTAGACTCGTAGTAATTATGCTAAACACGCATACAGACGTATTCTCTCTTTCTCTCCATTTTTATTTTCACACTCTATCTCTCTTACTCTGGCCCAGCTCCCTGAAAACTCTCTAACTTTCGCTCTCGCGCATTTACACCTCGCAAAAGTTTCATTAAGTTTCGCTCAACGCCATATTGATAGTTAACAACAGTCAAGTAATAAATCCTATTTACCATGAAATGTTCGATATTTATAAATTCCCACGTCCCTAACGACGACAGTGACATAAGATCAAGTATTACGAAATATAATGATATATTTTACATATGCGTATATATATCAACATATACACACGTATGCTCGAACGTACGTTAATTAACTATATTTAATTATGTTTTTCCATTTGTCCATCCAAGACCTGCCCGGCCACCGTGAGGGCTCCCTTAATATTCGATAGTCTTATTAAAATATTCCGTGTAAAAATAGTATGATACACACGAGGGCAATTCCTCTCGGATTGATGCTGCGAAAGATTCACCCTCGTTTCAAATAATGCCGCTGCTCGTGGCAGATACAACAAGAATTCTCACGTGTCTCTTATCCTTATCACTCTACCCTCCCGCAACAATTTTACCTCCCCCCCCTCGTCAGACCTATCTTTTTCTTATCTTCCGTGCGCACCCACCCAAAATCTTTTCCTACACGTAGAAACCTATAGCGCCAATCCTTATCCAAACAATAATATTATCGCCTATAGTCGATCTTCCCAATTTCTCTTCAAATCTCTAACCAGCTTCTCTCCACGACGGTGCGTCGAACCTGGACGACAGGATATCGTCTCTCCTTACGTAACTCTCAGCTTCCCATATCTCCCCTATCTCGTTACTCCTCGGTGCCGCATCTCCTAGACAGTATCTCTCACTGTCAAGGTCGACGATCCTCGGGTCACCGTAGGACCGTCCTAAGAAACCCGTTTTCAGCGGTACATCCTCCGGAGTAAATAATTCCGGGTAAAAAAATGTCCGACGCCGCATTTGAGCGTCCTTCAGGTGACGTCCAGTTGACGGTGTAACGACGTGCCGGCGGGCTGCTACGTCAACAGCTTGAAGAACATCAATGCCAAAGATATATTGATGAAGAGGACCAGCATGACCAACTGCTGTCTTGAGAACCAGTCCTGAAGAGTCAAAGAAAATACGCAATTAGATAAATCCAAGCTCGTGACTATCAAAGGCATACTAATACTTGGTAAAAGAAAAGAATTAACCGGAAGTACCGGTACCTCATCCTGTACCGATTGACTTTTCCTTAATTTTTTCTCGCTACTTACTTTCACCTGAGGACTGACGAGGTACAGAAGAGGATTTGCCCGTAACCTCTGACTCTCGTCGATCTGCCGGCGTATCTCCTCCCGTCTCATGCTGCTCAGCACACTGACCTCTTCTCTGGACAAGGGCGAGGTCGACGTCAGCTGTATCGGCTGTGCTACGTCCGGCAGTGATTTCTTTCGTTGAAGGGGCATCGCCGCCACTGGCATCGCCTAGACAAGGATGGAAACAGAATTAAGTCATTAAACTCTCATCGAATTTCGCAGACTATTGGAAACGCGCCCATTTACTTATATATATAATTGAGCATCGATCGGTAGCTAGGTGATCTTTGGTACCAAAGCCAATTGTGTCTCAATTCCTTTAGGGGAACGATTGGGCTACTGCCAGATGGAGCACAGAGTTCTCTTAGATTATTTTCTTAATATTTAAAATCATTCCCTGTGTTACATATTTTATCTGTATTGTTCAATGAACCTTAAGAGTCCCAAGGACCAGTACTGCCGTACTGAGACATTGATTTTTTTAGCCTAAATATTCAAAGGTACTTTCCTCTTCTGACGTTTAAATTATTTTTTAACGCTTTTTCGATTTTACTATTCACATGGTCTGAGAGAGAGATTGATTATAGGCAATTCATTTGGGGTGCTCATACCTCGACGGGAGGCGCTACTATCCAGGATTCCGAAGCCCTTCGCGCCATGAGTGCAGGACTGCACAGGAGGGCTTCCTCCTCCTCGTCTGGCTCCGACCAAAACATTTTTTAACCACGTCGTGCACTTCGTTCTGAATTCGAGTATAGACCGGAAATGCTGTTTTTTTATCGCGAATTTTTTTTATGTGCTGATTCCTTATTTTTCGAAATTTTTTTTATTCACGAGGCTGTGCTGCAACCTTGATCAAGTCATTATCCGAGGATCCCATAAGGTGCGTGATCGGAATGAAATACCGGAGGAGGAGTTTAGTGCGACTCCTGATGAAGAAGCTAATCCGTCGACTGAACTGTTCTGCCTGGGCTAACCGAAATAGCTGCGCCCCACTATTCCCATCGAAATAGCTCATCCGACGTCGCGACGCTTTGGTAACACGGCGTCGCCAGCAAAAACCTTCCGTACGCGTATACGTGGCTCTTTTTATTTTGAATACTTGCAATTCCTTTCAATGTGCTTTTTTTTCTCGGGATTTCAACTGCGAGATTCATTTCGGAATATTTTTGGAAACTATAAAAAAAAAGGTTTTTTATTACATTCAATAATTTCGTGTAAACTATACTTTTGAGTAGCTCGTACTGAGGTGGGTGACGATTTTTCAAAATATAAGGCTGATTTTGGTTACTTCAATAAAATCTAGCTAGACTTGGCGCAACTTGGAGCGAATGAGTCACCAAGATGACTTTTAGTTCTCAAGCTTAGTACGAAATTCAAATATATTCAAGGCAATACCTATATATCGAATTTGGAGAGATTATCAAAAAAAAAGTAACTCAATACCAAGCGCTTCTTATGATTGCTACCTATTATTCTATGTCGAAATTTTTATTTTCGTTTATCACGAGTAAAGAAATTATTCGAGCCTTGTACTGTTTTTTTTTGTATAATAAATATAGAGTTTAACAGTTTAAAAATATCACGTGGGTCCTCACCTTCCCGCAAAATTCTGTACAGACCTACTGTATGTACATATACACATTCATCTCTCAAGAAATCATAGTCAGCCGGCTGCTGGTGCTCTTGTCTGCCAATTTTCTGGCAGAATTTCAAGGTCTTATTAAACGATAGTGAAATTCGTACGATCTCAGGAATTCCTACTCGGATTCATAAACTTAGACTCCTGCGTGGAAAATATTATTCGTTTCTTATGTATCCGGCTATAAGATCTACTTCAAACAAAGTCTGTTACAAACAGGACATGTATATTTTTCCTTTGACCAAAAATTCATGCTAGTAACTTTACGTGAACGTTAATAGTCAAGTTACGCGTTTAACATTTCTTTATTTTTTTTCTATCACTCACGGATTAGCCAACAGTAAATATTATCCGTGTATTACTTACATGGCACTAGTTAATCTCTACTGCAATTACGTTACAACGTATACATAAAATACAACAATGGACACAGACTTTAAAATGTCATTACATCATTTTAATGTACAATTTTACCTTACTTTAGTGCCGTACGAATGTAACCTGGAGGACAATTTGCTTGAATTGTATATCGTTACATTAATGCCGTCCGTTTGTACAACAAAGCCATTTGTTAACTAGCTTGTTTAAAGTATTCATAAATATACGATAACTCTTAAAATCGTATACGGAGGTTAAGTTTGTACGTGCACGTGTATAATAGATGCATTGAAAGACTGAAAGGCTCATGGAAAAATTTAAAAATCCGTAACTGTCATTTCTATCAGTATAATTTTCCCTTTTCATTGATCTGTATATAAAATCGACATGTCTCAGTAAAAATAATTACGTATCTTTCTTTTTTTTTGTTTTCTTACGTAAAATTCGACAATTTCGTTCCCTCCGTTCATTTCCCGTTTCGCCGTATTGTCGCCTGTCTGAATTCAGGTACAAGGGATAGGCCCCACGATAAATAATCTCCGTATAACCGTAATAAGATATCGAACGACACCGTCATCTTGTCTCATTATTCCTCTTCTTTCTATTTACACACAATTATCCAAATTCCAATGTGCATCCAGAGCAGGAGATTCTTTTCGGGAATCCTGAAAACGTCTGAACCGTTACAGACGACGACACTGGTGCTTCCCAAACACATAAATCCGTTAAAGGACTATCTAATCTCTAGAGAATGTTTATCGACTCTCGTATCACTCATTCCTTATGTACGTATTTATATTAGGTGTATATAAATAGAGGAGATCTGCTCTGCTAATAGACGAACATTACATAAGCAATAAAATCGTAATACGAAGGCAGCCCGTTGTTGCTTCACTGAAATTTTATGTACTGTTAGTTCGTTAGGTAGCCGACAGAGTGCGCGCGCAAGTTCGCTACACGTAAGGTAACGTCACGCGGAGAATAATATGTTTCAGAATTGCATGAAAAAGACACTTCTTTTGCTTAAACTTTTTTTTCTCTATGGTTTTATCCTCCCTTTTTTAAATTGGCACTTGAGATATATCGAGGCCTCTCAGGTAATTAAAATCGTACGTAACGAGTATGTACAGCGTGATGAAAAATTCTGAGATCAAACCCCTCAAAAAGTATGTCGCAGTTAATCCATTCCTCGAAGAGCACTTTCCAAATTTCCAGGATACATTCGTACGCTTATTAGTAATTCAAACCGATCGATTCGATTCGTCAATTCGATTTTTAATCTTTAATTATCTCTAGAAGATATTACTTTTTTGTTTAATAGCCCTCAACCATACTGGAATCAGTTCTATCACACACAGTATTAAATATGGTAGGCGTAAGCATGCGTTAGAAAAATAATGTCTTTGACGAAATACAAGGGACGAAAAGAACAAGGCGATGTGGAGGTGCGGATAAGAGACATTTGAAAAGCGCGCCAAAAGCCTTTTGCATTATTAAAATTCTCTTGGTAGCTAACTTCACGGATAATGCTCAGCATCCAATGTGTATATATCTACAAAAATCTAAATATACTGAATAATAACGTGTAACGAAACGCGCTTAATGTAACATACCGAGTATGTTAGTGCAAGTAAGAATAAAAAGAAGTAAGTAATATGAAATTCTAAAAGAAGATTAAAATTGCCATAAAAAGATTTAGGACAGAGATGCATTAGAGTGGATGGGATAACGACAGATTAAACTATAGTAAACGAGATTGAAAAAAGATTTCTTTTAAATATTAAAAATGGTCCCCGCCTCCACACAGCCCGCACAACCTTACCTTTCGGCATCCGTATAGCGAATCGCCGAACAATAATTGAGTCTTAGGAAAAAAAGAAGTCCCTAGTTTCAATTTAAACAATGAACAATAAGACGTTCCTTACAATTTCTTCTTATGTACACATAATATATATATATACATATATATAATATAAATATATATTATATATACACGTCTCCCTTATCTTTTGTGCGTGCGTATCTGTTATCAGGTATTTTTGTCCTTATTAATAATTACATTAAGTCCATTAAGTCATAGTAATCTCATGCGCTCATTAATTAACTCCCACAAGATGCTTTCGCACGCCACGCGGTATTAGTCAACTAATAAATTTTTTTCCTATCTTCCCTTTTTTTTCTTTCTCTCTTCGCTAAGAGAAACATTAATTCGGAGGGCATATGTTGCTTTGCCAGTGAAGGAACTCTGCGATTTATCTTTATTGTTCTCTTTGAGTGGTCTTCAAACGGAGTTTGAATGAAAGGGAGTATCTGAATATTCACTTTGTCTAGCAGTAAGAGAAAGTTTTAAGTGTTGAATAATTTTCCATAATTATATATATATATATATTGCACCTACTTTACACCCTTTTTGCCTTTCATATTATTATTATACCTTATGTTTTCGTCATACTCGATGCGACCTTTACAATGCATTTTCGCTACTTGTCCATAGTACGGGACACGTTTTGGACATTGACAGGACAACTCGGAGGCCTGTCGTCGCGGTAGCAATTATATCAGTATCTGCACGAAGCACTATATTTAGGAAGCGTCGCGACGCCCGGCGTCTAATTATTAAAGAAGACCATTAAACGCGCGTCTCTTTGCCGTTCTTTTTTATTTTATCCTTTTTTCTGCTCTCGTTACAAAAATAAATCTTTCTCCTTTATTCGTATCAGTAAAATTTTTCAAATTCGACTTCGCTCTCCCACTGGCGATCGGGTGATTAATCATTGAATCCTATAGGCGTCGCGACGCTAGGTACATTATGCATCACTCTTATTCTCAAAATTATTACCGCCACTACCACCTGTCAGCTTTTCAATTTCGCAACTTTCAATAAGAAATCTCGTAACATTAAGGACGATCATGAAGAGTCAGCGAGACACGAGGTATACGTTTAAGGAAGTTATCCTTCGTTTTGAGAATAAAAATGTTAGTTTCAAATTTCCCGCACTTTTTTCCTCTCAATTTTCTCTACGGTCGTCGCGACAAGGACGAACCGCCAAGGCGCGTTGGTCGCCAAGGAAACTCTATGAGAATCCTTGACTTATCGAAACTCGTTTCAGTCCCATGGATCTGGATTTTTTTTATTTTCTCTAGAAATTTTTTTTTTTTTTTTTTCTAAAGTACCTTCTCCTTTTTTTTTACATTATACTTTTCTCTCTCTCTCTCTCTCTCTCTCTCTCTCTCTCTCATTCCCATGCAACTCGCTTCGCTCTATTGGAAACGATCGTGCATATTATGATACTTATACTCATAGAGTTGCGCGGCCTTTTGCTGTTGCGGCGAAGGCGGGGACCGTCCGGCTCGCTTCCTGGGATGGCATGCACAAAACATAGCACAAAAAACGCCACACAGTTACAGAGACAGACAAATCGACAGAGAAATTAAAAAAGAAAAAGGGTAAGATCAAAAAATGTCAACTCGTAAACGACAAATGAGACATACCAGGAATGTATAGGGAAGCCATCCTATTATGTTTTTTAGGACTTCTATACAGGACATGTCTACACTATCTGTCATGTATTTACAAAAGATTGTATGAAAAAAGACAAATTAAATTCAGACTATCCAGTACGTTATAGATACGTGATAAAAGTTTCTTATTAAAGCGAGTATACAGGCATTAATGTTATTTTGAATTTCTAGACTCCTAAGTATCCTGTGAGCTATCCTACAGGCATCTTTCCGAATTATTTTGATCCTGCTGTTCTTGAGAATATCGACAATCAACGTTCGATTATACAGGGCGTGTCCGATTTTCGAAAATTCTTCCAGGAAACTACCTTGGTACCTTTTTACGTATTTTTCTTCTATCCTTCAAATCATCTACAGGGTGATCGAGTCATCCGATGACGCATGAGGTATGATGTTGATCCTCTTGGAATTGTTTACCGTTCTCGTCATCGACTCTATATACATTCTCTAACGTTTTAATGTACGAGAGTTCTGGTAACGCTGACTAGGACGATGTGGATGATTAATATATTAAATAAATCCACATAGAAACTCACCTTTGGTCCGCCGCCTCCTCCGCCTCCTCCGCCACCAGTTGCGACAGAACCTCTAGGCGAAGCTATGCAGAGACTCTCGGTGCGCTTTGGCTGACCAGGACTCGGCAGAATATCCTGGCCGAGGTTACGATTCTTCAGTAGAGCTCCTTCGAATTGTCCAGACGTCGGGACTGTGTACACAGGCGTCGCGGCGCCGCTACCTATCGCCGAGCCATTCAGAGGGGTCGCTGCTCGCATCATGCTCGGCGCCCGGACCGACCTATGTTAATAATTATATATTTAATTGACAAGTGAGAGCTTAATTATTTTTGAACACCCTATATACCCTGTACCTGTCAATGCTTTCTTGAGGTGGTAGTATAGTCTTGTCAACGGACGGCTGTCTAGATCCCGTTAATCGTGAATGCGCCCTGGCGTAACGATCCACGGAATTATCTCTACTTGGAGGTCTTTTGTAATGGTCCAACCTAATTAAAGAAATATGCCATTGGATCAAGAATATTTATATGAATAAAAGGTCAAAGAGCATCTTTTCTCCAATACAATTATTACCTGTCATTCAGAGTTTGACTTATCCCGCCGGTAGCAGGTCTATCCTGAGGACTGAGAATTCTGCTGTTTCTTCGTATACTGGTAGAACTCGGTGGTCTCTGCGGATCGATTGGACCATCAGGTTGGTACTGCTGATTAGGTTGCTGTTGCCCATAAATTTGCTGTGGGTTGTACTGATTCATCTGACCAGGTCCATATTGATTTGGTACCGTCGTCTGGGAATGATTATGTTTTCATTAGTATCATTTTTCACGGCTATCTTATCACACGTGAAGGGTCACACCGATCGGGGATATAATTTTCATGACTAAACGGGAGTAATGACATAATTCTTTTTTTTTTTTCTAACAAGATGCAGCAGACTCTCTGTCAAACGTGCTATGAAATATTATTTTCTTTTCTAATATTCAAATGGTTAAACAAAGGGGGTTGTTTTTGGGGGTGCAGTCGCAACGTGTCTTTCGACATCAAATCGCTTACACCATAAAGCTGTGCTCCAAATTGATTCATTTGGGCCAAGGTCATTGGACCATACATTACTGGAGGTAGTGGATACAATATCTAGAAAGAAAATTGCGAAGCATTCAAGCAGACTCTGATAAACTCTTAGGTATATATAAGTACTAAATAAACTACGCTGATCTAATCATCAGCCAATTATTATTTGTCATTACCTGTTGATTCGGATATCCTTGCTGAAACTGATTTTGATATCCCTGAGGTGTCTGCTGGTAGCCAGTATACTGCTCAGACTGTTGACTAGGATTCTGATAAGGATTCGTGCCATATTGACTGTTCTGATTGACATACTGATTTGGTCCAGACGGATACTGATTCTGTGGCGACTGACCGAACTGATCTTGTCCATAATGTTGTCCAGGAGGCTGATACTGACCAGGTATACTATTTGAATAAGGATTCTGCGTCTGGGGCAGCTGATGTGTCTGCTGAGTGTACTGATTCTGACTCGGCTGATATTGATTCTGATTTGGTATAGAATTCTGCATTGGCATCTGACTCTGACTGGATGTCTGATTGAGAAGCTGCGTCTGATTAGGCATCTGATTTTGAATCTGATTCGACGTCGTATTCTGTCCCAGCAATTGATTCTGCGCCGGTTTCATACTGGCCCTACGAATAGATTGTGCTATAGATGACGCCACGTTGCTGGGACTGCTGTTCGGTACACTTCCTGGTGGCTCGGTGGTAGGTGGTTTAGCAGGTGGTGATGCCTGATCGACACTGGCCGTCTTGTGCAATATACCCTTCCCAGGCATTGCGTCCTGGGGCGGTGGAACGTACTTTGGAATTTCACGATTTCGCAACCGCTCCAGGCCCGGCTGCCGAAAATCGGGCGCGAATTGCTTGGCAGTCTGCTGAGCAACCTCGGAATCATCCCTAGCATTTTGAGCTGCTATGTCAGCCAGTTCAGCCTTTCCTCTTGCCGTGGCGGTTCTAGAAATGGCTATGTCCGCCTTCTGCAGGGCAATCTTGCTGGCTCTTTGAGCAGCGCTCACAGCGGCCTCTATCCTTTCCCTGAACTTCGCCGAGCGTATCAGGAACAAGTGTTTCTTCTTCTGGCTCGTTATCAGCACGTTGTTCTTGTACTTGCCCTCTTCCTTGCTACCATCCCTGAAGGTGGTCACGCCGTAACCGTATTTCCTGTTGTTAAACCACTCGCCCTCGTATCGCAGACCATCGCTCCTCTCTGATATACCAAAACCGGTTCTCTTATCGTTCTTCCATTCCCCCAGGTAGGTTTCCGTAACCGAAGCGTCCATTTGCTCGTCCTGAAAGGATAACGGATAGACATCAAAATCCTGGACCATCCACTTATCAATTTACACAACGGGCCAAGTCAATTTTAATAAACCAGATGACCAACCTCGATAACGAAAGACGCATTGCTGTCCGTATGAACCGACGCGGATGCTTGACTCTGTGAACTCTCGGTGGACATCCAGGACGCCGAGCTGGCATTGCTTCTAATACTACCACCTGTTCCACGTTTCTCAAGATCACTGGTACTCTTCTGCTTGCGTATCTTCAAACCCTAAAATCACACCCCCCATTCTTATTCCATCCCCTAGGTCCTATAAACTGTATCATAGAATCACAGGAAGTTCTCAATACCCACCGAGAGTATACCCTTCTTCAAGGACTTCTCCGTAAGGCTCTTTCTTCGTGCTGGCTGATCATCGCTCCGTGCCTTGAGAACAAAACCACCCCGACTATCGTCAACCCTCCGATCTCTACGGTCCGTTGGTTCAGGTGTTGGTGCAGTAACAGGACCACCATCAGCACTCCGGAGGGACGTCAACGACGCCCTGACCTGCTTCGGTGGTTTATAATGAGAAGCAAGGCCAAAGGGTGCACTCGCCCTTACACCATAACCGTGTCGCATCCCTCTCAACCATTGTCCCTGATAGGTACCTGTGAAGAAAATAATCAGTCAATTAATACACTGAAATTCTCACTTCTCATACTTAACCCAATTTTTCATATTGCCCAAATTTGATTATAAAAACTATTAAAACTATTGGTCTTGCCAAAACATTACCGCATTTCAAAATCACCGTTATGAATCACGTCCAAAGATACGTCCCACGAATATACATATTTATATGTATACCTACGCAGAATCCCCTGAGAAGAATGACGGGGTGGATACGTAAACGAGATTTGACCGACAACATTTTTTTGTACATTCCTCATTCTCTCCACAACAATTGGGTAGACATTTTTCTACCGCAGCCATTTCCACAGAAACTTGACTAGCACAGAAACCTTATGCAGAGTTTATGGCGTGATTATTTTTAATTTGTACTTTTTCTTTTTCATTCAAAAAACAAATTTCTCATTTTTCATAAATCGTGCCACGGTACGAGTCGTCGTGTAAATTCTAAATGAATCCATCCAGTTTACACGTGTCCTCTTGATTTTCATAATTCCTTTATCCAGCCTCCCTTCCCACTGACTGCCTTATCAATGGCTCTCATCGTTCGGAAAATACTCCTGTGCGAACCGGCCTTAACGATCGTCGTTCTAACGTGGCGCATGCTGCGCGACGTTGCAGGCTACACTTGCGTGAGCTATTCAGGTCAACTCTTCCTCGTCTCTTGGTAAAGCTTATGAACAAAAAGTTTCTCTTCTCATTCTCCCACGTACTTTACTACCCGACAGACGTAACGTCTCTGTCGCTCCAACAGATTGAACGCAACATTATAAATTTCCAATATCAAGCTTTACCGAGAGCATTTAGCAAATTGCACTCGGAGACTCGAACAGCAAAGCTACCCGTCAAACTTCGTTTGACAACGAAATGCAAATTACATGAAGAAAGTTTAAAAGCTAGATAGGAACATTGTATGCGTCTCGATCCTTTCGCTCTTATCCATTAATTTACAATAGTGAAACGCTTGAAATCCAAATTCGTATAATCAGAAAGACTGTTAAAAAGCCATTGAACATTAATCTGTATTGGAACAAGTCCATGACGACCCATGGAGACCTGACCTGTGTCAATTATCGAGATCAATGTTCACAATGGCACCAGCCAATACAATATACCGCGTGTCGATAAATTACACAATGACAATTACAAAGCGCTATATTTCCCTTCAGCCGTTAAGCGTTTATATAAGGGAGTCTAGTAATTCTTCATCCCCTGGAATCATCGAAGCAATCGAAAGTGAAGGCCTGATCGATATACCTGCTAATTAAATCTAACGCTTCCCGATAATGCTGCCCGCTTCTATCCCGTATCACGTCTATTTGCTCTTGGAATCTAATACACAGACAATTAGGGCCTGGGGTTAAACGAACATTTCGTACGGCACTGTAACGCTACATGGCACTGGCTGGTCCGCCTGAAATAGCGCGACCATCTCGACAGTCGTAGTTGGCTGCACGTGCATTGGAAATGGCAAGGTGTGCGTGAAAATTAGCCGTGCGAGTGTATTTCGGTCCGCAGCCTCCACCAGATCGTCACTGACTGCCCCACGAGACTGTTGGTCAATTCCTATCCAGAGCAGAGAGTCCCAGGAGATGATGGCAGGATTGGCAATAGAACTCCTTGCGGTTTCAGGCCTGACACCTCAAGGATTAGACTCTTTTAAGGTTGCAGGATATGATCGTGGGATAATCTGAAGAAAATTTTTTAAATTTAATACAGATATATCAAGTTCAAGCGTCTGAGATGATAAGGGTGATAAATTGAAAAAAGGGAGGAGGGTCTTTGCTTGCAATTTGACAATTCAGTGATTGCCCACAAGTCTCTCTCGCGCTCAGGGTAGATATAGAAAAATTCAAAAAATGCTTACTTGTCTTATGTGAAACAATTTTGATTTCACGTAGCTATTGACGTGTATTTTTTAAATGGGGAATGGTTGCACCATTTTATTTTGCGCTTGAGAAGCCTTCGGTTGGGCACACACCACACATCTACAAAAAATTCAAACTTGTCTTATATGAAACAATATCGATTTCACGTAGCTATTGACGTGTATTTTTTAACTGGGAAATGGTTGCACCATTTTATTTTGCGCTTGAGAAGCATTCAGTTGGACACACCCCACACATCTACTTCCAGCTTGAGGGGTGTGCTTTCATGAGAACTAAACGTTTGACGATGATCAATAAGATTTTTCACGTGGATGAATCCATCTGAAAATTATTTATCTTTTTTTTAAATATATTTTCATCGATCTCATCCTCGTTTGATTCATCCATCACGTGGCTATCAAGCGGGTCCTAAGTTTGCCAAGTTGAAGATTGAAGCTGTCGAACCGATGGAATTCGAAATTGAAAGCGTAGGCTTTGAAGATCCGGCATAACCCCAGTTATAGGTTAGGGTTACTATTCTGTTTGATGAGAAATACACGGGTGCGTATGAACATACGTGTCGTGCGTGTTTTATAAATAAGAATATCGGGAATGGCCCGTGGGTTGAGATCGCTGGTTTACTCAGTCGATTCGTTGTTTATCCGAGAATACTCGGTCCATTCATTTTACTGGGAAATTTCGTGAACCCTTCGTGCCATTTACGAACTCGACGATAGGAGAAAGAGTTGACTTGGACGGAGAATCTTTCTTTCCATCTTTCTTCTTCCTTTTCTATACCCCCCCCCCGCCCTCTCTCAGGCCCTCCAAAATCTTCGAAATATCACATAGATACTAAGCCACTGACGTCCGTGGCAAACTGACAAGATCTAGGAGAAAGTTCAGGAAGAAAATTAGTTAAATATTATAACAGAATATATCAATGACGACTCACCCCTAATTTTGGATCCATTGAGTACTTGGTCTTTTTTGCTATTTATAAATACTGCCATATGCCACGAAGAAATTGGTGTACAGCAGTAAAGGTATAAGAAGGCCAGCACGATGGATAAATCAGATGAAATTAGAACGTTTAACTTTAACGTCATTTTAATTAGTCCTCTCTCTCTCTCTCTCTCTCTCTCTCTCTCTCTCTCTCTCTCTCTCTCTCTCTCTCTCTCTCTCTCTCTCTCTCTCTCTCTCTCTCTCTCTCTCTCTCTCTCTCTCTCTCTCTCTCTCTCTCTCTCTCTCTCTCTCTCTCTCTCTCTCTCTCTCTCTCTCTCTCTCTCTCTCTCTCTCTCTCTCTCGTAGCTACAAAGGGACTAAATAATTTAATACGAATATATTAAAACTTTAAGGGATGTAAGAAATTTTTTGCCAACTTATTTTTTGATCTATAAACCAGCTACAATCGTAACTATCTTAACCTTAAGAAATTCAGTGAATTCTTGGTCGTGTTTGACTGTTTGACTTTTTTTTAGTGTACGCATTGCGATCGACTTTCCTATTAAAATTTGAGAGGGCTTGAACGACGATAACGAGACATGGAAATTTTTGTGACGACGGGGTGGTAAGTCTACGCTTAATATTTATGAGGGTCGAAGGAAAGAGCAAGTGCGCCGTAACGAGTTGTATTGAGCGATTCACCCTCGGACCACTGGCGAACTGGTAGAACCGAAATTTTGAAATGACTGGTGACAAAAGGGTTGAGCATTTGATAAAGGATGAAAATTGGGTAAACAAGATATCGTGACAAGTACAGATACGTGAGACGAATATTATTTCATGAAGTATGAAATTATTTGGTTCTTATTAAACGAGCACGGAAGCCTCGGTAGAAAATTCGTATTAACTTTCTGTCTCATTGGAACACTATGTATACGGTTAAAAAAAATTACAATTTACTCGTGAATAACTGACATTTTACTGTTTCCATTTCGCCCTAACACTCTTCTGCGTGCACCTGTACGATTCCGTAAGAAATTCATTGAGAAAAATTTTAAACGTATCTCTACGCATTGAACTCTGTATCGGATCAAGGTCTCCTCCATTATACACAAAAATAGATATGCAGCTGCGCCATTTTCATTGATCAACAACGACGCCTAATAATATCCCGGTACAATTGTCCGAGGAATTGTAGCAGACAAAATAATAACTGTTCAATAGGCAAAATGCGTAACAAAATCGTAATTCTCAATCTACTCCAATGCTACACCGAACGACGTCCATCTCGAGTACTTGTGGAATTTCAAGCACAGCCCACGAACAGAATCGTCGAACAGTAGAAATATGTCAATCAGCCACCTACTCATCGGTAAATCCAAGAAATGCATTTGTACTATTTCCACAAGAGTTCGAAGCGCAGCTCGAGAGCAATCAGTTCGGTTATAAATAAAGCGCTCGAGAGCCAGCAAGATGAAATGCAATAAAACTTATCTGCTTGGTCCAGGAGAGTGAAGTGTGCGCTATTCCAAGCCGATCTCAAACAGCAGCACACTTTTATATCACAGCCAAAACGGATATCCGTTATCAATAATGTGATTCCTCGATGGTTCAGGAACTCCTGTGGTTCTCAGAACTGTTTTTCACGAGAAAGATCACTGACGACAATCTTCATTCCTTTCCTTATAGCTAAATGGATGTGTCAGAATAACAATGTTTCGTCAGCCATTTGAAATTCCGTACGTTAAATAATTGTTAGATGCGCACGTTGCCAAGCACGGTACAGTGGAGCCCTCTGTGGATCGTCCTACGTACTAAATATCCGAATACTTTTATCCTCCCTACAATCTTCTCTACCATAGACAGTGATAATTTCTTATTTTTACTCTACCGTACAGATTTGGAATATTCATCGATTAAAGATGGCGAATTCGCGAGGCACGTGCGACTCATGCGAAAACCAGGTGACTCGTGACGATAATGTGTATCCGGAAAAATATGCGCCCATTCCTTTAAGCTCTTGATGCGGACCCGGCTATTTCCGTCTTCGCGCTGTCCGCGATGACGTATGCCTAATAAAAAAAAAATCTCCGGCTTCTAAGGTTCTAGGGAAGTTACGAGCTAGTGGCCAGGACGTTCCTGACTGATATTACGGAGATATCCCGACGCCAGGAACGCAATTGGAATTCAATCAGATACTTGACATGAAGTACATACGCTGATCGCCGGCAATGAACCTACATAGCCTGACTTAACCTAACCTCCGCTGCAAGGCTAAAATCATCTATACGAATGACAGGAGTGAGGATGACTTTGATTGGGATCAATATACATTGACATTCCTCGATACACTCTCGTTACACAAAGTAAGAATACTTCCAGATGCAATTTTATCTACGTTATCGATCCCAACGAACTCCACGTCGATGTAAGAACTTTTAATGATTTTTTAATTTCACTAAACAAAAGTTCCACTGACATCTTTTTTCCATTTATTCCATCCAGGATAACCGGGCTCAAATGTTTCGCAACGTACAAGAGTCTTTTATCGTGTACGAGTATCTGGAATCATCAAGAACATTCAAGAGGATCCTCTCTCGAGCGAATACGATCCTGAATCTCTAATCTAAAATCACAGCAATAATCGTGTACTCAAGGGGTTCTTATTATTCCACGAAACGTCCTGACCTTCGTGACGCTATTTCGACATCGGGAGAAAAATATAAAACGTGAATCCACGTGCGTCAGAGATTCTAATGATCGCGTGCTCATCAAACATTTCAACCCCCGTTTTAACGTATCTTATAAGCAGCTCACCTTGGATCCCAATCTGACCCCTTAAAATTCAATGCTTGTCCCATCCCTGAGGGATACGACATATCCCCGGTAACTTGACAATGGCCAAAGTTTTCACCTTGAATTGACATCCGAAGGAAGGAACACGATGTTGAAAATCTTTTTAAAAATTCACACAGGATACAATGGATGGAAAATAATTATGATTGACCGGTTGGCTGGCTTCCTGGGACATGGCACCGAAATCCGAGATGATCGACCGTTACGTCTAGAGTTCCCGTAGACACGTGCGAACAGCACGCGCGTGTTATATACATATATATATATATATAAACACAGCAGCAAATGATAGCAGCGGTAAGCCACTCGATAAGGTCCAAACCTTTTCCTTTCACTTTGAACCCTTCCTCATCTTCGACTCACTCTCTTCCCACGTGTTACGTCATCTAGATCCAATGCTCGTGCCAGCCCCACCTACAGATGCTAATGCTAGCCATCTTCAAGTGATACGCTTCACTGGACGAAATGAATGCCAGAGCAACTTGTGTGTAAAATTCAAAGCATCGAGGACATTTCTGTGAGGGGTTGGATAGACAAGAAGGGATAGGTAGGATATAACCAGGGTATGGAAAAACGAGTCAAGGGTAAATATTGCCAGGATATAGCAAAGTCAAGTAAAACCGGATGTTCCCTTTCCGGTTAGTGTCATGGATCTTGGTCAGAGGGTGCCTTTTGCCCGGTATTAAAGAGGAAAACGAATTCAAGAAGAAACTCACCGCTATCGGCGTAGGTCTCCGAACCGTATCCATCCTGAAGTCCACTGGCCCACGTACCCTCGTACCTCGCCGTAGACGTCGTTGATTGTCGCACCCCGTAACGACCCTTATATCCCTGAGTCCATTCGCCCCTGTAGAGCCAACGACCACGAGTCTCCATACCGAGACCGTGACGTTTGCCATTTTGCCATTGTCCTTCGTACGCTGATCCACTGTAATCAAACAATAATAAGCATGAAGTTTAAATATTGCTACAGATTGGATAAGGTGAAAACAAGTCCTTTTATTCATGATTAAAATATTTTGTTTACCAACGGTTGAAACGACTCGTTCGTGCCTACCGAAGAAGTAAAAAGAAAGAAAAAACGGTAAAAGCAGGGAAAATTCTGGTGACCAGCGTTTGATGCACTTCTTCGATTCGATTATCGTTTTATACAATAGTTGACGCTGTAATAGTTTGCTTGCTGATAATAAAAGTGCTACTGTCTGCTCTCAAAGTGATCTTATAAGGGAAAATTTATAATTAGAGTTCTCGAAATGACCGTTGACGATTTTGTGAAATATTCAATTGTCTTTAATTACAATATCAGTTTTGTTCATTTTCTTTTCTGTTTAAATCAAGCTACTGTATACGTTTGACATCTCTAGTGGAATTAATTAAGGATCTGTGTCCATTTCTCTGTATACTTTTGATTTAGTAAAAAGTTGAACATTCCTGCATTTGGACATTCTTTCTCTGACACAGGCGATGAACCTAATTAATTGATCCAACAGGCGAACAACGTTAAATTCCGACATTAAGAGAAGCCCATTTATCTAGGTCGAAAATGCCCTAGCTGGGGAACGTCATTCCGAAATAAAAAACGAGCATTCTATTTTTGCCGATGGTTCTAGAATTCAGATTTAAGAGATTCGACCGAGATACACAAAATAACGTGACACTGTTTCCGAGATAATTTGAAATAAATAATTAAAACCGCCTTTCCATAGGAAATTTAATGACAGCACGAATACAAAATTTCTACCGAACGACACATCGCATACTGATAAGAGAAATCATTTGAAATTCTCATCTCGAGGTTCGTCAAGAATTTCCAATTTTCCACGGTGATTATCTCTGACGTCCCTGAACGAGGTCTAGTCGTCGGAGTCCCAGTGACCTGGACTCGGCATCGTCCTTGCACTCGGTGTCCCAGTTTCAGGGTGCGAGACTCCCACCCATCCAGAGGAAGCAGGATACGTGTCAAGGTCTCGCACCTAGTCCCCCTCAATCGGGATTCTCGCGTAACGTCCATGAAACGGGAAAAGCTTGAGGCTTCTGCCAAACAAGCTATAACCATCTGCTGGTCGTGCGTCAAAGAATAAAGCTAGGCATACGTGAAGACTCATAGGTAGACAATAGCGCATAGCGTAGCTACATATATATAAAGTATGAACTCACCTGGGCCAGGTATAGACGCCAGACACTTCGAAGCCATAGTGCCAGCTACCGGAATAGGCGCCCTGCCCTTTGGGTCCAGTGCAGACTCCGTGACCGTGAGCCTTGCCATCCTCCCATCCTCCGCAATAAGTCCCACCGTCGTCAAAGTCAAATCTGCCTCCATTGACCTGGGCACGATTTGACGTGGTGGTACCGGTCGCCCCTGGCTGAGCAGGACTGATCCCACCGGGCTGGGACACCTGTACACCACCAGCTATCCCGTTGGGGGCACCAGGGGCTTGCTGGCTTTGCTGGCCCTGAGGCTGTTGCATGTCGTTGCTCGATCGATCCTGGTGGCTAGGCCTCGATCGCGCTTCGTCCGTTCGTCCGTTGGTTCGTTGCTCGTCAGCAGCGCGCCTTCACCACGTGTTCCATCGTCGTTGCCTCGTTTATCGGGCCTTACGAGCTCCGACTTTCTGGAATAGAACTTCCGTTGGTGTTCGTTGACGTCGTGAACGCAGGCACAACTGTGGGTCTGATCTTCAGGATTTTCATAGGATTATTAATAAGAACGATTTTATTGAAACGACACGAATCCTAAATCTACGAACCATGATCCCACGAACGTTATAATAATGAGGTTAAGAATCGAACGAGAGCATCTTTCGCGAACAGAGAGAAGCTGTACGCCGTTGTACTTTGCGATAAAAATATTCTGCGATAGTCTAAAAATATACCGCAATGTCCGAGCATTCCGCTCCGACACAGAGCAGTGTAGTCCGGGATGAGTTTTCCTCGTGTACCCGACAGAAAACCGTGCCAGAAATGGCAACTCATGAGAAACGGGATGAGTAACGAATACAGAGTAAGAAATGAAACTCTTCGAAATATTTCAACAACAAAAATACAGCAGCCCGCGCTAGCTGCAAGGGAAAGGAGGTAATACCGAGTGATAAAAACAAGAAACGAGAAAGACGAAATTCAATCCCGTAGGATCAGACCCCTGTTTTCAAAATGTCCGCTATCACTGTTCCCATTGGTTCACTTTCGTCGTATTTCCAATTCTTATATATTCGTTCTCGACGCGTACACGTCGATTGTGAATCATCCTCAAAGGACTACGTTTCCACGTATACGTATACGTCACTGTCATCCTTCACGCACTTTTTTCCCTATGCCTTATTAGAGGTTAGATAAAAATCTCGTCTAACAGCGTCTCCAATGGCGATGATTTTAAATAAACCTCTGGTCGCTAATTTATACGTAAATCCCATGTAAATCCACACGCACAAGATCGGTAATGTGAAACACCCTTTATATTATCCACTCTTATTCCTTTCCCTTCGACTCATCATTCATGCTTGTCGCGTTACTGTCGCGCCTTGCGTGCGCACCCTTAAGCTTACATTTTACACCACCTACGTGTTGCACTTCGCGCCTATCTCATAACCTCAACTTTCACGGCGCAACTTGACACCTACGTTATACTTATACCGTGTATACACTTTCCTCACGTACTCTCTTTCTACGTACCTAAACGCACCCGTGCATGCGTATACGCGGGCCGCACGTCCCGAAGACGCGAAGAGAACACCCGCGATGTGATGGAGTCGATGCTGCCGTCGCCGCGCTGCCACCGCGTCTAACGCCCGTTACGCAACGCTTCTATAAGCATCCGTGATCTGCTCGGAATGTGGTCTTCTCGGCACCACCACCACGAGAGTACGTTTCCGAATTGTCCTCCGAGCTTCCTGGACATTTTTATATGGCTACGTACTCCTGGAGGATCCGATAAAGGATACGCAAGCTGAGACAGGACGTTTGGTTATGCATAACCTAAATTTGACTTGAGCTGACTAGCCGGACATACGAATTGCTTGGCAGTTCAGTATCGTATAGAAAGTACCAAGTTAACCAAAGTTACCAAAGTTAACCATAATTCATTGGTAAAAATGTGTTTTTAACTGGCTCGGTAAATATTTTAAGAGTCATGGCTACAGTTTTTCGTACGAGAGAACCTGGGACAACGTAAAGAGATTAATGCTCGTAGAAGAAAAATCGTCTGATGAATATCCACACTGGTATGTAAATTGCTTGTAATACAGTTTCAGAGTGGATTCTTGTGAGTAAGAGAGAGAAGGAAAGAGTTATGCGTCAAAGAGAGAGAGAGAGAGTATCCCATAAAATTTAAGAAATTTCAAAGAACATTAGAACCAATCTATTCGTACGATTGCTGTACGTTAGAATGAATAGTGTATATAAAGTAATAATAAGATGTATAGAGAAGCTCTCCCGACTGTCTCTTTGCCAATTCAATCCAAATTTGGGTGTGGGCAGGTCGGGCCGATTCACTCTACGAGGATGTCGTGGTTACAAATACTAGATACTCGTCTTCTTAGAATCGTTGGGGACTTAGCTAGTAGCAGGGGTTCACACCTCGTTGGAGGCTACAGCCGTTAGCTAGGTGGCTAAGCTAGCTAGCTAGCTAGAGCTTCTATTTTTATCATGGGGTAGCGAATTGTTCCCCGTCCCGTTCACGAGACGCAGCCAGTGAGGTCCGCAGCCGCGCGTTCGCCAATGCGACCGGGTTCAAACCATTTATAAATAGTAGGAGTCACAGCGAGAAAATCAGCAAGGATGCCGAATACCACGCGCGTTATCGTTACGCCTTTACGTTTGGTTAAAATGGTACCAATGTACTGCTATGATCTACGAGAGCCACGACCACGATATAAACGCCAGTAGAGATACATCAAAATATAGAATCACGAAGGAAAACACGATAAAATTAAAACGTAATTCCTCGATAGAAAACGATCAATGAATTTAATTTTAATTGAATAAAATATTAATTCAACAAGGTATCGGTTACTGTAATTATAGTCCCCATGTGTCAATTCGCTTCGTCTAATGCTGCAATTCTTTTTTGCATCGTCATCGATCGTCGTGTTTCGAGTGAAAATATAAAAAGATAAATTGTTCAGAAGTTAACTGGTAAACTGGACGATACGAACGAAGGAGCACGTGAAAAATAATGAATACCTAGTGCGCATGCGCAAAGGGAATTCAAAAGTGCAATTGGATAACGGTCGGAATCGACGCGTACGAACCGTACACGATGGACTCGTCTTGTGAGATAATTTCATCTAACAATTCTCATGTTTTCTCTCTCTCTCTCTCGCCCCCTCTCTCATTTCTCTCCCACCATTGCACTCTCTGCCTCTCCCTCTCGCGCATACGACAGGACATAGAACAGTCCAGTTGAGTTCACATTACAGGATGCATTCTCACCTCGTTCGAAGCCCAGCGTGTTTATTTAGATACGCGCTGCGAGAGACACGAGCATTTAACAGTGAACCTTTTAGGCTTACAGGAGCCACCATTTACGTGGATGAACAACGTCTGTTGAAATTAAATGAAGAATTCACTTTTTTATTTATTATTCTTCTGAACATGACGCGACCAATCGCGTTTTTACTACCATCCACCATTATCCCTTCTTACAGGCAGCATGTGGGATACGAGAGACAGGCACGAGGCGTCTTCAGGATTTATTCAGTAGCGCCAGATTTACGTGTACCGAAGAAATAAGGTAAGACGACGCTTGGTAATATCTTTACGACTTCGGGGCGCTCCGTGACTCGTGGAAACGTCCAATAGGTAGAATCGAAGACGCCGACCGTCTTTACTGAGCGGATCCTCTTTTTTGTTTCCCCTCTTACCGACTACGTTTACACGACGGTCTTAAACCGGTTTAGATAATACTGATATAAAATAATTGACCAATTCCAAATATTCCTTAGAAGTAGAAATTTCTATTATTTGTATATCTCTTTAGATCAGTATTAACTAAACCAGTCGAAGACCGTCCTGTAAGCGTGAATTGGTACACTCGTGGCTTTGTTCACAAGGATTTCGTTAGGACGACGGGTGGCAGCGACGAGGACGACAATAATTATATACCGAATAGCATGATCCTTTCGGCTTTTGTTTTCTTCGGTTTATTCTTCGTATACGTTCCAGTCGATATTTTTTCTTCTCAATTCCTCCGTTAACCAATCACGAGCTTGTTTTCGTCGTGTACCTATGCGGACAGTAACGTATACGTGTAAATCGATTCTTAAATAATGTGTGACACGTGCATCTTCTTTCCTTCCTTCTTTAATTTATCGCGCACTCACTTCTCGTACTTTTCGCTTTACTAACTCGTTACGTTTATATTACACTCCCGTGGATACGGACACCGCCCGAACGCGGAGGAAAACTTTTATAGGAATTGCCTTTAATGATACCCTGGTTACGTCGTGTTGCGTCGCGATGCTCTGGCATCGAAGGGCTGCTATATATATGTGTCTGTGTGTATATATTTTTTTTTACTTTCGGCGTCGACTGCCTCGGAGGATAGGGTCGTGTGTCAGGGTGGTGGCATGGTTGCGACTACCTCGGCACTGCCCTCACGGCGTCGCGACGCCTCGCGTCTCTCCTGAAACACATGCGCTGTTCGATACCAGCTAAAGCTCGTGTTCCATTCAGTCAGTACGAACGGAACCGACGCGCTGATGGCGAATTGTTTTTCTTCTTTTTTCTTCATTCTTACTGATTACTCAATTTTCTACTTTTTATCGTATGGCCACTGTTACCTCCTTTCGTTCCGATTATGTATCTTCTCGTTCAATCAACGACCAGAAGCCATTGAGAAATACTTCATGAAGTAGTCAGAATGTTTGGGTAAGGTACGAAGACAATTTTGGTCTCCTTCGTAAAATTCTTTAATATTCGATTGGTCTGTCGATGCTTATTAATGAACAGTAGGAATAATGTATAGTAATAATTTGGTACCAAGAATTGAATAGGTTTTGTAACGAGACCTTAATTACTTCGATGTTAACAAAGCTGTCTCTGGTCTCATCAGCTTCTTCTGGCATACTCCTTTTTTTCTATCCAGAACATTGTCGACAATCACGTAACGACTGTCATAACCTTTTTTATAGAGATTTACCATCAGGGCATCTATGCTCTTGCGTAGCTTAACGCCGGATACTGGAATGAGATTACGATGTATAAAAATATCTATTCTCAAATGGATCCTGCGGATGTTACTGTACTTCATCCAATAGCGACGATCCATACCTTCTCGAGGGTTTCTCGATCCATTTTTCTTCTTTCCTGCAAAAGCGGCGAGAAGTAACGAAACTTCGACCATGCTCTGCAATGCTTCAGTTATCGACGCCCCGAGTAATCGTTGATCAGTCGTTTTCGGTACACGCTTCGGCAATTGGCCGCTAGATCGCAGCACCGTCTACGGCCTTTCCACAGCTGACGTCTATACTTAGAACGAGATACCCTGCTGAAGCCTATATTCGATCAGCTGTTCCCCTTTTAAATTAATACATTGTATCTGGCATGCTTTTAAGATTTTGAAAAAGGCAACAAGTTTAAAGATTATTTTTTTTTTCATCATAGTCATTAACGTTCTGGATAAAAGAGTGAGAAATTTTTGTTGGATCCTCCGCGTGGTCTTGCATCGAAGTTCAATATGCTGATGTGCTGAGTAAAAAAACTTTAAGGGCCAGAATTACGAAATGAACAACAATTTTTTTCAATGATCCTTAAAGTAGTGTCATCGGTATTTGGACCAAGCAAGTGACAATCTCGCGATCACAATACTAAGACCCTTGCTCATACCCCTCTAGACGGTTAATAGCGATTATAAGAGAGAGGTATGAGTAAGGGTCTAAGTCATTAGTATCGATATCGAGGAAAATCGTAGCATAGCTTGATAAATATTTTTATTGAAATCAAATGTCAATTAATCTTATCTATTAAGAAACAATTCAAATCCACTCACAGGTTAGTCCTTTCGTAAGACACGAAGATTTGAAGAGGACATTAAAGACTTGACCTATTGCGTAAAAGGTAATCTATAATCTATAATCGTGAAACATGTTTTCCGAATGGAATTTAAGTCAATTTGAAAAAACAGTAGTATTTTTTGTTTGTTTAAGAATGACGTACATTAGTTTGTCACATACTGTTTTTGCTCAATCTTATTGCAACTTGTATCAGTGCCACAACATCGTCGTACAATATATTTCAGAGTGCAACAAGATTGAAGTAATCACGTATTTTTCGGAATCTGTTACTTGAATAACAGTTCTAACGGCGATTTTGTAGCAGCGTAATGATACAAGTATTCTAAACTCTGAACCTGAGAATGAGAGTAGTACGGTTGTTATGAAAACGGGAAAGTGGGGGATGTCGTATATAATAACATACGATCGGATATATCGAGTTATTTCTTATTTTGTGAGATTACAGTTCGACGGATTCAGAAATTGTGAGAGAAGAAACCAAGAGAGAAGTCTTAAAGTTAGGTTACGAGGAACTGGAATTGATTGGTAAATTTTTATATTTCGGTCGATTCCCCCTTTTATTTTTGCACCGCGTGATGTATTGAGAAAAAGTGTGAGAATAAATAAAAAAAAAAAAGAAAAATAGTGGGTAAGTGTCAGGTTACATCAGCCAGGAGGCACGACCCTCACGCATGGCTTCGGGTTTCAACTGGTAATAGAATTATGTTCCCTTACTGCGAGAAATTGATTTTCCTTAGCACCTTTCTCAGTGCAGATCGCAATGTCTTTCGAACAAGATCATAAAGTAGAGACATCGTCCTCGTACGTCTTTAGTACAGTATATTATTGTATAATTATTAAAATATAAATTTCAAACTTTATGACAGTCATCGTAATACAGTATAACGTAGATAATACAACTTTTGGTATGATTTTGTATCGTTAATTGTAAAAGTGAAATTTGTATTATTCCGCTTTTAGAAAAATGTTGAACGTGCGCACTCTCCCGGATACAACGGGAAACAGAGGAGCGGATCTTCTGAGAGTCTCCTTGAAGGTTCAGTCGTTGAGTTTGGATGAATCCGAAAAATTCGTCGAGAAACGGAAATCAGAATCCTCCGATGTCCAAGACAACTGTAAATCATCCATTTTAAAGATTATATCCCTTGACGAAATCGCTTGGCACGATACACTCGATGACTGCTGGTTCGCCATTTACGATTACGTTTACGACTGTACAGGATTTGTCAAGGATCATCCTGGAGGTCTTGACGTTATCCTCGAATACGCTGGTAGGGATGCCACTCTGTCCTTTATCGGAACGGGACACTCAAAATTCGCAAAGCAGACCTTAGAGAAATATCTTATTGGCGAATTGCCATTGAACGAGAGAATTTATCGTATTCCTGGAGGTGTCAAGATAACAGGATTTTGAAGATTACAAGGGAATTCATTGTCAAGAGGCTGCTTTCAACAGCGTGAACAATTTGACCTGGCGGTATATATGTTATAAACTTGATCAGTGAATTTATGCGTGATAGATATTGAACGTTTTCTATAATATTTATACATTTCGTATTTGTTATGAGACATACAATTTTTATTCGTTCTGGTATCAGTTTTGCTCGCATGATAATGCGACTTTTTATCCCTCTTTTAGAAGTATTTAACCTCTACTGGGTTACATCATGCGAATATGGGTGATGACTATGCAAATTAGCTTAGACAAGGCGGGACTCTTGGGATGGAGCGTAGGATAAGTATAATTTTAATATAATATAATACGTGCTGCTCGAGACAATAGCCTGGGTTATGTTAATTTTAATTTTGTAATAATTCGAACCTTGTGTGTTACATAACCGTCGTAGATTAAAATCATCAGTATATTTATCATGTACTTAATGCTCTTGACATAAACAGTTAATTTATAAGATATTTCATACAGCACGTAATCTATCTTACTTTTTTTCTACTGTGTGATATCTAAAATGTGCATTCGTAGAATTTTAATATTGAAGTATCATTAGCGTCATGGCAGTTAGTAATAAAAGTAAATGTGATTGCAATTAAATGAAATCAGTATCGAAGGCGATGTTCTGGGTTTTATCTTTCAATTATTAAACATAAAGATTAACATCAGAATCGCTTGGACGAGAAAGTTCGATAAAATAATGATAGGGCAGACATTAAAACGTTACGAAAATTACGTGGAAACTCTAATGATAATGTCTTATTGTGTGAACGTATGATAACTGTACCAAAGTGTTTGTTACGGAGTGATATCATTTTTAAGTTTGAGAAATTGTCTGATATATTATCACCTAAGAAAGTGAATGGTTCGCGGGGTCTCTCTATGACGCACCGTGGAATCCGATTAATATCGCTCGCTATGTAAACCGGAAAGAATCCGGTTGTAAACTGGCCGTAATCTCGGTGTTAGGAGACAGAAGGTCCCAGTGGAATGGAACCAGCATTTCCGTGCTAGGATAAATAAAGGATGCAAAGATAAAGTCGTACGAGAGGATCGATTCCGTTTGTGTCTTGAGGTTTTTTTACTGTTCATTGAAATCGGGGCCGCCTGGAAAAATGTCTCTGCTATTGAATAAAGGTACGTGGTAATGTTTGGTATGCTTTTGGTTAGAATCACACGAGTATAGGCGTGTAGGAGCTAGGTTGCGGTCGCTTTTTTGCTGGTCGCGGTGGTTGTGTCGGCCATAAGGGTCCATTTCCAATGTTCCGCTGGTGCGAAACGAGGAAACACGAAACGTCGTAATGGCGAGTGCGTCCGTCGTCACATATTTGATATCGCGATAAATTTGGGCGTTCGTGCTCGCAGTAACCATCGTCCTGGTGTAGCGTGCGCGTCGCGGTAGTTTCTTGGACTCCTGGTGCGTCGTGCGACATGCTAAATGTGCGTGATTAAGCGCCGCGAAGATTCGGAGCTGCGGGTGCACTGTGTCAGTGATTCACTTCTTGGACATGGGAGTGAACAATACAAATAATAGATGATAATAGGGACCCTTGAGTATACGCCAGCAGCTCGTCAAGGTCCTGTAGTTTATATAGAGCACCCTGGAGAAGGGGTTGGATTTAAGAGTGACTAGGACGCATCGTCTGGACGAATAATAAATATACATCTAGAGCATACATATATACACATTCCTGTGGCATCTGTAGAATATGAAATCTGTTCGATTATGAAGGTAACCGTGTGCTTCGATAACGTCAGGGTAGTGGTTCCCTGTGGAGATGGAACCCTTCTTGTTAAGGACTTGATGCACGAGGCTATTTTACGATACAAGAAAGCCACTGGCAAGAGTGACACCACTCTTGTTATTAACAGTTTGTCTTCACTGACTGGTGGGGGTTTGTTGGATCCTGACGACAGACTATGCGATGTAGCTGATGATAGGGAACAGATTGTTGCTCATTTTGTGAGCAATGACGTTTCCCATGCCGGTGGTGATGGGGCAAGCTCTGTTGGAACTAATAGTCCAGATTTCTTTCATGCTGAGAATAAGGAGCAGCACTACAATGTTGATACACAGAATGCCATTCCTATCAGTCATATTAAGAGAGAGAGCACCAAAAGGCTGTCCATGCATGCATTGTCCAGTAGGGAACCATGTCTCGCCACTTATTCTGCACAGTCTCTTCCAAGGGAATCTAGACGCAAGGAACCTTTGGGACAGGATGCCAAGGCTCAATATGATTTTTCTAATTCCAAGGCTGATTCAAGTGATCAAGGAGACATAAGAGAAATTGTTATTAAGAATGAAGCTGGTCCTTTGGGGCTACACGTTGTGCCGTGCTATGATTTACTGGGTAATGATCAAGGGCTCAGAGTTGAAGGAATCGAGCCTAATGGCAGGATTGCCAAAGATGGTCAGATTGATCTTCATGATAAGATCATCAAAATAAATGGACATAATTTGCTACATATACCTTTTTCAAAAGTCCAGGAGATATTCAGGACTTGCATGAGCGAGCCATGCTTGCGGATATCAGTACTTAAGCACAAGAAGACACGCAGCGAGCGTTTATCCAAACATTCCTTAAAAAGTATTGCTAATGTCAGTAGTGGTGAGAAGGGTGAAGCGGATGAAAATATTAAGAAGCTACAGTGTAGTAATTACAATCTATTGCAAACAGCGAATACCAGAAAAATTGGAAGAAGAATTGAAATAGAACTGACAAAGGGAACCAATGGATTAGGCTTCAGTGTTACCACTAGAGATAATCCAGCAGGAGGTCACTGTCCAATTTATATAAAAAACATTCTGCCAAAAGGCGCTGCTGTAGAAGACGGTCGCTTAAGGCCCGGGGACAGACTGCTTGAAGTGAATAAAATGGAGATGACTGGGAAAAGTCAAGCTGAAGTAGTCTCATTGCTTAGAAGCATTTCACCAGGTGGTAAAGTAAGGATGGTCGTGTCCCGTCAAGAAGAGGTGCCTTCAAACACATCAGACTCACACATCACAGTACCATGTAACACACAAGACTCATCAGAGAACTTAAGATATTGGAGTGGTTCGCATCGATCACCAACAAAAAAGAGTACTGAAGCTCTAGAGAAGATCGACAACCACTCTTATGAAAAAGGCAGCTTTAAGTCCGTCAAGTCTTCAGAGGATATAGTACTATCACCAAGAAAGAATCGCATGATTCTAACCTTAGATATACCGGTGCATGACTCTGAGAAGGCTGGTCTGGGGGTTAGTGTAAAAGGTAAAACAAGTACCACCGATGACAACACCAATATGGATTTGGGTATATTTATAAAGAGTGTTCTTCATGGCGGGGCAGCTTCAAGGGATGGTCGTCTCAGAACCAACGATCAACTTCTCAATGTCAATGGTGTGTCCTTATTAGGATTGTCAAATTCTGATGCAATGGAAACACTAAGACGTGCTATGCTCAATACAAATAGCTCTGTCACCGGTGTCATAACTCTGACAATAGCCAGAAGAGTTTCATCCTATGACAGCTGCGACAAGAGTTTTGTCGACAATGTGCCTTCCCACTGCAAGCTCGAGTCAGCAAACAGTGTATACATATCAGACTGTACAAAACAGAGTGAGGGTCGTGTCAAGGAGAAGAACAACCTGAACTCACAAACTGATATTCTGGACAACGGGTCTCTGCTCTCTTCAGCAAGCGCATCCCCGTGGAACCCAGTAATAGACAGACTAACAGAACAGTACAATAAGAATAGCCTACGAAATGAAAGTTACTGTCTAGCCACGAACAAGACCTGGCTGGAGCCAGTGAGAAGCATCAAGAAACTAAGTCTAGGTCAGAACGACGACCACCTGGACTCCGTATTCCTGGAGGAGTCCTCGAGTAACGAAAAGACTCAGAATAGCGACACCAAGAAAAGTTCCGAAGACAAAGACAGCCAGTACTCCGGGGATCCCACCTATGACAGCCAACTATCCCTGGAGGAGTTCAGCCCGTCCGCCAACAAGTTCTCACGCGATGCCCTGGGTCGACAGAGCATGTCCGAGAAACGTCACGCCGCCCTGGACGCCAAGAACACAGACACCTATAAGAGGAATAAGAAGCTGAGAGAAGGCAGGGAGAACAAAAGTACTGAACAGGCAGCTCAAAGTCAAGACGTCGAAGATCCTGCGAAACATGGCAGCAGCAAAACCGAGACCAACGACAAACAAGGAGCCAAGGTGCCTTCCGGAGAGAGTAGCTCCTTCGAGAACACCAGGAAGATCTTCGAGAAGAAGTCCGTGGACCCTGCTCAATCCGAATACGTCTACACCATTCCAGGATGTAACAACAAGTACATATCACCCAGGAAGCACTGGCTCGTAGATGACGTTCACGGCGACATATCCAGCAGCAATCATTTCCGAGAGGAACGCGATGGCTTCTCAAATACACGTGGTGACGTGAAACAGGCTTCACTGAATTCCGCCTTGGATGACCGGTACAAGCGTTCCCGAAAGAAGGGTGGCATCCGCTCCATGCTGAGACTCGGAAAGAACCGGAAGTCACTGAATTTCGGTGACAATATCGAGGCGCGCCATGAGTCGAATAATTATTGTAGTGGAACGATCAATTACATTGCATAATAAGAAACCTGGACTTTAGTAGAGTAGGGATGACGTTCAGCATACAAATAAATTCTATGCATACATATTTATATAGATATACGATTAGGTATATGTATATTTATATGTAGGAGCTGTTCCAAAGTGCCTTATATCCGCAAGAGAAGTAATAACTATAAACAATTCTGTATATATAATTTTGTACTTGTCCTTTTTATCCAGTGCCGACTACTTATGTATTTACTCGATAATAAATCTTGCACGAATTGCAATTCACGTATAGCCGTAATATAATTAACGAAACGAGAAGCCGAAGCGATCGATTGATCAATATTAGGTCCGTGAGGTCGAATTAATTTAAATTCAAAAAGTTACAAATAATTCTCAACGTCGAACTTCATTCCATGTGTGAAACTCTTTCGAATATATATGTTCTGTCGTCTAGAAGTTAAATTGACAGCGTTATCGTCCAGTTCTAAAAATACCGAGACAGGTAATGCCTTATCTCAGTAATATCTCTTAATAAAAAGAGACAAGAAAACGATAAGCAGTTTAGATTAAATATAAATTTTCTCTTTGTTTCAGCCGGGCAGCCACTTTCGCGGCAGATTTTTCAACAGCAGAAACGATTCCGCAGCAAGATAAATATTCAGAGGCCACGAGCACCCCATTACGAAAGGGCGAAGGCACTGGAATTTATGACGCCTTTCTTCTCCGATCCTAAAGCGAACAAATCACCAATTGAGTTGTGTGGTCTTAATAAAAAATACGAAAAGATGCAGAAGGTCGAAGTAAATCCTTACAAGGATTTTCTTGCACGGGAATGTCTCAATTGGTTCAGGAGTTCCAGGATGGTTGGATTCTTTCATGAGAATTCTATGACTATGGATGATAAATTCGAATTTGCCGTTCCACTTAAGAAACAGAATATCTATATTAGATTCTATAGCAGTCCAGTAGTAAGAGCTGCTGTCACTAATACAGAATACGAGGCTATCATTCCACTGTATTGTAGTAAAGTTCTTACGGTCTTTAGTCCTGATTGTAACGTAACAAAAATGCACAAGATATCAAGAAAGTTTCCACAGTTAATTCTGATGGGTGAGTAAGAGATAGAAAGAGAATGAAAAACTTGATAATCGATAATATAAATAATCATCCAACCTATTTTTCTTTCCAGCTGGCATACTAGACGGACATTTACTGAATCGTAATGAATTCTTGGAATATGGAAAAATGAGTTTAACATCTGCTCGCGTTGGTCTGGTACAAACGTTACAGAACGCTGGTGGAATTAATTTGAATCAACAATTGACGCATCACCAATCAACATTAGTAACACGCTTAGGACAGATCGGTACAAGTGAAACAGTCATCGAAGAGAGCGACAAGTAAACTTCAGCTGTGTGACTGTCAAATATATAAATTTATTCTGTTACAAATAGACTCGTCTGAAGCTTAAAGTAAATGAAAGTCGTATCATCAGATACAACCGATAAGAATTAATGAAGAACCACTGTAAAATTACTCGAAAAGATTATTCGTTTATTTTGAGCAAAAGCAGACAAATCTTAAGCGCGCTTATTCGTTAGTTTATCGAGTTTACTTCAATTCTTGTAAATAGTATTCGCATTAATGACAGTAATTACAACGGGGATGACACTTAACCCCATTCTCGCCACACTTGCAACCACCCGAGGTATCTCCCTTACCCTGAAATACATAATATCATTTGAGTAACAACCTTTTAAACGGCTAATGACATTTTAACATTTTACATGCAGTCGCGCCTTAAGACTGGATTACTGAATGACAAGGCCCAGAATCTTAGACGCTGCCAAGTACTGCTCTCGTATGTCATACTTACACCAGGACCCCAACGTGGGCCCCTTGTGACCCAACATATTTCTGTTTTGCACATGGAACATCTGAGCCAGTCGCAGCCCCACTTTTTCATAAGCACCACCGCACACGTGGGACAAGCCAAGGCCTCACCCCTGTCAACCATTTCCTCTAACATAGCCGCAGTCCTTCTGGATTCCTGATCAGTTTCCTTAGAGAGTCTTAGCTCCTGTTGATACTCACGACAGTTCTTACCGGTATGTACGACCTGTATAATTTAATGTAATTCAATGAGTGTAGCTCGTCGTTGAAAAAAAAGAAAGTATAGAATTTTACCTGACAGGTGAGACAATTATTGACACCACAAACGGGACACAGGAAGTTGTTAACGTTATCGTCGTAAATGCACCATCCAGGACAATCCGGTGTTTTACAGTGAAAGGCATTGTTACCAGCATTGTTCTCAGCCTGAGTAATCGACTTTGCTAGATGCTGCTGGTAAATCTCTGGCGACACCAGCTGCACACCAGGGATAACTCTATAGTCTCTTATGCTATTCTCTGAGGCTGCACGAAGATCTTCGTTGGACTTACCGCTTTGATCTCGCGCTCCTGCAACGTAGACTCGCACGTGTAGACCGTGTCTCTGAAAGGACACTTCACTTCGGCCTCTTCACAATAGAGTATCGTATTAGCTATGCAGGTCCTGGAATGCGTTGAGGTTCGTTTTTAAAGAAATGTAAAAGGATCCTCAGGGACAGTTTCTGTTATTCATTTATTTATACCTGCAGAACATGTGCAAGCAATCTCTCAGGATGACGCCTTCGCGTGGTCCGTACGTCATGAAACATATTGGACATTCGATCACTTCGGAATTTGGTATCACGTCGCAGTTCTCCAAGGACATCAGCTCCTCGTAACGCTCCTGTTTTATTTCCTCTGGAGTGGATTCCTCCTTCGTATTCAATTATTTATAGAGAGGCTTACGCGTTAACGTGTCAGGTAAACGTTATTTTGAGTATTATTTACTAGAAAACGTACCTGGGGTACTTCCTCAATTTTCTCTGTCTCTACTTCGGGTGCAGGTGCTTCCGGAGGTTGTTCTTCAGGTTCCTTCGATACTTCAATGGTCTCTGATGTCTTTTCTACTGCAGGTTTATCTGCTGGAATTATTTCCTCGTTCTGCAACTCTAAATTGATATGTAATTATCAAGGGTATCATGCATGATGGTTTTCACGAGAATTTTCTACTGTACCTGGTGCTACAAGGTACAAGAATATGGGGGACCCATCGACAGCCTGTAGTTCATCCAATGTGGAGTTGTCATTGTCTGCCAAGTTCTTGCCGATTATCCAACGTTGCACGTTGGCAGGAATTTCGAATTCTGCGAAGATCTTAGCCTTCAGCTGAGCTACTGTCGTTGCGACAGGAAGTTGGAGTGGAATTGGACCTTGATGAGCTAACTTATCTTCGATATACATATTGACGTTGATGGTATCAACAGTGCCGGAAGTCTTGTCAGTACGTTGTCGCACTACTGAACAATGAATCTTCAACCTGGCCAACTCCTTGGCCAATCCAGCAGCCTGTTGATGATGACCCGAAGCTATGGCGGCTTCGAGCTTCCTGAGCAAACGATTCACAGCCAATGTATTCATGTTTTGTGCCGAATCACCCGTCGCGACTGATGGACTGATTTCCGGCATAAAACGAGCTTCCGTGTTTCTTTTAGAAACTTCAGTCTCTACAGTCACAGGTACTTTGTCTATCTTTATTCGCAATTCTCGTGAACCTGATATTTCCGAATCTTTCGTCTCCTTCGTTTCAGGGGTCTTAACGTTTCCTTGGTCCGGGGTTCCTGACTTCGTAGGAGGAACCAGGGCGTTCGCATAGAGCGACTCTTCGATCACGTTGGCATAGGTGTTCTCCTTGTAACCAGCCTTACTCTTGTTCGTCTTCGTTGCTTCTATTTGAGCAAAATCGCGCGGACGTATAAGCTGAAATGTATTCTTTACCAATCCTGTACCTGCTGGACTTCTTCCGGTAGTCGTGTACAGTACGTCTTCTAATTTCCATCCTGATTTAGATGCTGCTTCACCGGGATTTATCTTGCGTACGTTTCCACTGGTTTGAGCTGCAGACGATACCTTCTGTTTCTCGAATTCACGATCTTTATTAAATGCAGACCCGTTCTCGACTTGGATCTTGTGCGTGAAGTCAGCCCGATTAGATCTCACTGGGTAGGGTGATCTGCTTCCTGTCACGTTGGTATCACTTTCTGTTACGGCTTTGCTTGACTGTTTTGATACTGCAATCGGTTCGTTCGACGTTGATTTCTTAGGTTTAGGTCGTTTTGGTAAAGAGTGTTTCATTTCCTTCAGCATCTCCTTAAGGTCCGTTGTAATTGGATCCTCGATGGTATTCAAGGCCGTTGTTTTTGGTTTTATTAATTTATCTAGACTTTCTGACTCGTTTAATCGTTCGATTGACTTTCTTTCTGAATTTTGGGAGGATTTGGTTTTATCCACTTTTTCAGCCTCTAGCAAGATTTCTAGGACTTTTGTCACTTGACTGGATGTGCTTGGACCTGGGTCGAATCTCGTTATTTTTTCTTTATCAATTTCCTCCTTCACTGTAGACAATTTCGGTTGCTCGTTTAATTTGGGTCCTTTTTGACTGAAGATTTTGTCGATATCCTTAATATCTGATAATTCTTTTTGCAACAGCGTCACGTCTTTAGGGATCTGTTTCGATTCCAGATTGTCTTTAGTTTGAGGAATCAGATTTTTCGTCTGCTCTGCCAAGACACGAGATCGTGGAGAGGAACTCTTGGTCAGTATTTCTTTCTCTATCTTTTCTTCGTGCTTCCCAGCACGAAGAATTTCTTTCTTAGACACGACACTTTCTTTCGAGCCAAACGAACTGCTTGTATTATTTTCAACAGGAACTTGAGAAGAGATCAATTTGCTGGAGGAACCCAGAAGATTTCCTTGAGACAACTGTCCCTTGCCAGGAGGAACTTTGTTGCTGGCCGACAGCTTGGATGCTGTTTCATCGCCAGACGTGGACCATTTATTATCAGTCGGTTCTGTTCGCTGTGGAAAGAAATACCGGGATATATCTTTATCCAGGCGAACGTTCTGTCGGATTCCATTGCGACTAGAAAGTTTGACATTGCCCGTTTTGTCGCCGCCATGTTCAAACGGATTATTTCTAGTGATATCAAATTTTGGAGTCTGCTGCCCTCTACTCCCACCACCACTCTTGGCAAAGAAGCTGGTATTCACTGTCACCTTAGTAATATTCCCAATAGCATTGAATTTCGAAATCAGAGCACGTGTTCCTCTTCTGGGCGAACTCTCAATGGCGGAAGTAACGATATCTTGAACAACTTCTTCGTTGGCAGCTCTGTCAGCGTCCATGTACCTCGATGAGTTGAGTAACATGGAAGCCCTGCCCTTAGCCTGTTCCTCCTGAACAATCGCAGCGGCCTCCTTATCCAATTCGCTTATGTTGGTCAGGATGGAAAGACCAGATTTCCGTTTGCTCTCTCGCTTCTTCTCTTCTTGCCTTTCGCTTCGGTGAAAGAAACTCAGTCTCGACAGAGTCGCGTCAAACGAGGTTCTGTTGACGTGACCGTGAGTCACAGTTTCCTCGGAGACGTTGCCCTGGCTAGATACCTCCCTGTCGGAGGTCCCCAAGTTCCTGAAGAGATCAGCTCTCTTCGACGTCCCCGATTCACGGGAATTCTCAAATACACTGCGTTTGTACCAAGGTCTGGGCATAGCGTTGCTGACAGAGCTCGTATCTGAGGAAGTCTGACTCCTGGTGCAAGCAACTTTCGTTCCAGAAGGCTCTATTGGCTTCTCAGCACCAATTACCCTGTCCTTCTTAGACAGCAATACACCACCTTGCAGAACTAAGGTATCGTTACTAATAATTTGATTATCCTTATCAATGTCCATGACGATATCCATACCTGTCGTCGTACCTTTCACCAGGTCCGTGGATAGCCTCGTAGAAGATGTTCGTTCAGGTGGCCGGGGTGCCGGTCGTTTTCGTCTACTGCTACTCCTGCTGGATTCACACTGCCTCTCGTTGACATGAAGATTCCTGGACTTGTCACCAGGCGGATTAGGCGCTCTTCGCTTTCCCTTCACGTGAGCTCTCTTACGTCTACTGGAGTTACCCTGACGATGATGACTCTCTACACTGCTAGCGGACCCGTACAACTTCCTGGATCCTTCCAAGTTCCCACAGGAGTTAAAGCTGGACGGTTGCAGGGAGTACCTAGCTGTGATATTCTTTCTACGTGATAGCACACTGGGTAACGTGTAACTAGAGTCAGCTATTTCCTCCACGTCTTTCTCTATCACCTTAGAAGCACCGGCACCAAAAGGACCAACTTCAGATGCTTGTCTCAGGACGTCCAATGAGAATCCACTATAATCCTTCAATGTATCAGTATGAAAAGCAAAACTGTGTACAGTCGTAGTGCTGCACAGCGTATCGACACTCTCAGTACTGGAGACGACGTTCTGCACGTCCTGAGGGACACTCAATCTCTGATCCTCTTCCTCCTCGTCGGCATCGTCATCGGACGCCTTCTGTGACTTCTTCTTCTTCTTATCACTCTTGTCAATGGTTCTATCGCGACTGCCTTTCTTGAACCATTTAAACAGCGAAAATCTTCCACCCCGTCGTCCAAGCGACGTCGATTCCTCCGAGCAAACCGCAACTTCTCTGCCTATTTCTGCTTCCACGACTGCGGGGAATTCCTGGTGTTGCTTGCTGGCAACCCGAGTCGTATGTACGCCATTGAGAGATGTGTTGGTTACGCTGGAGGCTGTGTGTACCATTCTTATTCATCCCCACTGTGTGTATGCTCCTTATACTTTATACACTGTACATTGCTCTTTATTTAGATTTACTTTAAAAACCCTCGGACCTCATCCTGATCTTGTGGTCGCCTATGAATTCACCAGCTGCCACGACGTTTCGTGCAACACTGCTCCACGTCCACGGCGGTTAATTACAGAACGGACAGAAGAGGCAGAGAAATACACAGGAAGATACGGGAAGAATAGTAGGGAGACACGTGGACTATCAATTCCCAAGACCAGACTCCGGATCCATTCGTGATCAGGATCGTGATCGCCGTTGATACTTCTTACGATGCATAGGAACCTTAACGAACCTCACTGCAAATAAACTAATGATCTCGAGGCCGACGCTGCTCATGCTGCTGAACTCTCGACAAAGATACGCTAGGTTACTATTAATAGCCGACGCTCCTACTGCTGCTGGGTTATTTTCAAGTCCACTTGGTACTCCGTCCGAAATCAAAATACAGACAATGCTACTGTAATCCTAAGTACTTTTCCTTTTTAGTTACAGTACTGTATGCTATTGTCATCATTAGAAATATTATTGAATCATTTGATATCTTATTGGACCCTGATGACATGGATAATCATCATATCTGACAATGAGTACAGTTGCGACTTGGCCAAGTCTTAAGATCAGTCTGAGCCAGTGCACAGCAGTTACAAATGTTGATACTATTTTCAAATAGTATTTGTTTCACTGTGTCTGGATAAGGTTGAAAGGTAAGTGGGCTGGTGAACTTTTTCTAATGCACTTGATGAAATTTATGGCCGACTATGTAGTGCATCTATATAATCATGTAATGTGCAACAGATTGAAACGGGTCACGTTAGAATGAGATCATGGAAATGTACTAGTGCCATCTACTGTGAATGATAATTTCATGCTCCAGCTTCTATTCTTGTATCGTGGAGAATGATACTCGTTGCGTTCAGCATAGTTACAGTAAAAGACTCCAATGTTTATTGGTTTTGTGTTTTTGCTTAGTCTATTAACCATAATGTGTAAACTGTTATAGACAAGAATGTGACTTTGCTATCGTTTTACAAAAGCAGTACATTTTCTTCATGATAGGTCTTCTTTTTTTTTTAATACCACTATGGCTTGTACTTGATTTACTGGGAGTAGTAACGAGTATTCATCGTTTATTTAAAATATACAATGATCAATATATATAATTGAGAATAAATATCCTAAAGTATATCAGTCTCGTAGTGCTATTATATTCAATTCTTAAATCTCTTTAAAAGCATCATTTGAAAATTATCATGGCTGCACGCGCCTTACTTGCGCTTCCATTCCAAGATGGCCGACGCGATCCGATTCCCATCGTTCCGACAGTCGAGCGGTGCAATTCCATATTCCTCTGAAATATAAATCTCAGTGAATAAACATTTTCAGTAGTGTTACACAATCTACGTGCATCCCTCAATTATTTATCATACCTAAACAAGAAGCCGAACGATTAGTATTTTACGAAAATTTGTAAAATTTCAAATAACTTGTTTAAGGAAATGACCATTTAAATTTACCGGGAATGAGTCACTTCCTGTAACTGTTTTGTGTCTCTGCGTGACGGGTCGAGCGATCGAGAAGAGGCTAGTCAGCAACACGCCCGGCGACAACGGAGAGCGACGTGTGTACATACGCGCCAGAAACATAACGTACGGGACAATGGTAAGTTTCATTTTTGAAATTTCTCAAGAGAAATTAATCGATTGGGACTAATAAGGGCTCTAACTGTAATGGCGCGTGTTCACAGGCATCTTACTCGGAGGATCAGCTGGCCGGTAAGTGAACGGGCAACGAAGGAGCCAGAGTCTCGGGATCAAAAAGAGGGGAAGGATTTTTTTTCTTGACGTTTAATTCAGGTCAAGAGTATTCTTGCCTTTTTAGACACACCCTGGCCTCCCTGGTTCGTATCAGGGATTACCTTTTATGGGCCGACATTTGAAAGTGAGCGTCTCCTCGCAGACGTATCTTGAGCATTTTTATACTTTAACCATTTTAATCTCGCCTTCACGTTCGGACAGTTTGACCATCCTCGTACAGAATTACCTTTGGATCGGTAACGGTTGAGAAAATAGCCAAGTACATCCTGTCGTTCGTTTCATTTACGTGAAATTAGCGCAAGTATACGTATTTATAGTCTCTTCGAATAACAGTCAACACTGCCGTGTGTTTAAATAAAAGAAAAGTACGTTTATTACTTTTGAAAATCAGTGTTAAAGGCGCAGTTGGTGTAGCTGGCGTGATTTTGAACGTATTCGTCATTCATAATAATAACAATGTACGGATATAGTTATCAGGAGTTGACTAACAGAATGATGTCATCGGTGGAAGGTAAATTATCATAAGAACTATCTAAATGTTTTCTGCAGAGCCTTAGAAAATACAGTTCACTTAATGACTTTGTTATTTCAGTCAGTATTTCAGGTTAATTAAACGTTAGAGTCTTATGCCAACAGGATATAAAGGAACGTCAGTGTTTCTATTTGCTATAGAATCAGGCTGTTTTATACTATTTGTTAAAAGCCACCGTGAAATTCCTAAGTTGTGCTTTGCCAAGCAAAATGGCTACCATCTGTCGGAATTCAGTGTGTCATGAATTTTATGCTCATTCCATGCTCCCTAGCAAAGTTTATTTCCACATCATGTGGATTACGTGCACGTGCAGATGCCTTGAAAATATTCGATGCATCTTGAATTACGATGTTTGATTTACTAATATATTTTTTACAAAACGATAGAATTCCAGGAGGCATTTCAGCTGTTTGACAGTCGTGGCGACGGAAAGATCCACGTTGCCCAAATCGGCGATGCTCTACGGGCCCTGGGTCAAAATCCGACTGAATCCGACGTGAAGAAATTCACCCACCAGCACAAACCAGACGAGCGAATAAGCTTTGAGGTATTCTTGCCAATTTATCAGGCTATCAGCAAATCCCGTACTTCGGATACTGCTGATGACTTCATCGAGGGCTTGCGCCACTTTGACAAGGACGGCAATGGCTTCATCTCTTCTGCTGAGCTAAGACATCTGTTAACGACACTAGGTACGTAATGACCAAATTGTTAAATAACCTTTAAGAAAAATTACAGGCATTAATTTATTTCCTTTTTCTATTTTAAGGAGAGAAACTTAGCGACGAGGAGGTCGAGACCCTGCTGGCTGGTCATGAAGATTCACAAGGCAATATCAATTATGAGGATTTTGTCCGTCAAGTTATGTGCGGCTGAATCAGTTACTTAATCGTTCAAGAAATCCTTTATTCCCTTTTATTAATTGGGTATTAACCTGCAGATCTATTTAAGCGTTCTTTTTTTTTGAATTTACGTACAACGTACCTTCGCGTACCAATTAGCATAATGGGTAGCGTGTGGTAATTTATTCTGAGAGGAAGAGTGTACTTTTTTATATTAACGAAAGTATCGATTAGTTCATAATTAGTCGATAAACGATATAGCTAGTAAAGTGTTGTGCCTTGACCTAATTAAAGATCGCAAGCATTTAGTAAAATCGGTGACTGTAGTACACGATCATGACGTATCAACAATGTTACTGTCATAATTGTTGTGCAAACATTCCAAAATTTCTAAGCGCCAGTTTTCCATCGACTTTGTAAATTCGATCTATGTCTCTCCTGTAGCACCCTCGCCATGTACTTCTTTCTGTAGCAAGGAATACAATCCGTGTGATGAGAACTTCACGCAGCATTCATTGACCTTATCAGAAAGCAATTCCATGCAGTTCGATAACGGGAATACGTCTTGTAATATAATTCAATAAAAACCATCGGTTACTGTTGAACGACTGTACTACATGTTAAAACCGCCTTTGTGGTTTTTGCGGCGAAGGCAAGTTCCTCGTATGGGATAGGCGAGTCGTGGAATATCAAGAAACGTAGACTAAATATCATATGCCAGTAGTATACCATGAGAAATTAATATCTGAAGAATGTAATAGGAGCTGTGAGAGTAACCAGCCAACTAAAAATTAAGTGAAGTTTGTCGAAATTCTTAACGAGGTCAAGGGTAGTTGACTGGCATTTACGTAGATTCTATCATATTGAAAAGCTGAGGAATATACTAGTAATAAGGGTAAGTATCTGAATGTTGTCTTAGATACTTGAGTACAGAGTTCTCTAACGCTAATATAGATGACCTATATATTTGTAGATGATAAGCGAAATAGCATGGACGACATAATTCTTTCGTATACGCAGTCGTGGGTAAGACTGTAGGCGAGGAAGAGCGCATGCGCACCAAGAAGTCTTTTCTTGTCGCTGATTCGTCGGTTACGGCAGTGACGTCACTGTAAGAGAAGGACAAGGCGAACGAAGAATGTGGTGCAATCGTCGTCGACGACTACGGATGTTCCATCAGTGATCTTTCGCTAGCCGTGCCTGACGGATCTTTTTCACCGCGCACTAACCCAACGCACCCTCTGAGTATTTCGCTACGTGCGAACATTCTCGAAAGAGCATTGTATCTACGGCCGCCAAGATTTTACGAAGGAAGAAGTATGAATATTAGTTCCAATCCGTTGTTAAGTAATTGGGAAATTAGTAAAAAGGGCGAGATAATGCCGAGTTTAATTTCAAGTAATTGGTAAGTAGCGTGTCACTACGCCATTTTTACTACCTTTACCCTCGCGTCCGCCATCTTAAATTTTATCTCGCCGTTACCTCTCTGTCCCTATTAATTATCAATTTATTTATGTTTGTCCATTGTCCAAATTCGCAATACTGTGTGAGATTGTTCATTTATTTAAAGATCGTTCTTATGCAAGCACCAAACTCTGACAATTGTAGAAAAACATTGTCTTAACGGAGGGAACGAGTAAGTTACAATTTGGTAGATTTTACAAGCAATAAAGACTCAGTCAGATGTTAACAGTTTAACCAATTTTGTTCTTTGTCGAATACTGCCCTTTGCAACTTTGCAGTCGTTCAAGAAATATTGTGATTTCTGATTCTTTCTCATAATGAACCAGAGAAGTTTAAACGTGGTAAAGGTGTTGGCTGGTTTAACTGGTCGAGTAAAGGCAGGTTTTAAGGGACTTTCTTTTTCTTTTTAAAGTGGGCTGCGTGACTCTCGTCACGTATTGAAGCAAGAGATAACCACAGCCCTGAATCTTGCTTTGTCAGTTACGTTAGAAATCTCGCAAGTCCCTCTTTCTTTCCTATATATGTACATAAACCTCACTCGTTTAAGGTCATCTTACTGTACATTCGATTCAACTTCAGGCCTTCCTTTTATTATTCAGACCTTATAAATTAAACTGTATACCTGTATCTCTGGGACAACTGTATCTTGTTTTGAAATAGTACAGCACTCCGTGTCGCAGACAGATCGATAATTTTCTCTCACAGTAACTCCTTATCGCATCGTCCCTGGAAAAGGGAAATTCGATTCCTCAGTTATTTTGCATACTTTGTCACATGATACAATCTATTTTAATAATACGTTGATTACGTGGAACGACTGTAAATATTTAGAATCTCTATTTTTCTCGTGAAATACAGCCTCGTATATTTAACCACGCGAATGAAGAATCCTCAAATATTAGACTGTCCATAAGAGCCCTCTTATCTGCCTCAGTACGATTTATATAAAATATGTAATCTGACATCTTGCTGATAACTACGTCTTATCTATTGCTTGAATGTCTTTGTTCACATTGCCTGGCTGTTTTGCAGTTTTGTTTTTTCAAAACAAGAAGCCAGACTTTATTTTTCTTACATATTACACGCGTCTATTACCAGCTTCATTTATCTCGATAAAATTCCTCGTGCACATCTTAATTATCATTGTCAATACATAGCGCTGTTATCGGGATGCAAACAATTGAAGGATCGTGGAATATTACTGTTGCTTGACATTATTACTTGACTTTACGATTATTAAATTTTCTATCCCATTGCGGAATGTCCTCAAGGCAATTTCATTGTTCTCTTTTATAAGTAGAACTTTGTCACTCGGTAGCAACGTCACTCAAATTAATATATTAATGCCAGTCGTCATCGTTTTACTCGATTCGACAAATTGACTCGATCATTCGGTCTGCAATGACAATTGAATTTATTAACATTTTAAATCCTACTTGATTTATAATGCCGTGCGACGACGCAGTAATCTTGTCTCGTTATTGTACCTTGGGAGGTTAAATCATTTTAACGTGTTCATATACGGTAATCTTTTTTTTTCGAAGTCTGTATTGTCGCGTTATCAAGAATGCTTTGTTGTAAATGATAAGAAAGACTTTTGTTATATTATTGCCTCGTTGGAATTTTGAAATTGCTAATTGATTTCAGACGTATCTCTGGGTCAGCAGGCTATTTGAAATTATACACTTAATTGACATGGAAGTTAATAGGCCGTTAAATCTTTTTATATATGTTGTACGAAAACAGTAAACCGTACTATTATCAAGCTTTTACTTTACTGTTAGAAATTCTATCTTTACGATTGGCTTTTATCAGTAACAATTTGTGTCATTGGACTTTGCAGTTGAAAATACTTACTTGACTCGAGTTGTCTGTTGGGTGTCGGTCTCTCTCCCTATTTTTTTTTTTTTTTTCAAAACAAAGCCATATGGAAGATAATTTCTCTACAGAGATACCGTCTTATCAGCTGTCAGTGGAAGCTATGTATATTAACAAATTGATAAGAAAAGTGTTGCACAGTCATTGGAATAATATGATTGTGAATAAAATATAATCAACGATTAAAAGAAAATGTATACAAAGAGACTGGGACTGTTCTTTCCAGACAGGAAGTACGGATCTTTTTTTTTTTTCTGGTCACAGAGAACGATAGGACATGGAATGTATAAACTTGACGCTGATAACTACGTCGATTACAAATGTAACTTGAGCTTCATTTATCTTACTGCTTGTACGAACGTTTGCTGGCGATGCATATATGTATTTCGGAGGAGGAGAATATTTGGATATGTTGAATATTGGCTTATGAAATATTTGTCGTATTTGTTGTAAATGTTTTCAGTCAATCAAGCATTTAGTTCTTTGTTCTGTGTGTAAAATAACAACGGGATATCGTTAAGGATACCGAGCGCATTGTTGGTGGTTATTTATTCGGTGTCTCGTTTTAAAAATATAGATTAAAGAATTTAGCCCACTGCTGCGCAGTTAGTCGAGTTATGTAAATTTTCTTCTCAGTAGGAAACGCGTGGGCCTCGAGTTTGTGGTTTGAATCGTGTGACGCCAGTTGTATATACTTTTACATTGTAGAAATCGTCTACCTAACCTAACCTAACCTAACTTAAACCGACTTGTTCTTTTTCCTTTTCCGCAGTCCTAGTCTCCAAGGTATCGACCCGTAGAACATTGCTGAGAAACACGTTCGTATGAAATGTGCAACAGGCCATACAAAATCAATAATCCAGTTTAGCAGCTGGTGCGGAAGACTGTTTAAAATAACTGAAGCAGCCTGTAGACCTTTTGGTTGTTCCTCTGATATATTGATTCATAATAACGTTACATAATTCACCTAAACAATTTTTCTTGATTGCGTCAGGAATTAAACGCAGCCATAAAATCGTCGTTGAGTATCCTTACGTTGTTAAAGGATTTTCTATGTGCTCTCAAGGCACACGGGTGACGCTCCATAGAAACATAACCTGCAAATCCTCATCTTGTAAAACTGCATAAAAGTCTTCCTTAATGCGATTTACGCGTGGTATCCTTTCGATATTTAATTCTTGATAGGTATTTGGTTATAATAAAATGTGACAGTGGGACAAGGCAATATCGTGAGAACGCGAAGGAGTCCAATTTTCAATTTTGGCTAGAATCCAATTCGGATGACGTCCCCGGCCGTCGGACAATGCTTTCCTCTGCGCACTAGGAGTCTTTATAAATCGAGAACACCGGCACTGCCACTTAGTAGCTTTTATTTTGTCTTTTTGTACGGAGACGCCATTTGCTCGGACAAAGTCATTCGTCGCGCCTCTTGTCATTCTGGCTGATCCTGGCTAGACTAACAGGGATCGAGGGATCCTTTGAATTTGCTTGATTTTTTAATTCCTTAATTCACGATACCAGGGACGTATCGAACGGGCGTTCTTGGCGAGGGCACCTCCTTTTTTTTTTCAAATTTATAAAGAATTATTTACTTCGCAATGGCTCCCAGGCCCAGGTACGTTATTCCTTGCAAAATGCTCTTACTATTTATTATCCACGTTGACTTTTCAAACGTCCAACTACCTCGCGGACGATCGAAGATCTCTCAGAGTCTGACTAACAATAATTAGTACTTTTATTCTTGAATTATTTCTACGTTGGATTTATTTAGAATCTTTCTGACGTAAATTTAACAGCTGAAACTTCAGATCTTTACCATCGCGAATTCTCACGACTTTATCAGTCCGGTACACTCGTGCGCGATAAATAGACTCCCAGGTGCGTAATTCCCTCTAGAAAACATTGGAGATGAAACAAACTTGGAGATGAAAATCGTGCGGGCTCTTATCGTATTAGGTATTGAATCGTCGAATATTTTTCTGTCAATAAATTTGACAATAATGTTAACTTGGCCCTCTTTAAAAATAGTATAACGTATTAAGGTCATGTTTTATGTAATATTTTTTCCTCTCCCCTAATATTACCGCGATATTTGGCACGAGACTTTTGTTTATTTTCCAAATCGTGATGCACCATGCCAAAACGCATATCTCCTCGGTCGAGTCCTAGCAAAGTTTTCTCATGTCAATTGCACGTCGACCTTCCTCGTTCTTGCTCGTGAATCTGCGTAAACTTGAATTCACTTGGCGGGAGATTCAAACGAATCTTCGAAATTCTTTTCTTAAAATGCGACCTTCGCTAAAGTATGTTTATCGTGTTTCAGCGAGATGTCGAGTAAGTGCTTGGAGGAGAGTCTCGAAGAAGGCTCTGGACTCCAGCAGCACTACTGTATAACGCTGGGCGTGGGGCCTCTGTGGTGGTCCTGATGTGCCCCATGCCGCATTGTCTGTATCTGCAGTCAACACAGAGAGCCGCGGCGTGGGGATCAAGCAGAGTCAGCTCTCTGTGAGCTCCCACATTGTGCAAGCAAGTATTTCTCCTTCATGGTTATCGGCTCGTCCTTTCACGACGATCGGGCCAATCGAGAGGTTAAATATATTCTGTGGCACGTTCCCGAGTCATAATTGAAATTGACAATTGCAGGAGGATGATTTGTTGAAAGCCATAAGAAGAAGCGAGTCGCTGCGCATAACGTTCGACCTTCACTTGACTGAGAGTACTTCCGTCAAATGGGAGACCGTCGTATGGCGTGGCTGCCTTTACATCCGTGTACCCAGCTGTCTACTTCCGGAAGGCTCGAAGGAGGGCTTCGTTTCTCTTCTTGAGTACGCCGAGGAGACGCTGGGCTGCACCAACGTCGTCGTTTGTCTCCGCAAGGAGCGTCCAGACCGAGGTTGAACTGTTTTTCTGTTCTTCTTTTCATTCTAATCATGAGAGTCTTTGGATTTTAATTATTTCCATTTTTCGATTCCAGCCATGCTGGTACGCACCTTCATGTTCTTGGGATTCACCGTTTTACCACCAACTCACTCCCTGGTTCTGCCAGGTGGGGACGCCGGTAATCTCTACATGCACTACGCCATCGAGTGATTCACCGGCACTGACGGCTTCCTTCTCGAATTTAACGCACAGGTTTGTCAAATATTAATTAGACTTTGGTCAGAATGCATCCGTACGATACGGTTAATCGTTGTTAGATTACAATTACACTTTTTGGCTACAATGACGCTTATGGGTTACTTCGATTCTTTTAGATTCCTTGTTAGTCGGGTTTAAGACGCAGTTTTTTATCAAACGCGTCCGGAGCGTCAAGACCAGGAACATGAAGCTCCTTATACACTGGGCTCTTTGATGTTCGTATTTTGAGTTTGCTGCGCGCGCCATATGCTGCGGTCTTCTTACTCGACGGGGAGGACTGCCAAGCAGCGATTTTAGTTGGACCTTATTATTACGATAAATTGCGTCAACTGGCATCCGTAATATTAATACCTGGAAAAAAAAAAACGAAACATCGTTAGACAGTCAATCGATGCCGGGTGGACTATTCGCGTAAATGCGCATCGTCGAGGGGGAAAAAAAAAAAAAAGAAAGAAGAAAATGCGTCGACACTTAAAGAGACGCATCTTCAGGAATCCATGCGTTAAATTGGAGCTAGAAAAAGGATGCGGTGCCGGGTGATGGAGACGGACGAGAAGGAAAAGGTAGTCACGTATATTTTAGAGCTCGTACGTAAAAAAAAATGGCTTTCGATGGATATGTCGAATCATTCTCTTGTGACACAATGTTTAATAACTCTTGCAAGATCGATATGCTCGCAAAAGCTTTCCCACGTATTTCGGAATGAGGCAGTGCTCTGCCTGATCGCCCGATGAGAACGTGGCATGGTCGCGGGTGTTGGGTCATGAGAAAATTTATTATCGACAAAGCTCAATGTTAACTGAGTGGCAGATTGGGACTCGCCAGGTTTATAGTTAGTTATAAATTGATAAGTTTAATATTGCCCCTTATACGTATATAGACACAGAGAAACCAAACCAAAAGTAAGAATGGTTCAACCAGCAGGTTGTCGGTGTTTGGTCAGGTTTCCACGATTAATTAAAAAAAAAAAACAGCTGCAACTGTAGGCCGAGGCGCCGATAATTTCCAGCCATAAAACGTAGTCTTGAAAGGGCTGATGTAATTGTGGAAGATTTGGCCGTTATTATTATTATTAATATTCGATATTATTCTGTTATGTCATTTAATTATTCAAAGTATTCTTTCGTTCGCTTCAATCGGTTTTATGGCGTCGCACTTTCTGTACAGATATGACGTCGTTTCTCTTATCGAGGAACATTTATTATTGATAACGTATATCGGCTGAATTGTACGCGAACGGATGTGTACCAAGTATTAGTTTATTAAGTATTTGATTTATTATCTTGCGAGCCGGCACTTTGGAGTACTATAAATGGTGCCGTACACGACTTTAGAAATTTTTTATTAAGATCTTTTAGAGTCGCACTTGTCTTCGGACATTTCATGGATCGTTACAATTTAACGGTACCGTTGGCTTTTGTCTTACGCGTGAAATTAATTCAGACCTTTCAATTATCTGAGATCCAACGATGACGTGCATTGTAGAAGATCGTAATTTCTCTTTTCATAAGATTTTCCAGCTGTAGGTATATATCTTGTGGTATTTTCGAGTGAAGCTTCGCTATATTATTATTGTTATTATTATTAAGAATAATCAATTATACTTTTATTGCCTATTGTTACTGCTCATTATTTCTGCGTCGTAGATCCATAATACTATTCTGGTAAGTCCCAATCGATTAACATTGTAGAATTCTTGCTAATAAATAGGTTCCTTAGTGTTGACCTGGATACAGACAGCATGAAAGAAAAATATAAAAAATTCAACCAAAAAAAATGTGTAAAAGTTTTGAAAAATTATGACAAAAAAATGTTAGTAGTCGGTTAGTTGCGTAAATAGCGATAAGAGAAAATCGGCGAAGGCAATTACGTGTAGTTGAATTTGGCGTTGCGATTCGCTCGAGCGGTGTCGAAACGCGCGTGAATTCGCTTCGATTTTGGATTCGCCGTTTTTTAGTATTATACGGTAAAGAATTACAATACACACTTACAACTTATACACAAATCTACAATATGCTACATTTATTATTCATACGTGATGAAATAATTGCTAAATAAAAAATCTAATTAAAATTATGTGCAACGGACGGTCAATCGAATTGATATTCTTTTTTTTTTTTTATTTAATTTTGTTACGTAAAACACATTGGTATAAGGCAATTTATTTTCTTCAGATAAAAGGTACTGAGGTAAACTGAGAAATCACCATGTCTCTTTTGGTTTTCTTTTATGTAATAAAGAATAGTTTGATTCTGTGTATTCAAACAGTGTCCGTGAATTTGGTCAGCTTTATTTTTCCTTTAAACCGATGGTGATTTAAAATTCGTACAGTATAACGTTGCAAGCAAATTGCATAAGCGAAGTAGATATTATAATAAATCCATCAATTAACAAATGCTAACCTTGTTGTACAACCTTTTTTTGTTATAGCACTAAAAATTGAACCTCTAAGTTTCTATATCCCGAATACGGCGGAGAATTCAGCTCTCCATGAAATTTTTAATACTTTTCATTCAATAACGTTGATGGTCTAAATCAAATAGCGAGAAGGGCATTAGTTCGCATTAGCTCGAATTGATTGCGTATATATAAGTAATACTGCGACGTATAATTTTATATCAAGTGGTACTCTAAAGCGTTTGTATGAAAATTGGCTCATTGGCAATCTCCCTACTCATCTCTAGTTGCAGTATCACGAGATACTCGCACATGTCCCCCATTGTGGATACAGCCATAAGTAAAGGAAGGAAGAATATCACAACACCTGGATCGAGGAATAAGGGAATTGTATTGTCTTCTTTGCAAATATTTTGCACTATCCCACATCATTCCAGGAGTTACTGCTTTTAGAATAATTGACAATTCAACTTAGAATAATTAGATATTATTTCTGATCAACGTATAAAAACAATACAATTTGATTTGAAGCGAAACCGTAAACTCTCGCAGCGATTAATATTTTCAATTCGAGACAGCCCGTTGTGTCTTCTTAAATTAACATTAAATTCAATAATTGAGGAAGTCTTGTGCATCAGATGCAATTTTTAACTCGTCGACTCTGCCTTGGACGTGCTTGTAAATCCTTCGTCATTATTTAAAGTCACCGTCGAATTGTCCTCACTTGAAATATCCGAAGTTTTATTCTCATCTGCTGGCATTTTATTATCAGGATCTTTACTCTCGCTTGAATTATTCTCTACAAGATTTTTCTTGCACTCAATAGGATCTTTTTCTTCCGTAAACACGCTCGGGACACAACTGAACTGAATATTCGATTGTTTCGTCTCCATATCTTGCGTTTCTTCCACCTCCACTTTCTGTAATTAATTCATACCTTTATTGCACCATATAATTAGTAGATAATTGGTCAAGGGTGGTTATGGGATAATTAAGGAGGTTAATTAAAGAAATTTCTTACAAAACTTGTTACCTATCAGGATAAGAAGAGGTTGTGGATAGGAAGGAATGGATCTGGTTCTGGGATTTCTATTAGTCTACATAAAGGCATATATATTTTATTCATTATTCAGTGATTAATTAATCAAATATTTAGTACTGTTTAATTGAAACTTACATCCGATGAGCCTTTGGCAACGAGACCAAGACTATTCAACATTCCTGATGGTTCGGACTCCTGGTATGGGTATGCAGAGACTCTTTTACACTTGATCAAATGTGTCGCTGTAACAAATCATATATTATTAAGCTGTTACCAAGTGAAAGAGAGCAATACATTTCATTTGGTCATGCAATCAGGGAATTACCTAAATGATTTCCATCATTAGTTGCAAAACCACAGGGGCACTGCATTTTATTTTCCAGAAGAATATTTAAAAGAGGGGGTAACGTTACCAAACTTGTCATTGGCCTCTCGTTGTGTATTTGTTGCTGATGTTCCTTAAATGCTCGCCAGCAACATGTTACGTATCTGCACTGTTGACATTTTTGTTCTCCGCTGTGAAGAAGAATATAATTATTTAATACAACTACTAATAACATGATTCAAGAGAAAAACTATGATAATGCTATTACGGAAAATGTTCTTGCTGATCAATATCCTCTTCGCATTCCTGACAAGGAAGATCACTTGGTGCATTTATTCTGATCGGTCCTGTGTTCCACTTTTTCACATGCTCATCTACAGGAAGATCAGCGACTGGACTTTCTATCTCATTATGTTTATTGTGATTCTTTTGTTTTGATATTATTATATTATTCTTCGAACTGTATGGTATAACTTCTGTAAAATCACAAAAGATTGGCTCGTTAAGCAAACACCAAAGAGAAAATTAATGTTTTTTTTTTTTAATAACGTACTAGGTCCTGTAACTGGCTGATGCATTTCTCTCTGATGAGATTTTAATGAACTCTTTTGATTGAACCATAAACAGCATTTAGGACATTTATTACCCCTTCCCTCCTCTCTCCTTACTAAATGTCTTTGCATGTGCAACAAAAAGGCGTGTACACTGGTTAGACATTCGCCACCTTCTACGATGAACTGCATCACCTGTTAATATTAAATGGATTATTTTTATTTTCGCAGAATGTTATTGCCGTCTATAATATTTCAATTACCTTAAGACAATAAGGACACTGCAGACCTTCGCCCTTATCATGCACTTGATAATAATGATCTATTACGTCTTTGTGACTGGATGTACGATAACCACAGCTTTCACAACGATATGGCATTTCCAAAGAGTGATGCGTATTCGAAAGATGATTAACCAGGAGAGTACTATTGCCTAAATAATTTAAATAATACAATTAATCGTGTAATGCTACAAAAAGGAATGTTAAACACTCCTTAACCGTAGTCCTGTAATGTTTGAAACTTCTTTAATAGGCTTTACCGAATTTTTGTTCACAAATGGCGCAAACCACCATGTCACCGTTCGTCTGACCGAAATTGCTATGTGTTTCTGAAACATGTGTGTCCACTTGATGCTTTGTTGAAAAGGCTGCACAACAATAACGACACACGGATGATTCTGTACGGTGAGGAACTTGTGGTGGCACATGGGAAACTATATGCTGTATTACGTCTGTGTTTGATTTTAATGTTGTCGAGCAGAGAAAACACTGTAAGAATAATAGGAATATATAATAAGAAAAGCACGATAGTATATTTATAGCACTATATCGTAAATTGTCTGGAGATCTCAATTATAACCGACCTTGAAGGATACGGTAGTCTTTTTCTCATCTAATAGAAGATTCTTATCGCCCTCCATTGTGGCATAATGAAATTCTTGCGGTTGCATAATATCATTTTTATTCTCCCTTTCTCTATCCTTAATTCCTTTTGAATCAGTAGCTACACGCTTGGCTTCTGGTTCAGGACTTGCCGATGCTGTTGTGATGATTCTCTTTCTCCCTCTTTTTGGTCCTGGCTTACTGTGCGAAACCTCCAGGCTTCGGATACCTTGAGGCAGGGTATCTTTGTTGGTTGAAGTCGAATCTTTTGGTATCGATACCATAGGTGTCAGTGGTAGAGGGTTTATCGTTGAATATGACCAATCATGAAATGGATTTGCAGCTATTTTTGACAGCCGGTCCAACAAGCAATCACCTTAAGTGAGATATCAAAAATTTATTCTACGTAATGGTTAAAATCAATTATTAATAATCTTTGTTAAACCCACCAATATCCATTCTGGTCTGCTCAGCAATGTGACGAATGATATTATCGAATGCACGTGCAGCTGTTGGTCCAAACATTTCTCTCCAAACTAACTCGTCTAAGAATTGTTGAATCATTTGTCTACTCAGTAAACTCAAAGTATTTTGAAACATTCTCGGTACGATTTTTCTTAGATACTCCATTATGTGATAATTGCTCATCATATTTCTGGGATTCTGGTCGGAAAATGCTGATTGTGTTACATGATTAAAGCCCATCTCTTGCAGAGTGCCTTTGTCCACTGTGAAGTCTGTCAGAATCTTGGACTCCTTATGTACCCAATCCTTGAGAGGATGTAATATATTATTAAAACGTCTCTTGAATGATCTATCTCCGTCATGCACAGGATCGCAAGCACGAAGTCTTAATTCAAGTCTCTCTGGATCAAGAATACCCAGAACTTCGACTTTTACCTATAACATAATAGAGCGTATAAGAAAGTAATATTCAAGGTTCACTGATTGTGAGTCATATATAACATTACCTGTCGTAAGTTCCCATCTTGTGACGTAGTACCCAAACTTATTACACCGACCTGTATCATGGAATTCTTTCCACCCATCATTCGACTCTTATCCCATACAGCAGCAGTGCAGATGCTGCGCAGATTGGTATAAAAATTTTTCACATATATATTAGATACTTTCACCCACGAGACAACATTTTGCACATTAGTTTGACATGCCCAGTGATAAATTAGTTTTAAGAGCACTGTAGGAATATGTGGTGCTCCTTGAAAAATTGATCCAGAAAACACGGAGACAAATCGATCTGGACAGCAACTCGATATCCAAACGTATCCACCGGAATATGGAAATGTACCCGAGTCACTATACATGCCCAGCTTTAATTTAGTTTTTTGATAATTCGTACTGTGCTGGCTACAGTATTGTTCAGAACGAACCAAACCTTGTTGTATTAACCATTCAGCGAACTTTGTGGCAGAAAACATTAGCACGCTCTTTACTTTCATGTCTATAAATGAACATACAGTTATTAATGGTTTCCATTGCACATGGTATTCGATAAATTGATTTGCATCTGTAAATCGGTTACCTAATTCAGTTCTTTCTTTTTGTGCGATTTGAGGTGCAATATCCTTGGAACGAAGATTTGGTCGTGCTACGACAACTAACGATGGAAACGTGCGACCACCATTCATTTTATTGAACGTTACTTCTCTGCCGTCTGGTTGATTCTTTTTGGACTCTTCAATCTGTTCGCTGGCTTCAATTATTAATAGGATAAGTAATTAAAAATAGGATCTGTTGAGGGTGCATAATTTTTTTTAATTACCTGCATTTTTATTTCCAACAGCTATGCCACCGATACTGGTATGTTCGGTGGGTCTTGTAACTGGTTGTTGATTTGTCTGTTGCTGCTGTTGTTGTTGCTTGTTTACTGTCTTTATTCTAAGATTCATCACGCCTTGAGGACTGGTAGTGGCTGTAACATTACGAAATGAAGGTCTTTTTGTTAATTTTATAATTTGATGTACTCAGTTTTCACTATTGTTTCTCTTACTGGGTGTCACGACATGTGTTGCAGGGGATGATTTCGGTCGAGCTCTTGTAGTTGGTGTAGGCTACATGGAAAAATTTAAATAAGAGATTGGTTTGTAAGTCTTTAATAAAAAAAAAATCATGACTTTAGTTACATCGTCTATAATATCCGGTTGTTGTACTTGGAGGACCTTTGTTCGACGACCAGATCTGGTATATTTATACTGAAATTGAATATAAACTTACTTGTCGACTAGATATAATTGCAGCATCAAATTTTATAATAAAGTTACTCTTACGTTTTCAGGTTGAGAATGCGTTACAGCAGACGTAACAGGAGTGGATGTTGAGGTTTGTGCTACGATAGATAGTTCAAGATTAAATTATAGAATATTAATAATTATTAAAAATCATTATATATAATCACTACCTTGTTGCTGTGCGGCAGATCCCAATATACCTCCCATTCGGGGACTCATAACCAATTGGATGTTTCCTTGATTTGAATTTGCAATGTTCAACATGTTTAATTGTATTGGTTGTGTTTTTCCATGACCCTGGAAAATATTTTTATTTTTCCCACACTCTACTTTTGCACAACTTGGTAGTTATAATACAGATAAATAATTAAATACTTACTACACTTAACAAAGACTGTTGATTAGATTTACCAGTTGTTGGAGTGCTGTTGCCAGACCTATTCAATTTACTATATCGTAAAGTGCAATATGTGCAACGAAAATATTATATCATTAATATAATTTCTAATACTTACAATGTATACTGATAGCCATTGACTGTGCCTGATTGACATATAAGTTTACCACCATGATCTTTCACCAACTCCTCGAGAGCAGCAGCGACCTGACATAAATGTTACAGTCAAGAAACAGTCCTGCGGGAAGCTCATATAATGCTTACCCTGTCATGATCCGACTTCATTTTCACTCTTGTCATGTTTTGCACTTCACTTAAAGGTTCTTCCATACATTCCAGATTTAATGTCATACTCAGTGGACGGACATTTGTCACTGAACGAGCAATTAATCGTGCCTTTGGCATATTGACAGTTCCTGTTGACAGCCAAACGGAACCAAGAGATGTCATTACTGTTTCATAAACATACCAAAGTAATGTAAGAATTGAAAGGAAAACAATCGGACATCATCTGTTAACTGAAAATGCGGGAAAAAATTACAAATGAGGATTTCTTTTAAATTTTCAAATAATGTTTACAATTCCCCACCACAGCTCCGCGCAACTACTGTTCGTTCCAAAAATAAGCGCCATACGTTTTAGCGTCTACAAGATTGTAAATGCCATTAATAAATCTTCTAATACTGAAGATAGTAACAGCACACATGGCCCTTGAGAAGTCACCTACCTCGTACAACAATTCTGCAATAAATTGTAATTCTTCAAAATGATACAGGAACAAAAGGGGTGTTTGAAAAATGATTATTTTGTAAAAGGGAAGAGCAACAAGCCCCCCGAATCTGTACCGTTCACCATTAGTAGATAAGATGGCGGCACCGGCAACTCCCCATAGAGATCAGTAGGGAGATGACAACGCTACGATATTCAGCGAAACCAAAATCGTGGCGCTAAATCATAGCGGCGAGTCCGCAAGTAGGATATTGTGATCATCGCCTCCGTCGACAATACGAATCCCGTCGTAGCCGAGCTAAACGGGAACACGGACGCGTAGCTTGGCGGGCAGAGGTTCTCCGCTACTCACCGCTGTTTCCCAAAGCAACCCTTAGAACGAGCCCGGGAACTATTGTTACTCATAGAACTTACAAAAGATTAGCAATAACAATACCATTAGAGATATATTACATATAATCATGCAATATAATATACATGTGGTATTTTACATGCGCTACCACTTTGGACTTTTATTTTTCCAAAGGACTTTTTAATAACTTAGTTTTTAAGGATATACTAGGAGGAGAGTGATGGAGACATGGGAAGGAATAGGAGATTCGAAAAGTGTATAAGTGTTACAAGATAATTTATTGGATAAACGCAATAATGATACAGTATACGGTGTACAGATGTACATATATAGTCCGCGAAAGATTAGTAATATCAATGCCATTAGAAATATATTAAAGTATATCACTACAATATAATATACGTGTAATATGCTATATGCGCTACCATTTTGGACTTTTATTTTTCCAAATTCATCTCTGCTCGCCATTTCGTTTACCTTGCGCTCAGTTTATGCTGCTTTCTATTCACGATGCATTTTCAATTGACCAATGAGCATCCAGAACATGTAGTACATAAATAAACTTTAACATGATGTCACTCAGTATACGTCCCACGATTGGCTGGACGATGTGCACCATAAGAAATTAGGAATGGCAAAGATAAAATTATCACTTTCTATTGGAATAATTATAATTTTTCAAGCAACTTTTCGCATTAATATTATACACTAATTTGATGGGGGATGATTGGTAAATTTGAATTAGATAATAGCTTACGTCAAAATTAATACTTTTAGCTTTTTTTTTAAACAATATTTTAGGAATTAAACATCTCAAGTGCGAAACGCTTGCATTACGTATAAAACAATGCGCTATGGTTCTTTTGCGCAACTGTTCTGCCATCTATCAGTATGTTGCAGAATTTATTCATTGGAACGTTCGTCGCGCCATTACGGAGTTTTATGGAACTATTGTATGGAGTAATATTATTTCCGTTTATCCGTAATCGAATGTATAATATAAAAATTTTCCTTTATTATGCGCAGTATAGGTATAAAATACTTAAGAGTTATCATATGTTAATTATTAGTGTCATGCTCGGATCATATGATAAAAGCATATTATAATTATAATTTGCTTTTAGATGTAAACTCGTACACATACTTTTTTTCTTATACATTTTGGATCGTGCCAAGGCTTACACGTCTGCTTAAAATTTACGGTGTTTCATTGACACGCACCAAAATTCTACCCATCGAAAAACTCCTCTGCAAAACTATGGCAAATACTATTAGAATACCTGCGTTAGCAACCAGTTTCTTATTGTCTACATACTGTAGATTTGGACTTTTGACAATTCACAAGAAATCGATAGAGTTTAGGTGAAAGAAAGTGTATTCAAAATAATTATTCGATATCGACTATCTCAAAATAATCATCCGGATCCAAAACTTTGGATCTGTTCGATGAAAGAAGTGGAACTTCGATAAACTTGACAGCGGAAGTGGTAGAATTTGATTTTTCAAAATTAATATCCGCCGCTGTTATTATCTTCGGAATTGTTGCTTCGTTCCGAGGTGGGAATACTCTTTCAATTTTTCCATTACTTCCCAAAGTTCTTGTAACAACATCCGGATACTTGGCAGTGACTTTTCGAAAGAAACTAATATCTGCATCCGGTTTGTTACTTGATACACTTAGAGATTCTTCGGTATTTTCATTGGATGTGTCCAATTTCAATCGTAGCGACTTTAATTGATTTCTTGATTGATTATACTCATTATTGGATCGTTTCTCCAATTTTGAGTCATTCAACTTCCGGTCTCTGCGATCATCCGCCAGGGCTAGTGAGTCTGTTGTATTTGGTGGTGCTTCTCTGTGCAAATATGCTACAGGCCAATGTCTACCAAAGAAGCCTGGTTTTGGTATATCATCAAAACGACTGCTTTGATCGAAACGATCGAGACTGGACGGTCTATGTGGCCTTGAACTTGATGAATATGGAAAGTATTGCTCACTGCATGGCCGCCATTGATTCTCTTTCGGTCCCACGTAACACCTGTTTGAAAACAAATTTTATTGTCTCAAATTCAGTTTGAGAAGGGATTGTTGTGCATAAATTTTATTACCATGGATAACTGTAACCGTGAGAAAAACCGCAATGATGAGTTGGTTCGCAACAATAGTCCCAGGAACCATATTCTTCACCTTCCGGTTCGCAGGACCAAAAACCGGCTACTTTGTTCCTTTGACACTTGGTACCACGTTTACAAGGATGACCATTCACCGTGTAATGAGTGAAGGTTGCTAAATCACCAGCTATGTTAAAAAGGTATATTGTCATTAACTAGGAGTAAGAAGTAGAAGAAGAAGTGCCTCACGGTATGATAAGTCGAATCGATCACCTCCATAGCTACTTCCTGGTCTGAAGTCACTTCCTCCAGATCCATATCCAGAACCAAAGCGATGACCTCCGTGATCATCATGGCTTCCGTATCCGTTAAAACCACCAAAATTACCACCGCCACCTCCATAACCAGCGAATCCTTCACCTCCGCCATGAACACCACTTCCTACACCGTACCCGGGTGCTATTGGATCAGGTCTATCAGGATCGAATGGTCTTATTCCTGGATAACCATTACCACCACTACCTGGCCTAATTTCATGACTACCATACGGTCCCTCTCCTGGTTTCAAATCATGATCAAAAGAAGGTCCAGGGTGTCCATAAGAGTTACCACCGTGTCCAGGTTTTCTACCGTAATCAATTCCTCCTGGTCCATGATCAGAGGTCGGACCAAGATCTGTGAAATATGGGGGACGCGAGGGTCGTCCACCAGAATGAAAATCAAATTTGTCCTGATCACTGTAACCTGGACTTTCGAAACCATGACTGTGATAATCAGGGCGACTAGGAACATCAGGATATCCTAGTGGAATACATTCTGGTTCTAGTTCTTTCCAAGCATACAGAACATAATCGTCATCATGAATGTAATCAAGACCAGGTCTTAGATCCCTTCTGGGAACGTCACTTAGGAAGCAGTTATCATTTCTTCTATCATTTTCAATGCTGCATCCAGAATAATAAATTAAAATATTAATATATTATATTAATATCCTAGGTTCATAAGTATTTTAAAAAATCATTTTATACTGACTTATAGCTGAAGGACATACAAGGAACATAATCTTTTTCTCTCATGCTGGAACATCTTTGACGGCATTCTGTTTCACCATTCACGCGAATCGATAAGAGGATGGCGTAAGGGGTGAGTTTACAAGGTCTATGATAAGTGGAGTAACAAACTGAAAAAAAATAGAATTCTAAAAATAATTCATTGAAATAATATACGATCTTGCAAGTGCACTCACAGTCATCCCTGTGACTTGGTTTTTTATCTGTGCTGCCGTATTTCTTTCTTAGTGGCGGAAATGGATAGGGTTCGCACCCTCGTCCAAAACTACCCCTCTCGTATAATTCTGCCCCGTCCATGTCAGGCAACGAGAAAGGATCCATTTCCTGAGAAGGCCAATCACTTAGGAAACAATTCGGTGAACCACCAATTGGTAAATGTCCATACCTAGATGACATATCGAACGGTATTAATGAGCTCAATAATCATTTTTTTTAATTCTTCTCTTTTTATTTGACTCACCTGTAAACAAAACTTCTACAAGTAAATCCTCGAGTATCCACACACTCCACTTCGCATTCCCCAAGGCTATCCACGGACATCGATTTTTTTATTACTTCAAGTGCCATTCCAAAACCACTCCTGACTCTCCAAAAGCATTCTGTAAATTTTGGTTTTTAATTTTAAAAGGTATTATATCTAGACAATTTTAATGCAGTACCTTCGGGAGGTCGTCGACTTGGTGGTTTACCAGAACTGCAAGATTTTGAATTACCGACTATTGTGTAAATATCATAATCACGGTCAGGCTCCAGATCAGTATAAAAATTAAGATCTTCATATGAAATTTCACTCAGAAGGCAATTATCTGTAGGAGCAGTAGAAGCCAAGTTGTACCTGTACAATTGAAAAAATATTAATAGATGTAATGAATAAGATTTATATTGTAATAGAATACGTCAATTGAATTATTTTTGACAGATACTTTATATTGAAACTACCTGTAGGAGAATGTCATGCAGAGAAAATCCTTTTCGACGGTGCAAAGACTTTCGCACTGATCTAAATTAGACGTGAGGTAACTTTTCCTTACGAGTCCTCTGCGAACTTTGACACCAGCTCCAGATCTAACTGAACACTCGTGTCTCTTGCCGGATCCACCATAAAGAACGTCTTTATCCGAGGGAATATAGTTATCCCCATAACCAAAGGCACCGCCATAATTGTAAAATTCCCCATAAAAATTATCGTTCTCAAATGGCCGTGGACGTTTATGTTGTTTATGATGATTAGGATCTTTTGGTAAATGAAATTTACCGACAGAATTAGTATCATATCCATAGGAGCCACCATAGGTACCACCATAAGATCCCCAATCTCTGTCCCAGTCTTTGCGACGATCAGGCAAGTAAGGACCAATTTCATTAGATCCTATAAAAAATTAATAAAATTAGAATTAACCAACGTCTGATCATATAATCAAAATAGTCTACAGAAATTACTTATACCTATATCATGAAACGGTCTATAACCAAAGTCAGGTCGCCGTTCTGGAAATTTTGGAAGATGCGGCCGACCGGGTCTAAAATCTCCATGAAACATATTATCCTCAATAGGACCAATATACACAGACCCAACAGGCCTTGACGGATAAGGTCTCCCAACTGAAAAATGATCTCTATCCGGTTCACCAGGTCTCCGTCCAGGTGGTAAAGGAATATCAAAAGGTCTCCGTTCAGGTAAATAAGGCTTCCTATGATAAAGATCATCTGGACGGTCACGATCAGGTCCATAACCAGACATAGGTCTTCGATCCCGATCTATAGGTCCCTTATCTGGTCCAGGACGTCTCTCAGGCAGGTAAGGTCTGGGCTCGTGCCTAGGCGGTTCCTGAGGTCTTCTACTAGGTCCATAGCCCCCTTGATCATTAGGTCTATATCCACTACCAGGTCTAGGCGACAGATTGGTCCATCCTGAAGGTCGATGATAAACGTCCCCAAAAGAATCCTGGTCGCATCTTGAATCCTTTTCGTAATAATCATAATGAGGGTCAGAAATAAAGTCTCGATGCATATCCATCCTGGAATAAGGCACTGATGTCAATTCGCACATTCCTCTTGGTCCAGGTCCCATCCTCCTATTAAAAAAAAAAGTCAATCAAATATCCCCTCTTTTTTTCAAAACAATCTATTGATTTCGTCATCCGCATTGTTAGTCTTGCACAGAAATTGACCAAGAACTGTGTCACTGTGTATTTTGCTGTGCAATCAAATTAGCCGTGATGCAATTCTACGGTGGATAGGTAACGCATCTGGTCACGCATGTGCCTTTAGGTACGTTAGGGTAGGTCGCGCACAGTGATAGCTAACCCAGTTAAAAATATTAAAAAAAAAAGTCAAGCGACGCACTAGGATACCAAGCATAAACAATTGCTCTCTTACATGAGTCAAATGCCGATGATTAGTTCATTCATGACTTTTTAGTTCCGTCCATGTATACATTTCACGCAGCGCTTGTTATTTTTGATGAGTCTTTTAATTAATATTTTAATTTCTTACACCTAAATGCTCTTGTGATTCATATTACCTGTAATTGAATCCTTCGCAATTAAAAGCTTTCTCCGAATCGCATTCTCGATTACAGTCATCTATTCTTTCGCAGTCAATGGCTCGTCTGATGTGAATCTCCACGATCCTTTTACCGGACAAGAGTCTCCTGTAACAGGCTAAACCAATTTTTTTTTTTAACTAAAATTTTCAAACTTCACAATCAATTTCGGGGATTATTATTTTTATAATTTTTCACAACGGAGTAACTTACGTTGACAACTGTCACTGACATCTTGAACTATTATAATTGAATCCTGACTAGTATCTTTGAAAAATAATAGTATCAGTGTGATACTCCAAAACCACAAATGGGATAACATTGTCGTGTAAAAATTTTGTCAATGGGTAAAACTAAAGGAAAAATACTGGATTGCTAATTATTATTTACATCCAACCGGAAGCTTGCTAATGGTTACATAAGATGGATCTGGCTGAGATCATCAATAATGGATACTTGTAAAATTTCCATTTTACATGCACATAACGTTAATAGAATTTTTAATGATTTTTCATTAACAAATATAGCTTGTCAATCCCTTTTTAATTTTTGTCAACAAATTTCTAATCACAAAATTCACGTTATTATCCCTAATCACACGTTACTCCAAATTCTTTCCTGCGCCTCATGATAATGTCACAGCGAGATACTACCAGCAATATTCGCTTTTTTCTTTATAATTTAACGTGAGAAACACCAAACCGAAAACGCACAGAAAAGTAGCAGAGAAATTCTAGATTCTCGTGGTTTTATAGAAAAGTGAACGTTTACGTGAGAATAGTGGGAGGATCTACTGACACTTTAGGGTGGGGTTTTGGCGTTACATGATCATTAATGATTAGCTCTGCTCAGTTCCTACCACCTAATAATATCATACACAAATCATTTAATCGGCACAAACAATTCTGCAGGATATGCTACAGTGACAGCTGTCACGTCATTAGGAGTGTAATAATTGTACAATAAATGTATATTAAACTCCTGATGAGTCAAACAGTCTAAAATTACTCTCAAACTCCATAAAGGAAGATAAAAGAAAGTTAATTGATTATTAAAAATAAAACAAAATGCAATTCTGTTAGAAATATTTAAGTCTAGAATTTTTTTTTTCCTAGATCCTTATAACCAAGAGATCTTCGTGCCCCTAGCAGTGATGCAGGTTTTCCTGCGGACATGGCCAATTATCCAATCTGACAAGCATCCAGATACGAAGGATTCGTAAAGGCACTGTATAAGAAATGACGTCAGGCTAGAAAGGACCATCACAGGTTGAAATCTGTCCTTGAAGATTAGTCAAGGTCACAATTATTCCAATTATTTCAGCCAGGCCAGAAGAGGAGTCATTATATAGATTTATCTATACGTATATAGGTATACTAGCCATACAGATATAATATATAAGTATAGTCTTTATATTTCTGGATATGATGAACGGGACAGCGTGATCCCCCACCAGAAGCAACCATTAAATGATGAAGAATATTCTTGATGAATCGTAGGATAAAAATTTCAGTAGATACTTCAAGACTCCTGCAGGAGTCTCATGGTTACACAAGGAAATCTTAGAGACATGCTGCGCAGGACGTCTGACTTCCGGTTTGCGTGCAGTTGTTTGCGCTTGAGACACTGTTACTTTCGACTGTCCTTTGTTACCGAGATGTCTTAATTAATTATGAGAAATCTCAAGGTTTCTGAGACTCATAAGTACCGGGGACCAATAATTTCTTCAACCTCCATAGTGATCGCCATTGTCAAGTTGGATTTGTTATTGAAAATAAATAAAGCATGTTAAGATGTTGCCTTTTAAGATTTCAGTGGGTATCGTGGTGCATGGTGGGAATGATTATTGTCTTAAGAGAAGCCAAAGACTGGTTTTACCTTTGTGGATGCATGCAAGCGCGCCATTAGAGTTCTTTCGTTCCCACGAGTGTTCAGGATTCGAAATTCCAGCAGGTAGGGGAACAAAGTGCAAATAAATCGTAGTCTGTACTCTGGAGCGGAAGCTGTACTTGGATGCAGTGAGTTAATTTGCATAGTGGTTAAAATCGGTGTCAATGCCGTTTGCCATTTGTCAATCCTAGATGCGTTAGGTTTGATAAACTATGGATTGTAGATTGTTATTATTTTACAAAGATTAATTGGTGCTTGTAGAAATATAAATGAGAGTTTTAGGTTAGGAATCATGAGTAACTTACAACTTGGATTTTCAAAGACGTCAATTCCATGTCCAATGACATCGTAGTGATGTTTATGACCTGGTAGTATTCCTGGGAAGCCAGAATGAGTATCATCGTAGTCATTTGAATTGTACCCGTGGAAGCTGTGCGAATTGATTGGACCATGATGATTTACAGGATTGGGATTATCTTTGTCATAAATGAACTGATCTGAGCCAGCAGGTCTTGGACGTTCCGATACGTGAATGATGTTGTGGGTTTGACTGTGTCCATTTCCTGTAAAACCATAAGCACTTCCGGTTGGATGACCAGAATTGTGCTCACTTCCGGAATTGTGATCAATCCAGTATTGATATTTTCCTGGAGTAGATCCACCAGGATTGGAATTGCCATCTTCATTGTAAACAGGTTTAACAGTTAATGATGATTCATCATCTATAGGTTTAGGTTTAGGAGTAACTGGTTTCCCAGGACTCGATGATGGTCTGCCTATGGAGAAGGTGCCAAAACCACCAGGTCGAGGAATATCCTTATGATCATTGACGTCATCGAAAGGTCTTTGATCCTCATCATAAGTGAAACTGGAACCACTCATAGGTGATTTGTTATTTGGTCGACGATTCTTGTTTCTAATTATGTCATAGACTCTTCTGTCATCATCAAAGGATGAAAACCATCCTTGATTAAATGACGGTTTCCTATAAGTTTGATCCTGTCCAGGTCTGTTTGACTGAAAGCCATTTGGTTTTTGCGGTTTTATACCATTTCCAAAACCAGTAGGATACCTGTCATTGGCAAATTCATTGACGGCACTGCCATTACTCGGCCGTTTACCACCACTACCTAATTGGTAGAGTCTATCAGGCTCGCAATCTGGTGAATCCTGACGTCTTATATAGACATCATAATCCTGGTCCTGATCTAGTTCTTCGGGATTAGGTACCCTGGATCCGATGGTACAAGTACCGTTACCTTTTGAACTGATCCTGTATGGATGAAAAAAAAAAAATTAAATATTCACAATCATTCGGTCATTAATTTCTTGTGATCTTACCCAAAGCTAAAAACTTTACAGGTGTTGCGATTCTTGGAACATTCATTCTCGCAGTCTGTTACTGTACCCGCTGATGTCCTGATTAAGACGTCCTTGTCGGCCAATCTAGTACCAATGGATATCCTCGTGTAACAATCTGCAAAAAGATCTCTACTTGTCATCCAATCAAGAATTTACTATTTTAACAGATATTAATTAATTTTTAATGATAATCACCATTAGCTATGATTACAAGCTGATTATCGATCGTCAGGGTCGAGATTTGAGTAATCGATAAAAATATTATAAATGAAAAACAATTTTGAATCCTCCCTCCTCTAGTTGCGCACTTCATTTTTTCGTAATTCACCAAAAATTCTGCTTAATTTCATATAACACACTGAAACACAAAGATTATCATTTCTCTTCCACTATTAAAATTTCTTTCGCGTAACACTTTGCACACTGATAATAAATTTTAATTAGATCAAAAACTGTCGCACTCGTATAATAAAGTATTTCGCAACACTGTTGAATTATAATTCGATGTCGATCATAAAACGTGGCATGACGATCGAGTATACTTTATCGTCTATATATTTTAATTATAATTTAGCTAAGCTTGGTAATTATCTCGGCGCGGTTCATTATACTTTCGCAAGGTGAGTTGAGCCTCTTGCGATTGACTTCAGACTGAGAGCCTTAAGTAACTGTATCACTGTCTTATATGGGAGCACCATCCTTATACCCAATAGCTTCTTCTTCTACTTCGTTCACGTTGGAGCACCCACCCGTCCACAACAGGGATTGGATTAGTAAATCATTTATATAGTCACACCGACGTACAATAGTAGAAGATAATCATCTAATCGCATATAAATCCTGCTCCAGCTTTAATTACTAGAAATTATATGAGAAGAAAAAAATTAGCCAAATCTAAATAAAAGAGTTACACCCACGTCTTAAATTGGGAAAGAAATGGTAATCTTACCAAAGTACTTCGAATTCCTGTTGATTAGCCAAGTGGCAAGTTGGAATCAGGATCAGAAGGATGTCAAGGACTCCATAAAGATTATTCTAGGAAAAAATACATAGCGTTAGAGGGGTGTGTTTCCATCGCTTCCTTTTCTCATAAAATCATCAAGCCAAATGATTACAAACCGACTACTAACCAAGATCATTTTACTACCTATTGTCTGAATAAGTGCAGTTCAACTGCAAGACTATTCTCGTACGAAATACAACAGATGCACGTGACATTTTTTCTTCTTCGTTTGTTCCATCTGATTTTACGTCGCCGACGAATTGTGAGGTTAGCCGTTGGAAGATGCGGTGATTGTCTTATGGTTGAGTTTGATTTCTACATTTTGTACAATCACATGGTCGTGACAGAGATACCTGAATTATGAGAAATATTTCGCACCTGATTTTACAGTCCGGAAGTTACTTTCCTGACTTCGCTAACCGACGAATATATCAGGTGTATCTTTTCTCTATGTTAAATTTAAAGACGCGTCCTAATAGGCCTAGATGCATATTAAGCAGTTGCTTACGTAATGAAAATGAGATGAGTTACACGCAGACAAAGCTGGGACGTCACGGTTCGCGTGAGTCGGCCACACGGAATGAGTCATTATGCAATTATCATACCTTATCGTAAAACGTAACGTAAAAAGAAGCCGGGACTGAGATATTTTGATTGTGTACTTGACCAGATAAAAAGTACACGATTAAAGTATTATGAGAATTAATACACTGTATGTATTAAGAAAAACATTGGCATGACTATTACAAAGTGGTTGTACGTGGTACAAGCAATTCGAGTACTTACTTTGTAAATTGTCGCTTCCATTCCATTTGTCCGTTGCTTCAGGCCATGTCATCGACCTGCATGATTTGATTTTATACTTTGGTACTTTAGGCTTCTGTATTTTACACGACACGGTCGTGTACCTTTTGTTTTTGTATAATGGGAGACACTATACCACAGCACTCTACAAATAACTCATTACGCAATGTACGTTTTACTTCTCATTCTTGTTCTGCTTCCAAGTAACAATGATTGTTTACTCAACAATTAGTACAGCAGCCATTGATCTGCCGCTAAGATTCACAGAGCTTGTCTTTGCTAACAAGAAATACTTCGACGACCCTGTCAATTTGCTTGACTGACGGAAATTATAACCTAGACATCCTGTGGTGGAACGGAAGAGACGATTACTGTCAGATCAGAATCTCCAAACTTGTAACATCCGGAATAAAAAGTTATACGAAAATTTAGTCACGCTTTGATAATCCTAGTTTCTCAGGAGTTAACTAGAGGAAAGGGATTGTTCTTAAATTATTAATTCTCGGTCCTTAACCTTATACTGCGTTCACGCTGTTTCTTCCACCAGGAATTTGCCATCTTGACTACGTCCCTGAACAGATATCAGGATTTCCTTTTCATCAAGCAGGCGTATGGGAACTTCGGATATTTGCTTGAAACAATGCTGTAATGCAGGTGTAACGCTCATCCCAAGGTCATGGATTTTCGCACAGTAATTTACACAGTGGAAGACTCAACGAGAGAGTCGTAAGCCGCTCACGCCATATTCTGCGATCTACGGTTTCTCTACGCTGGAATCTAATAACTGTTTTATAGTTTGAATTTTAGGATAGGTTGGCAGAATCGTTACGACTCTTTTTCGCCTATGGCAAATTTGCGTGACGGATTTACCGTTATGGATTCTCGCTATGTGGTACGAGCCAACAATTTCCTGGTCCATTAATGGCCTTGAGTTTCTCATTGTCATTTATTATGCCACCAGTACTTTTTTTTTCACTCCATTTGGCTGTGATCGTCTGTGGATAAATCATTCACGCAAATTTTTATGTATTCTTCTTTTTGCATTTTTTTTTTTAGGAATTCTGTTCAGAATTAATATACAAGTTGTGTATTATTTTATGAGGAATTAAATTGATTTATGATAGGATTTTAGTGGAGGTTCACATAGTATGGTAAATATATACTGTATTTGGTAGAAAAGTCTGTACAAATGTGATCCAAATAACCGTTTATAAACGAGCAAATTAATAGAATGTGAACGCATTCGGATTATCGAGTTTAGCCATTTTGTCTTTCTCTTCGTACAGGCAGTGTGCTAGTTAGTAATAAATATAGAAATAGGAAACTTAAAATATAACAGTCTTTACTGTCGACTTTTTAATTAACTGAATTTTTTAATAAAAGTTATTAATATGACGTATTAACAAACAAGCGCTAGTTGATAAAACCGTATTGCGTCACGATGATAAAGTATATCACAATATACTAATGAAATTTGAGTTACAAACAAATAATTGACAATTTAATCACCTATGACTGCATCAATAATATTATATTACAAGATAATTTGGATTAATTCTATAATAATCCATAATTAAACGTTTGAATGAATATCAGCGGAATGCACCAAGTTTATAACATTATTCATGGATACACAAAAGTGATTAGACATAAAGTTTGGTGCAAGAGTTACAAAAATTCTCTTCCTTTGCTCTAACTAGTGAACAATAATGATCCGCCTTACTTCCTAGTAAAAAAAAACAAACATCAATCATTATTTTACCAATAACTGCATCAAAGCAAACTTATCTAATTTTCAAATTTGTATCTTTATTTAACAACAAGCTGGTGGCCTTTCCTGAATAGCAAACGCTATACTCTTATCTGTCGTACTTTCCTCGCTAGAGGGACTAAGCGGCATATCCGGACTACTCAGCCCGGAACTGACGGAATCATAAACTCTAAGACTAGTCATCAAGTCACGACTTCCTGAGCTCAATTTAGCAAGACCAATAGCGATAGCCAGAAAAACTTGTTCGATTCCTTCGTTCTGAAGAGCTGAGGTCTCATAATAAGTCGCTCCAATATTGACGGCATACTTTCTACCTTCCTCCGGGTCAACCTTACGTTGATTTTCGAGATCACTTTTGTTACCAACTAAAACGAGTACCATAGGCCCCTCAATGTTTCTCCTGAGTTCGTTTACCCAGGTCTTGATGGCAGTGAAGGTATTATACTGAGTTAAGTCAAAGACTAATAAAGCTGCATTAGCACTTCTGTAATACATGGGTGCCATAGATCTGAATCTTTCTTGACCAGCAGTGTCCCACACCTACATAAAACAAGTATAATCAACAATTATTCCCAAGTATTTTACCAGACAAAAATGGCGGTATATTCAAATAACTAAACCTGAAGTTTAACTCTTGCTTCTTCCAGGTTGACCTTACACGTGAAGAAAGACGCTCCTATCGTGGGATTTATGTGATGATTAAACATTTTCCCAACATATCGCACGATCATACTTGTTTTTCCAACGCCTGCAACATACAAATAATATTAGGTACAATTCAAACATCCCGCCTTGAGGCAGCCGTGATTGCTAAGGTACGAATCGCCTTCTCGGAATACGAAAAAATAAACATATTAAGGCCATTTCTTTGTCAATGAATTTCCTGGATAGATGACTAAGTATGCGGCTGGAATGATTAATACCGTACTGTATCGATTAGATCTATTAATGGTAGCTAATTCGTTCTTTGTATTCTGTACATCTGATACTTAAAACATTTCAAGGCAACGAATGTCTACCTAAATACATTTTCTTGACATATTATCACGATTATATAGTCCTGCCATGACGTCATTCAGATATAGTTCGTCTACGAGTAAAATACGATTTTAAGAAACCATCTGTTAATATATTTTAGTGTAAAGAAATCCCAGTGTCTACAGTTTGCATATCGATCGACTATAGCTTGATAAAATATACATACGTAATTGATATCTGCTTGAAAATTATCCTAGCAATTGTAATACTTTTGTCCTCTTATGCCTGTATTTTCATAATTTGTCACACGAATCTTAAATAAAGCTGTTTATGACACACTTGGGTTTTCGACGTGTCATTCGACACTTTTAAACATTTTTTATCGTAAATAAGAGTATATGATAACACAGGAGAACTGGGTACGGTTATTCTACTGATATTAATATGGGAATACCCGAAAAGATAACGAACGATACATTATATTGACGAGTGTCGTGCTTAAAGTTCTGAATTATACGATTGAGAATAATGCTCTAGATTAAGAATTTTTTTTTTCAATTATCACCCCACTCTAGATAAAGTACTTAATCATTTATTATTTTTCCAAATAAGACGTGCTAACGGATACGTATGTCAAGTAAGGTTGAAAATTGAAGTATTTGATTATGAATATACTTACCAACGCAACGATTACGTTTTTGGATAAGAAAACAATTAAGAAAAAAAATTGGCTGATTTGTGAACATGCACTTAATAGTACCTAATAGGATAATAGAGTTTGTTGAAATTATTCATTCAGTAGCATCAGATGCTCTCTCCTCGCAGGATCTACCATAAATGTGCTCGAGTCAGCCTGGCTCCAGGTTATGCAACGAGAAAGGGGATATTTACCAGAAGTGCGTTACTGTGACAATAACTTACCCTGTGAACCTAACACCACAACCTTCCCTTCCACAGTTCTCATGATCTACTTTGGGCACCGATACACATAGTCAATGAGAAACTTGAATAATACAGCACAGTAGCTTCTTCCACGAGCAAAGCACCTTAAAATGTCCAACAGTTTTGACGTTTCGTGTCGTTCTTCACTCACGACATTGTTGTTTACTTTCGTTGGAGATCTTGATTGTCGATGGTGGAAACTGTCTACAGCGTTCTCTGGGAGTGGTACGTAAAAATACAAAATGCGGCCATTGTATTCTTCTTAACCAAACTTGGTGAAGTAGTATCCCATGCTGCTGACTGTCGGTAAAGTAGAACACGGCTATTTAGTTACGACAAGAAACGCCATCTACTACAATGCCGGCAGAGATGGCAAAAGCGTCAAGAGGAAACTGAGGTTTTCCACTTTTCTGATCATTTTATGAGTGCTAATAAGTATCTGAATAAATAATTATGCATAGTGAGTGATGAACAAAGCATTGGTAAGTATTAAAATGACACAGAGTGTACTGACGAGATGTTATTTGGAATATTGGTAAGTTCTGAATGTTGGACTGATCTCAACGGATTTTTCCTATCTTCTTTGTTAATTTTGAAAGTGAAAGCATTGTTTTCAGACTTACTTAATTATATTAGATATATAATCAATAGGCGATGGCTAAAAGTCTGTAAGCATTGTAAAGTATGAATTCGTATTGAAAATAAACTCTGAAGGATCCTCCCTCGGTTTAGATTATGCTAGGGGATTAAATTGCGTTATCGGAAAAGATGGCAGGCAGTCAGCACATCGTAATGTACGTTACCCTCGAGGCTGAAGTCGAACGCGATCAGCTCCTGTGAAATGAACCGTTCAGCGGGTACTTCGTTGAATTTTTATGCGATCTCTTAGCTCAGCCAATCGGACTCAGTCCTGGATCTCTTTGCCTCTGGGACGGCAATTCGCGAACGCGCAAAATTTCTTATTCCATGGACGCCTCGCGGAATGGACTTGTTTTGTTTCGAGGAACGTAGTAATTTTCCAAGCGACTACGTAAGGCATCGAATATCAGTATTGGGTTCGACACAAACTGATAAGCCTATTACACTGATACTTGATTAAATTATTATTTTATTCTAAACGAGGATTCTACCCTCTCGTTCCTTTTCGAATATCCATCGTCTGCGATTGTATACTTTTGTTTTCAAAGGGACAGCTGTTTTTTCTTTTAGGAATTTTCGCAATATTTTTCGAAACTTTTATTACCCGTTACCTTAGCTTACTGCGACGTATAAATGTTGCTTGTAGCGTGGGTAGCATTTTCAAAAATCGAGAATAGCGTCGGCATTAACTGAAGCGGCCATCGTCCCCTGTAAAGTGGCGCTGAATAGTAGAGACCAGGATGAAATAGGGGTTGGCTGGGAGGGAGGAGAAACCAGGACCAGTAATCTCCGCTCAGAGCTGCTTCTCTTCTGCGTAATTTATTGCGACTTGCCAACGTTCCGCAGGGTTGAATCCAACACGTGCCAATTCTTATAAAACGAGACTGAAAACGGGAGCTTTAAAAAAATGAATTCTATCAGATTAACATTGTAAATTTTGATCTAGCTAAAATGTCAAATACCATTTTCGGTGACACAGGAATCGAATTATAATAATCATAATATGCTCGAGTGGTTCAGACTTACGTCACCAAAAATTGAAATCACAATCTCAAATCTCTGTCGAGCTTTATAAAAATATCTCAGTCGATTGAATTAATAACAGAGAGAGATTAAGCTGCTTCCGTTGCGAAATTTAAAGTCAGTGTTATCGAAATAGATAAAACTCATCAAACGCCAACACCGAAGCAATCGCCGATACTTTAAAGGTAAAGCGTGTATATAAATACTAAAAAAGGTATAAATATTTAGAATTGCAACTAATCAAAGACAATAATTAATTCTAATAATTTTCTCCCTAGAAGTTCCAGTCTTCGAGTAAAATATCTGCAGCTGCATCCCTGTGCGTACAATATAGTACGTATTATACGTGGGTGAAGGCGATCAACAATGGCGGCACGACCTCAGGAGGCTCCGTTCTCCGTTCTCTGTTCCCGACGCCATTTTACGTTGATTACGATGCGGTTAGCTCCTTCCAACCTCCGTTCCAAGCCGACCTCACCCTCCACCTCGTAGCAACCCCCCTTCCGGCACGTCTCTACTACGATTCACCAGCATGAACTTGCTGGCTGACTGTTCCTCTTCTCTTTCTCCTTTCCCCTCTGCACTTACACACAATCAGCTTGGCCAACACAGCCCACCCCTCCTCCTATCTCACTCCATTTTCATCCCCAAACCATTGCGAATCCTCCTGGCCACCTTCCATACCATGGGCATCCCCAGGATTCCCTATAGCTACCAGTGTACACGCCAAGCAGTAGAGTCCGTATATAGTTCAAGCTGAACCAATGATCTATTGTTCTTCATCATATTTACAGGGCAACCAACCGGAAGTGCCAGCCATACTTTCTTCCATGCCCGAAAACTTATCCATTACAGGATTCCTTCGTCCCGAAGTTTTGTGGTCGTAAACCATCCCCGTTGATATGTATTTCGGATGGATCGATGCAATTTCTAGGTAACTTTTCTACTTCTGGATAAATGACTTGCCATAATTCCACGTCCACGGTCTACGTACAATTGATACAGAATTTTGTTACAGGTACACGCCGTATAGAACCATAATAGGAATCATGCTGTTTGTACGAATAAAAGGTCTTGGGGTAATATTGAAATAATTTATAATAATTCTATTTCGTTTGTTCATCTCTTTTATATTATGATATAACAGATGCGACCTGGTTTCTAGTTTAATTTAACCTACAACCATACTAATGCTTCCAACCGAACTACAACTTGGCCTAACGACCCTATTGCTCGTTAACCATCAAATCTATTTGCACGGGTCCCTCAAACAGATTTTCCCTCCGAGCAGACTCACAAACTACCATAACCGAACTGTACCCGAGCAATAATTAGGGTAGTGTATCTACGTCTAGTATAGTACCTGATATCTAGTATATTTCTAAGTTACACGAGAGTGTATCTGATTACGTTGAATTATCAGGAATCAAGAGGAAAATATAAAATGGCAAACACACGACGGACGTCCCTCGAGGCTGCAGGCTACCTTTACGTAGGATCAAGAGAGACTTCAGAGAGGGATGAGGGCGTCGTAAGCAGAGACGGAGAGAAGGTAAAGGAAAAGGTGGACCTAAACGTGGCGGACGTCGCCTGCTAGCTCGCCCAGGGGGTCGTCTCACGACGCTCGTCGTCGTCGTCGTCGTCGTCGTTGGGTTGATTGTCGCAGATCTTATTATCCCCTCTTGTTCTAGGGAGGTCTAGAGCAGGACCCTGAGCATAGGACGGGGATGGCAGCACGAGGGTGGCATAGGGTGGTCCTGGGTACCCCAGCCCGGGGATAACCTTGTTAGCGCTAATGACGGGCTCTGCCACGAGCTGCGCGAGCCAAGTCAGGGCCGTAGCGCGTTTGTGACTCTTTGAGGGCTCCACCCCTTTGTGCGGGGCTTGACTTCCTAACTACAATTTGGGCTGATGGTAAGATGACTCTCGATAAGGCTATCTTTAGAACTACGTAATCATTTATCATAATAGTTGCGCAGTACAATTTTACATTGATCAGTTGAATGTTTTTAATATTTGAACTATATCAATGTATAACATCCTAACTCTTTGGCACCTGTACAAAAGATTTGATGCCAATCCTTGAACATTAATCGGTCAATGCTCTTTGATGATTCTGTTTATACCAAGTATCTGTTTACGTAATATACTTAAATATCGACTATTACCTCCATGCAGTTGGACTCGCCGGTATCCCAGCATTACAACAAGACATTACGTGGAAAAGTAATGATCTAAGAACAAACAATAGCTTGGGGTGTAAAATGGCTGAGAGAAGAAAGGGCTCCCAGATAGCACAAGGTAAAGAGCATAGTCTCCATTAGACCGTAAAACGAGGTAGAATCGCAGAGGCAATGGCGTCGGCGTCTCGAAACAAACGACGCCCGATAGGAGCGAACAAGCAGTGAATCACCTAAGCACTTGTTTACCAAGAGAATCAGGATTCAGGGATGCCAACGTTCCGAGAGTCCCGGAATTCAGCCGGTTGCTTTCCAGCCCACCGCAACTCCCAGCATCCACCACCATCGCCAGCGGAGTAGTGCCATACACCAACGTCCCTCTATCTATTCCTATTCCCTTGGTTCCTCTCTTTCTCTCTCTCTCTCTCTCTCTCTCTCTCTCTCTCTCTCTTCCATTCACTCGTTCTCTATCCCTGATTCATTCTCCATCTCACCCACAACCAGCAGCTACCCTCTCCGCACTCTCGCATACAGTTTTACAGATACGGCACTGCTGGAATCGCTAAATGTAATTCGGTTAAAAGGGTTTTAGCAATACAATGCATATAAACATGAGTGGTTCCCACCCTCACGTATCCAGAGGCGAACTTCGGAGGACTTTTGCCTCTCCACTTCACGATTCTGAAATCCCAACCGGCAGGATGGATACAGTGGGGTCCCCTAACCGGGCTATAACGTTTCAAGGATCGGATACTACAAACTAAGGAAATGGCGATGGCAGCACTGCTTGACTGAGGGTTGTCACTTGCTGGAAATGGATCAAGAAGTGGATGAAGAGTCGATGACTATGGTGAAACGTCACTTGCCCCTGGAGAATGACTCTCTATGCCAATATGAAGAATTGAAGATAATCAGTCTGCCTTGGATTGGATATATATTCGATCCTCTATCGGTTGTCATATACGTTCAATGACAAAGAACCAATAGATTTCGCAGTTCGATGAACCTGACCAATTACTAAGCAGGCCTGCTGTACGCGAATCACCCTTAATTTATTACTCATTGATTCTCTTCTCTCGCTCAATGGCGACGTTTCGCGTCTATTTTTATGTATGGTTCTATACATACGTAGCCGTACAGAAAGCGCATATTACTCCCTGCGTCATATTTTCTACGACGCCTATTTGTCAAATTAGGTAGTGCGTTGCTGCCTCATATATTTTTTGATACACAGCCAATGATCTTATAAGATTATAATTTATGAGATAAATGGCTGCTGTGGATTCTATTTTCTCTGTATTTTTCCTTTTCTTCTTTGTCTTATTGGACATCAGACTAGATTCGTATAAGCCATTGAGAAGTTTGAATCCTTTGGTTTACCCGAGTTATACTTATAGCCACTTGGGAATTCCGCGAAGCGCTAAAGTTTTATGGTTTTTTTTTTTTTCCTGAAATTGTAACGCGACAGTTCGTTTTAATACACTTCATCGTAATATCTTGGAAAATCAAAGTGCTTTCATTCGTCGTGATTATTCCACCAGTGCTGAAATTTCCCAGTGGAAAACGGGGACGGATCCTGGCTCGGCGCCATATTACCGTTTTCCACCGCATAAATGGCGTAAGCGGAAATAACCGTAAAGCTTTTTGGAAAACACGAGCGTTACCCGCGCGCCAACAGGGCGTTTACTTGCCGGAAATTAACATAAACGTTCTACTTCCTTTGAAAAACACAATCATAGGTACAGTCGGATTCAACGGCATTTTCAACAATTAACACTGTACTTACCATAGTCTTATAAAAACAGCTGATGTTCTTGTCAATTATATCAATTTTTTAAAGCAATCTTAATAATGTCAAAATTTTTCTAGGAGAATACTACCAGCCGATGACACAAACTATCTATCGATTGAATACGCCATTTTGTTGCTGGGAGGTCAAAGGAAATAAGTCGATAGTACTAATGGAGTAGCCAGTTGGATAATCGACCAGTTATCATAAGAAGGCAGTTAGGAAGATCAGTCGTGACGTCAGTATTGAATAATACATTTTCAAAAATGTGGATCATCCTTGAGATTTTGGAAAATAATTCTACAAGGAATTCAGGTAAGCAGAGATATTCTTTCTCTTTTATTTTTTTAAGGTTATTACAATATCTATATAATTATATCTGCTTTTATTCTTATCCAGGATGCGTACAGACATCGATCCACGTTCTTCAAATATTTCCACTTCCTGCTCTGGTACAGTCGTCTACCTCCTTCCTTGGAGGGAACATTTCCGAACGGGTGCCTCGCGATTTCCGGTTCCCCAGCCTCCAGCCGAGCGCGAAACTTCACGGAATTCGTAACTGGGAATTACCATGTCATAAATATCTGATGGGCTTGGAAATGGCGACTTAGCGATGTACCTTTTCCTCGTCTTTCACCTTCTTCTTTTCTTTGCCTTCTTCCAGGCATGAGTCATGGAACTGCCCGACGTCCCACGAATCATTTCTGATTTCGTATTAATATACGTATACCTAACGAAGGGATGAGTTTGTTGAAATATTCTCATTTTACGAGCCATATACCCAATCAGCAGCCATCATGCAAATTTTCGACAATCCCACTTCACCCCAGCAACCCCTTCACCCCGTGGGTCTTCAACCCCCTCTAGTTGCCACATAGCCACCCTGTAACTACAGTATCCATGGCTTTCTGTAATGTATGAACATTCACGTACTTACAACCCACTGTAGTTTACAGAGAAACAAATTCCAGAATGTTTTCTTCCCATGGGATTTTCCTAACGACATTCCTCAACGCAGGGATGATTCTTTAAGGGTTGGTTCTTTAAATAATTCCTGCCGCCCTACCGAGCGGCGAATTACTCTTTTTCCTTCTTTTTTCTGTTTTAATCATTTTCGTATAATTTATTTTAGGAACTTCTCCCAATATATTAGGTTCTGGCATCACATTCTCTATTTCTTATTCGTACACGAATATTATTTACATTCACGTCACATATCATAAATACTTGCTCCTCGTATGTATATATATATTCAATATACAACTATCGCCTAAATTAATAACACAAATTCGGAATCGTGCTTAAATACTTAAAAATTATTATAGGCTAGACTTGTCATTTTCTAACGTCGCTTTGGCCAACCATAATTTCATTTTGCATAATGGCCACAATATTTTATTCAAATCGGTTCCCTGTCAGTTTTCATTTTTAAAATTCCTTCGCTAACATACGAAAATTTTAAAGCGTAATAGGTACATAGGTACTACTATGTACACGATCGGTTCTCCCAAGAACCGATAAAAATTATAATCTAATTATAGAAACACAATTAACAATCTCTCATCTCGAACCGATTGCAAATTGTTAACTACATTCTGATCGTAATGCAATTTGTCAACACGATCGACTTCGGCAGAGTCAAAATGGCAAGATCATGGTTATCGATCGAGTCCTAAGTAAAAGCCTAGACAATTTTTCTTCAGTGCTCGCCGGCCCTTATCGTTGGCCCCCTATTTACATCGAGGTCAAGTGGCTGGTTCTATTTACAAAGATTTCATCTAGAGATCCATTCGTAGAAAACTTCAAGTCGTTCCATGAAAGAACCTGAGAGTGATGGAGATATTCTAAATCCATCGCAGTCATTATATATTATTAAATATTATTCTCCACGTTACACACTCCACTGTTACACTGTCTCTTTCATTTTCTTCAGGACCTTCACGTAGGCGACATCCGGATCCCGGACCATTTTACACTACATAAGGCCGATAAAGTGGTTCCTGAATCTCGGTGATTCCCCGTTGACTCTCCTGAGACGAAGATCGTCCCTCTTCCGGTACGCTGCTACCGCTCACGCTGACGTCACTTCCTGTTTCACGATCTGCGCTTCGCGAACTTCCGGTCTCCTCGACCTTCCCAGTCGCTCTTGCTTCCTGCTGCGCCTTCTTGCTACGCTTCCACTTCATTCGCCTGTTTTGAAACCATATCTTTACCTGGAACAAGAATTCATTAATTATCACAACGGTATAATTAACCAAGATTTCAATTTGATAATTCATCACTGTGAGTATACACCGGTTATATATTATCTTGAGAATAAATTCTCATAAGAGTAATCTCGCTCTCTCTAAATTTCCTATGTACTTATAGAAAAGGATATAATGGAGTAAAATCGCACGTGACTTCCCATTCGATATTGGAATCGCACCAGGCAGTAAATCAGCCAGGATGGGAGACTCGATTTTCTATCCCCTGTCGTAAGAATACGATGTAAATCTTTCGGACAACATATCATGTTCCACCCCAGTCGTATTACCTTCCACCCTTCGTGGAACACACCTTCTTCATGCTCGTACGAATACGAATCACTTTGGGATTTTGACGACTCGCTGGTATATTCTCCAGAGTGAGAATATTTCTAAGAGAAGAGAAATTCTCGTGGAATAAATCAACGTGGGAATTTTTGAAGCTAAACCGTTGTCTTTCAACGATCAAATAATTGGTAAGAAAATTAATAATTCTTTATTGTAAGGTTAATCAATATCTGTCTCTGTACGTATGAACAATGCTAGCGTAAGGATCTTATCGCGATCAGCCAATCAATGACTGTTGTTTGATCCAACGAGCTCAATCGATTTAATTAATCCAATACGAGCTGTCTGCGATTACACATTATTACGCAATGCTCTTTGATCAATTGTTCATAAAATTTAATAAACCGTATACAAGAGACGTTTAGCTAGAGCCAATTAAGTTTGAGAGGTGAAAATCTGACATAATTATTATTTTGGAATCTGATTGACTCTAGATACAGTAAACTAATTGGTTCGATTATCATAATCAATTTAGAAGATCAATCAAAGATGTATTGAGAGTTTAAGAAATCAGGGTTGAAAGTCATGGATATTTCTGCTCGCGGGTATGTTTGTCTCTCTCTTACGCGCGTAAGTAACCATAAGTCCGTCTCTCTCGCACTCATTGCTGCCATAGTAAATCATTGAATTCTAAGGTATCTACCTTCTACATTAAATCACTTATTTTCATGATTCCAGTACGAACGAGTGTCTTCTGATTTGACGAATATTCGAAAGCTGTATTCGTTGGGAGGAAACAAGTGCTCAGGAGTTACCTTGGATTTCTGCAATTTCGAGTAGAATTGTCGGAAAGACGGCTGGGTGCATCTAAATGAGTCGGACTCGAAGGCTCGAGGTGGAATCGGTAAAATATCGAAACAAATCAGCGACTGAGCCGCCATAACTCAGACTTTCGGACGTCTGTTTGCCGTGCGATCCGTCAGAGCTCGTAAGCTTTGGAGTTATGTTTAAGTTGTTGAACTATGCGAGATTCGGAGGGGAGGATTATTCAGGGATTTCTCTCAAGGGTCTTTTTCCCCCACTCCTCATTCAGAAATTCCAAGCTTGACAGCCCTTGCGATTTACAATCCAACAATCCATAGGTGAGGCACTATTTCATTCCTTGATGCTTGAGACAGACTATTATACTTATTCATTGGTTTTTTGCTTTGCCTAATTATTCAATCGTCGTTCTTTAATTTTAATTATGTCTTTACTTTAATCTCACCTGCGTTTCTGTAAGCATCAACGAGGTCGCCACCTCGAACCTCTTTGGTCTGCTCAGGTATTTGTTCTGTCGAAATTGTTTCTCGAGCTCCAACAACTGCTGAGACGTGAAGGCCGTTCTTGGTCTTCGTGTTTTTCCAAGCAGAGCATGTTGAGCTGCGCAACCTGAAATTAATTTTGGGATATTTTATAATCAGAGGGAGATTAATTGAGGTTTATTTTCTTCGTTGTCCTTTTTATATAAATTATTTTACTAAAGATCTTTGCAGTGTGTACGTAGGGACCGTTCGTTATAACTATCGGGGATGATCCAATAAAAATCATCGAATGCTAATGTAATTATCGCGAGTGTCAAATCCCTATGGGTTACCGGGGATGATTTGGGGTTAGACGAAGGGGTGGCGAGACGCCCCTGCAATTAGCCCTGCGAATGACTCTTGGTCATGGGGTGAACTCCGAACTTGGCGTCCATAGGCGTACGTAGTAAGGGATCTGGAATCTCTACGTAAATATAAGAAAAAAATATTTCTAAGTTTCATCCCTTAAGATTAGATCTTTTATGTTCTGTATACTATTGTACGATGCGTTTGCGGGGTGGACTCTACTGTCTTTTTCAATTTGATCTACCGTCGATCGCGAGGCTGGAATTAAATTTGCCAATTGTAAGGGTGAACTTCTCACTGAACCTTGCGTCATTGGCTTAAAGTTAGCCCCAACTTAAATAGCAAGTGCGCGACCGGCTGTCAGTGTTTGTACACATGGCAGCGTTTAGTTAGAATGCATTCGGATTAGCAGTGAGTGATTCACTTAGTTGCAACCAGGTATCGCGACAGTGCACACTCTACCGACTGTGGGGTGGTTCTGATTATTATTTTAGGGTCGGCAAATTTGACGCCCTATAGAAAAAAATAACACTTCATCCCTTAGCTAAAGGGGTTTGTGGCTAGCCATAGATATAACATTTTATAGAAAAGGTTTTCAAATAAATATTAAAATTAAATGGCAGCAACGAGATATTGAATCGATGAGTCTTTTGAATATGAAAAATTAATTTTTCCAAAAAATGTTATTTCAGTGTTTTTAAATTTGTATTTTTTGCCTCGTTCATAGAAGTACGTCTTATCTTTACCAAACAGTGCTTTATCGGTGATCAAATCCTAGAAAGGTATGTCTGTTGTACGACAATACCTATGTAAAATTCTAGGAGATTCTTAGCCAAGAAGATATTAAGAAATTGATTGATTTTCAGAAAAACAATCTAAATTTTATCTACCAGCTAATATGTAGTCGTGATAATAAGTGTGTACGTCGCTTTAGCATTGAATGTATGGATGCGTTATATTTGTTTTTAGTGGACAGTTTTGATTTTGAATCATGGGCCACGTGTCGCCACGAGTGTTAATCCAAGCGTTAACAGCCAGTGCGTTTGGCTTCCTTATCTTTGGCTACGTAAAAAATTCGGGAGAGTAACAGATTTTCGATTATTTATCTGCGGCATTAAGCCGCTCGTGTATTTATTTAATTGTGATTGCCCATATGGCGAGTTTTGCCAGCATGGAATTACACTTGCGAGCGACCCTCCTTGTTACGTATTTTTATTTCTCACTTAGATAATAATTTTATTCCAAAATAAAATACATTAATGTCCATAGTATATATGTATATATATTCGTCTAATGCACAGCTAGGTTCTTGATATAATACGATGTACAGTCTAGTATGGGATTTTCTATTGATACAGATAGAATGGCTATTTAGCATTTAGCATTTAACGTGTAACGTTTAGCGGGCTATTTATCGTTAAGCTAAGGGTGGTTTACCCCCTGCTGGTCACATATGGCCGATGATTTCCTGGCCGTCGTTCCGCGACAATTATTATTTGGACCGTTGCGTCAAATCCTACCCTGTCATGATTCACTTTTATGGGACTTTTTTTCAATTCGCATACACCCGTTATGGTATAACCATTAGGATATTTAATACTAGTGCCTATGCGCAGTTACTACCCCAATTTGAGAATATCAAACAGCCCTGATGCACATTAGACACTAAAATCATACATTTATATTCATATGAGATAATTTGATTTTTTTTATAAACTCATTGAAAATGTGTAACATTAAAAAAAAATTTTAATTTTCAGAAAGAAAAGGATAAAAAAGGTCTCATTATATCTGACCAGAAAAAAAAGACTCTCAAGGATGAACCGGAGGAAGATGGCGTTTATTCGAAAATAATAAAAGAGAATGGAAGATCGACAAACGCTATAGGAGAACAAGTAACAATATTCATGGGAGCAGCAAGGTACCCCTTGAGTATTTCATTCTGCGAAGGGATGGCAAGTGACATACGGCAGAGGGTAAGTGCCAAGGGTTGGTAGATGGCGGATGCCAGTCGCTAACTAACTACAAATACCCCGTGGCAAAATAAATAATATAAATCCAGAGTTTCCCCTGCTAGTCTACCTGGCGGATGGTGGAAGGCATCGAGGTGAACGCTGGGAGCCAATAGTCAAAGAGGATCCAACGGAAGAGGCCAATCGGATGTCAGTATTAGAAAACGTGATGCCAGTCGGCTCGCTGCTTACTGCCATAAACGGTGACAGATGTCAGTAAACAAGAGGGGCGGCTTTATCGAGTGGACAATCACTATTCACGCTCTTATACGTGACGGCAGGGGGTTGAAGTTATGTAGAGAGAGAGAGTGGTGAGTGAACTAAGTGTGGAGTGAAGTCGGGACTACCCTGTGGACTAAAAGTTCCACCCCCCGTCCGACCTTTATCATGATAATTTAATTTATTTGGGGTCCTATTAGCCGTTTCAAGCCTGGCCACCCTTAAATCGTCCCGATCATCGCGGCGGTAAACACCACCTATTATCTGTACTTAACGCGCACCCTGCAGAACCTGTCTCCACCCTCCTTACTACACTACAGCTCATGCATGGAAGAGTTCTACATGTTACACTGGTACTACCCTTATGGATATAGTTACAAATCTTAAGGTTGTACCAAATACTTGCTAAGGTTTGTTTGGACTGTCACAATTTTTCATAATTTTATAATTTGATTTTGCTTTATACGTTCTTCTTGTTTCAGTGTGAAATTTTGCCTGAGTCTATCGACTCGGTGGTACGTTTTTTTCTTCTCTATCGATTACCACCCTGGAGGGGATGGCTAACGAGTAACAACCCTCGTTAACGGAAGGTTCGTTTAATTGTAACTAAATACTCCAACGAATCCAGAGGGTTGATTTTTCTTTTTTACTTTTGTCAATCTAATACCAAAGAGACAATGCCAATTGCAACCCCTAGTCGTCTGTCCAGATCAAAGTAACTACCTTGAATTATTTTGCAGGGTAAAAAATTCTTCATCCCTTACAACTCAACGTCAATACAGCATACGCGTAAGTTATAACCAAATTGCTGATACACAGTGCGTATCCGATGGTCGCAAATACCAAGGGGTTGAATATCCATACGAATTGAAAATGGCCACCCTCTAATGGACAGCAATTACCCAACAGCGAATTGCAAATTGAAATTAGCCGCCTAAATCGGCGTGTATACCTCCTAACCGCTCGGCAATGCCACGAGGGTGGTAGGGGTGCCGTGGTGGGAATGCAGAAACGGGGGTAGTTCGGTAACAGGGGTTGGGAATCGCTCGGATAGGATAGAACGGCAGAAGGGGATAACGACTTGGTCGTTTGCGTGTGGTCGTTCGTGTGCGCCAGGCCCCGCCTTCAACCCCCAGGTCTCGTAACGCCTCCCGAATTATCCACCACCACCCCCCCGACCTCCCTAAAGCTCCCAGCTAAACGAATCTAGCTAGCCTGCAGAGCGAGCCAGTACACCACCACCCTGCCGTTTCTCGAGAAGTTAGCCAACTTTTATCAGGCTATTTTCCTTACCCGGAATGGCCGAATTTAATCCCGAACTCGGCTCACAGGTCGCCACAAATCACGCCATAAACATCCACTATGTTACTTCTTATTTCTGAGCTCAAAAACTTCTAAGTTCTGCACTTTCTGACATGGCGCGTATACCCGATACACTATATGGAAAATATACCCTGCAAAATTTTATTCAATACAAAATAATCCCTGTGCATCTATATACGCCTATACATTTTTTATATTGAAACTAACACACTATTCTATACGTTTTCTTCATTCGATCATACGTTTCGTATACATATTTATTTACTATTTGTAAATCCGCTCAACTAACTCAACATTTATTTTCCTACAGATTACGTACGTCACTCTGCATATGCGTATACCTATATGGACATATGTACTATGGATGGGAAACGTGAAACGAGGCAACGTGGAACGTTACACATCGGGTAACCAAGATCTGTTTGCTTGCGGACGGCCAAACTAGCTGGCAGCTAATTCAGAAACACCATTACCACCTATACCATACTCTATATGGGTACAGATCCAGAGGACGTATATGCATTTGTCATATACATATATCTATATATCTGTATACAGTATAACTGGTATACCAGTGACTGATGAATACACCGTATTAACAATCTGGACTGACAATTACATTTCTATAATAGTCATTAGGGAATTATTACTGTATGATTTAAGAGCGTATTATAATTATTTATTAGATACTCGAATGCAACGTGCACGATTTTATTTTGAATTTTGCCGCGCCATGTATGATTATGCTTTATCGATAACACGATTAATATGTTGAGATTAAATTAATACAAATGCCAGACTTCTTAAGCAAATAGTAGTAATCCCACGCAATCGGTACACCATATGCTGTTACGTGGATTATATCTGTATCTATGGATGTTAAAAAAAAGATAGAAAAGTGGATACTGTGTAAGCGTGAGAAAGCTAAAGATAGAATAGAATCGGTGCATATAATTTAATCAATTCATTTAATCCTATAAATTCTTAGCTAATTATTCGACAGATGGATCGGTGTTTATTGATAATTTTATAGTCGTGGACAGAGTTGCGATAATTGATAATTTTTTTTTCTTCTAAATAGGCTACCAGAAAAAAACGTGAATTTACGAAGAGTCTTTGTCAGAAATGAAATTGCCCATTTATTGGAGTATAAGCCTGTAGGGTTGCCATGGAAACTTGCCAAAGTCGGGAGGAGGGCCTGAGGTTGAAAGGAGCCCCAGGACGACGAAGGGGATGAATAGACGGATGAATGACGCACAATTAACTAATTAAATCATCCGGCGTATTTTCCCCTTCCCTACCACCCCCTCTCAGACTCTGTCTCTTGAGTATCATCCCCTTCTGTTTGGAAGACTCGCCGCCATCTCTTCGCCATTGTTTCTACATTCGCAATGCAAGGGCGTCTATGTCAGGAAATAAAAATTCTCCCCACGTTTACTTCTGGTATGTATAAATAATATAAACCGATATACATATCCAATCTTGATTGATACGTTTGATTGAAAAGTAACTTTTTTTTACAGGCTCTCAAAAAATTGGCAAAATTAGAGTGAAGGTTTTTGACAGTGTTAAAAAGAAAACTTTATTTGACAAAGGTCAAAAGTCACTGGATAGGATCATTTCCTTGGCGCTGTAATCCCTCGTAGTGACAACCTGGACCCTTTCGCTGAAGATCAAACAATAATCCCTTAAGAATTGTCATCGTCTACAAGAATCGAGGGTGTCGCCATTAGTCGAAGAAAAAATTACCTGTCGCCTGACGCCTCCATTAAAGGGGCATTCATAACTCAATTTTCATCTCCTTGCTCAGCCACCTGTCATCCTCGCGCAATCGTATTCATTACGTTTGGAAATTATCATAAAATGGTAACTGTTAACATTGCAAACATTTAAGAAAAGCAATCCAGCAATGGCTTTTAAAAGGACGGAAAATGGAAAAGGCAAACAGGTCGATTTTGACTAAAAAAATGTAAGCCTGCAACAGTCACAGTAAGAGAATGGCAATAATTTCAAGTATCAAAATTCTAATTGCCTCAACTGTCCTTTTACGAATAAAAATAAAATTGGTAAATATATATCTATACACACTATACTCATACAAATACTCATAACATGTCAGTAGCAAATATAGATCCAGTTAAATTCCAATATCGAATATTTCGAACACATTCTACCAGCCTTTCTCGATAGGAATGAAACATGGTGTCGAGCTGAAACGAGCCACAGCGTAAACTACCGTGTCATGATATTCCACAAATAAAAACTGTGATGCTACATGGGTTATTTACAACGTAGGGGTGTTCAGAGGTATGGTTGGCCAATTTTTGACAAGCAATATCACCGATATATATGGTCCACTGGGTGACGTATACGCATGCATAGTTGAACGTCAACGAATATATAGGAACGTGTACCAGATCGGTACTATTTTTATTTTTAATTCGTCACAGGATAACTCAGCAACAACCAATCAGGATCATCTGACAGGAAGTACCCCCTGCTCACACTCATCCGCCACCTACGTAACCAGGAATACACCCTGCCTTCGATCACCGACCAATTTGTTCTTTAAAACCCATCGACTGATTGGCTTGACGAGGCAATCAGTATATTTTTTTAAAAAGTCTCCTTGTTACGTTTTTCTACTTTCAACATAACCTTTGAGTTATTCTATACGTATAGTGCTTCTAATGCAAAGTATCAGATAGGTGCAAAAGTAATTGTGGTTTTTGTTATGAACGCTTTTAATAAAAGTCGCAATATTTGCACCAACCTAATACTTTGTTGAATATTTTTGTTTGTAATGGTATATTAGATTAAGAATTGTTTAATATTAATTATCGTTGTATCCGAATATCAGTTAGTATTGCGTAACACAAGTTCCGTGCGAGTTCTGGATAATATTAAGCGTGCCTTATCACAGGCAGAAATTTTCGAGTAGCCAACCAATATGGCTTAGCTTTACAGTGCATTAGGCATGTCAACAGTCTCCTATCTGTCCATCGAAGCGGGCAATCTGTCTTTCAACGTAACCTCACTTTTGAGCTAATAGTCGGTAATAGACGTCAAGAGCTAACATAACACACGAGACCGCTACTATGAGCCGGCTACCTTCCCTAATGATAATAGGCGCTTAACGTTTACGCGACGTTTAACATATGCAACACTTAGCGCTTACACTTGTTAATCTCTAGTGGAACCTTTACAGCCTGTGATAAGGTTGACTTAGTTGATCCGTGCACTATAGTTATATTTTTTGCATAAAGCAATTATACAAAAATCAACAAAACATTATAAAATTAATGCACGTTATATGAAATTTCGTATCAGACGTTTTATAAATTTATTTTGTTTTGTTGATTTTTTAAAATAATCTAACTAACTAAGCGTAAGTGGACTTTGAAAACGTAATTAAGCTGACAATGCAGAGTGGCATTTTAGTTAACTCGACGCCATGGTATCGCTATTCGATTTCCTGTCAAATTAGTTTGACTTATGATTTATTCGTCTTATTGATAGGGAATTATGAGTATTCTATTGTGACATAGTTTAAGCAAACGTAAATTAAGGAGCGATCGATAATGCTTTAATGAGAAAGGCTGAAACCCTAAACTGCCAGTTTAATCGGCATTTTAAAGACTAGACTTTATTTTTTGATAGATATCGGTTTACTAAAGATAGGATATTATCTTTATGCTTGTCTCCAGTACGTGTACCTGGCAGGATTGATATCGTATAATGGTCTGGTTTGAGTGATGGAATTTTTTGAAATATTTGGATAATACTTTTTTCTTTTTTTTTTAATAGTAACTCACCAGCAAGATCAGCAGGCAACCTTGGATACAGCATGCCAGTCCTGGCGAGCCATTCCAATTGTAGGGGATGAATGTGATGTTGTTGAGGATGAAGTCCTCCAGATTGTGGATGTCCCACAGGTTGACCCTCCTTATGTATGGAGTGAAACGCACTACCACCCGCAGGATGATAGTACAGTCCTCCAGGGTGTATCAATGGACCTCCTGGATGAAGTAGCAGCCCTTGATTTTGTCGGATTACCCCAGAAGACACCCCATAGGAATTGGGAGTAATATTCTGATGACCCAGGACACCGTTGCCTGTGGGATCCTCTGATCCTGGGGATATCGGAGGACTGGAGACAGGACTCCTGCTTGCGTTGCTTCCTGGACTGGCACTTCCCGTGCGAGTTGGATCCACGTCTACCGAAGTCTCATCCTCTGCATTATCCGGTCTGAAGTCTGGTCTAGTTTGGTCTCTATGACTGGATGCTTCTCTGAGTAACGGAGAGTCAGGTCTACCTGACTGGCTCCTTGCAGAACCTGGTGAATCCGGTCTGACGTGCATAAGCGAATGAAGAGGATGACCCAAGACAGAATTTCTGGGATCTACGGGTTCTTGTCTTCTACCAGGTGAGTCGCATCTACCCTGAGACTCCTGTATGGATCTAACGAATGGTTTGGATGTGTTCTCAGGTATCAAGGATCGACCTGTAGCGCGGCCAAGTAGAGCATCGATGCAGAAGGAAGTCTTCCCCAGGGAATTCGCCTGGCTGGAGTTCAGGAAGTTCATACCCTGCGGTGACGACGTATCCGTTCTTCTAGGCGATGATCCAGGTTCGTAGCACTTGCGTTGTAAGGATTCCTCGATGAAGACGTTTGGACCAGTGACTTCCTTCTGATGATATCGTTTATCAGTGTCTTCTCTGTATCGCATCTGCGTCCTGTCCTCGGCCTCTGCAAAACGATCCTCGAGCGAACGGACACGTGTCTCCTGAGGTGAACGTGGCTCCTCGGAGCGCGGCGAAGAGCCAGGATCCTGCAATCGATGCTGAATCCCGTAGAGATGTCTGGAGTGCTGATGCAGCTCGTCGGAGACGATCTGCGCGTTGTAGTGCATCGCACCAGCAGGTGCGGCCATCTTTATCCTCGATTATCTAAACTCCCGGATACATGCCGTAGAGACTGCAGGCTGAATCCTTTTATTATCTTTGCGCACAGAAGACAGGGAGGATCGATCACGCCTCTTTTTTAAATGTCCACAGGTCCAAGGCGCACGATCCAATCTCTTAAAACTCTACGTCAGCAGGAGTAAAACTTGTTCCATAACGATGATAACGATATAGATCAACAAAGAGATCTATAAATAATCACAATTTCAAGTAAGATCAATTCACAGTACCATACAGTTAATACTCTACTATACGTCTCAATTTATATTTTTAGGATCCTACGACAGATCCGGTACATTCACTAGGATCACGATCCTACCCGATCACTGGTGTGCCCTTCACAAGGGATAAGAAACGATCTATGATACTCGTATCAGTAACGTGTAACGCCAGGACGTAGAGTGATTAGCTCAGCGTCGCGGCGCAAAGTGAAATCGCAGTAGTATCTGCCGCCGCGTGTGTCCGTCTGTCCGTGCTGGTTCCGAAAATCTGCCCTCGTTCCAGGAGACGATTAAATCGGCAGAGCCACGCCTTCGACGCCCTCTACTCTGAAGCCCCTCCTACGGATCCCTATTAATCACGTGACAGTGAGAAAGAGCGTTCATATACCAGCTGGGTGAGTAAGGGAGGCAGCTAGAACGTATCCATTGGCAGAGACTCCACTGACGCCGTTACTGCAGCCAATAAGCGTCGCCTTGTCCGCACCGAGGAACAACGGAAGGAACCGAACCCACCCGACTCCCTGAAGAGTCTCCAGCTAGTGGAATTGCACCGCTGAAGACTATACGTGCGATAAAGACACGCAGTACCTCCTGAGCCAACTCAAGAAGTGAGACTGGGTTACAATCAACATTATCCTGACATTAAACTAGCTAGCGAGAGAGTCCCCCGGTCTTCTACCCCGCCGGCCCTCAATTTCTTCTCACCTCAGCACCATTCCACTTCCGTTAACTCCCGGAAGTGCTCTTTCTAACGTAATTTACCTATTCCACGCGCTTCCTATACTCCACTCTTATCAAGGAGCCTGGAGTATCTCTTACCGAAGTATTTATTACTCCTGCCTTACATTACCCATATTACACAGTCTCACACGTATACATATATAACTACAGTAATAACTACTTATTTGAATAATTGTCTTGATATCAATGACCTGTTATCTTTGATGATTATACTATCAATCACACAATTGATTCCACGTAATAGTCACGCAATATATGTATGTTACATTATTTGAAAATTCATCGTTGCTTTTTTATCTCTTTATAATACGTAATCATTATCGTGTCACTATGCAATTAGCAGACTTTTTCCCATTTTGATAAGTGACTGACAAAAGCGTGCCTACTTCATGAATCGGATATATCAGTAAAAGTCTCTCTCTCTTTACTCGCATTAATTTCTTCTCTTAAATTTACTCAGACTCTTCTCATCCTTTACACAAACTTTCTTCCTCACTTCTATTAATACACCATTCTCTACCAGTCGGCAACGATTTCCAAAAAGAGTCACCGTTTCAAGGAACCTTACGAGCCGGTAGCACTCGAGATGTTTGAGTCCCTGACGATGATGGATCACCATCCTCTTCCAAAGCAGGGTTCGTTTGTCCGTTTGTCCGTATGTAGCCAAATAAGAGACAGAAAGTGTTTACTTAAGCGCCGGGCACGTCCAGCATACACTACGCCACTGGGGACTACCCCTACGCAATACTATAACTACTATTCCTGATAGTTTTCTATATATACTTACTTATCTACCTACGCTTCTGCTACCAACTTTTTTCTTTGGACATTTAAACCCTACCTGACGAGGGACGCCGACCTCACAAAAGATTCTCCAGGCTTCGCTTTTCTTATTTATCCATATGGACCTGAACCGAATAACATTTAACCATTGATTATGTACTGTGGCGATAAGCTAATTCATTATTTTATCTTTTTCATTGTTAAGTAATAACGCCAGATTCTTTATATCATTTTTAATTTCCATCATGGGATTCCTTGTCGAATTTTGTTATTTGGATTCTTTTGAGATGTCAATTTGTATGGCGTTGCTGTACCAAATCTGTTTAAGATATTTAAAGGAGAATACCAATACTTATTTAACGTAATTATGGATACCTATACGCTTTAATGTACATTACTGTGTTTACACTAGGAGAACCCATTAACGATTTACGCAACGGCATTATCAATATTTACGATCAATATCCTGAAGGAACACAGTTATTTCATAGATATTGTGATATACTCGATGTTAACTCGTTCTTCGGTTCATGTGGTACTACGTGCGTATTCTAATATCTAAAAAAACATATGACATTGTGTTTACAAGAAATAATACTATCTAGTTTAGATATAATTATTTTGCTTAATTATTTATCCACCTTGTATATCGTACGCGAACGTGGAAACCGCGTGATTGGAAAACTAAAAAGATTTTATTAGTGATATAAGATTCATTATCACTCCTACGTAGCAATTAAGGTTTTAATCGCACGTTTAAACAACAAAATTGTCATCTAACGTCCATTACGTACATCGAGCTCGTGATCACTTAATGATCGATTAGGTTTTAGATCTGTTGTCAGAATAATTTCATCCTATCGATATGTAACAATAAGATAATAAATGTTGAACCCGATGAAACGATTATAAAAAATTCATCAAGATAAAAGAAACTACTCTTTTTTGTTAGGTTAGGTTATAATTCAGTAGAGATAAAATATAATTGGTTTTCATTTATCTTTCATACCAATTTCTATGTCATATGATTTATGAATCACCGATGATTTACAATTACAAATTATTATTCCGAGATCGCTTTGTGAATCGATTAAGTTCAAAGATGTGATTATTATCTGTGATTTTAAAGAAGCAATCAAACTGTTTGTTGTTTACAGTTGGAGACATTGTACTGCTCAATTAAATTGCGTAAAGCGCGATTAAATAACTTTAAATAAAAAGTACCGAATGATCGTTGAATCGAATAAAATAGTATTATAATAATTAATATAGTCACTCACGTGGATACTATATCTATATAGTCTAATACTTGAATAATGATACAAAAAATGTATATTGCTTAATTGTGTCTATCTTATATTATCTTAAATATATTAGATATGCTTTAGTAAAGACTAACGCGCTCAATTATTTTAATTTCATCATAGAAGTTATTAATGTACGTATGAAGTTCTTACACAATATTGTATTTGTCGATTGATCATTTTCTTAATCTCATATTGGGTTGTTCTCGTTTCACAATAGTCCCGATAAGGCCCAACCTTATTTCAGGTATAACAAGAGGCCCCGTTTTCTTGTCAACGTACTGGGGTCGTTGCTTTCGTAATTCCTTGAAAATAATAAAAAAGTATTATATTTAATGAATAATTTTTAGAAAATAATTATACAGAATTATCATAATCGTACAGCGTTATTACATTTGTCTGTTGTGTTGTATGAATACTTTTTCTTACTGATAATATTTTTTTTCCATAGATAAGAGAGACGTAACAATCATTGGGAAATAAAATCATAAATGATTTTGAACGGACGATCGATAGAATCTGACTAAGTCCATTTCTCACCTCGATTCGTTAATAAGCTCATAATTATCTGATTAGTCGATTCCTATCATGACTTGACGATGTAGGTTGGAGTTTATCGTTAAATCCTTACCAATATAACTTTAATGACTTGTGATAACGCTTATCGTCGATCCAGACGTAAATTGACAAACACGTGAACAGGATAACGTCAATTTCATATTCTATTAATGGAGCAAAGGTATCACCTGCGATTATTTTGTCACCGGCAAAAATATAATTATTATTGATAAAGCGTTACGTGACAGTAATGACGGTTCAAGAATGAAATATCTTGAGGTATTGTAATTAATAAATATATCAATAAGACAGCGAATGACAAGAATAGAAATTAATAAATTATTATTTCTTCATGTATTATGGAAAGGCATTGGATTTAATCTTCTTGGAGGATTTTCTTATGTCACTTGACAAACTAGACGTTGAAAATTGGTGACTGATAGAAAGGGGCTGTCATTGGCAATGATTACTTTTGTCAAAGAAACAAGAATATTTCTTGTAATTATACAACGTGAAAGCGAATGCTTAGAAATTGTTTAAGGGACTTGTGAATTACTATGAAATCATTTTGTGAGAATAAAACTAACGGATTTAGGGTCCCACGAAGTTTGAGTGGCGAGCAGCTTGGCACATTTTTTTTTATATTCGTGTAACTATTTACTCTCCATTGACAGATAACTGATAACCCGTGCGATAAGGGATCCTCAAATAAATATTTGTAATTTAGGTAAATAGGTATCGTATCGTGTAAATAATGGCTTCCGGTATTAATTGTCCAGGTATCCTATTAGACTTCCTTCTCAAGAGCTGAAAAATTCAATTATTTATTAATCAAAGAAATCGTTCATTGTCCTTGTACTACATATCATCTTATTGTTCAGAATTATTTTAATCAATAGAGTTTTGATTTTTACTCTAATCGTATTTGATATACGTTTCGATACAAGAATCGATAAAATCTCAATAACGATCAGACGAACTCTGCAGCAGTTCTGGCAACAGTCGTGATCACAATCGCAATGATTTCATTGAGATTGAAAACACAGGTACTAAAAATAATAAAGGAGAATCTGTTTTTATGATCGTAAAGATTGTCGTATCTTTTCTGCTTTAACAAGTTAATTTTTGGTTTTTACCAGGTAGAAAATCTGAACTAATTAAAAATTTAATGGAAATTAAGATTATGGCTATACTAAATGCGTATACTTGACTTCCTGCCACCAGGCTACCTATCAAACGTCTAGTACGACGTGATTAAAGAATATAAAATATATATGGATCTTTCTTTTAATATTATACATTATTCCGCGCTATTAATTTTTTATAATTTTTCAAAAATTATTACCTCAACATATGTGAACGCCTGCCGAAGTTACGAGACGATCGAAGACCACAACGTTCACCTGTGTGCCGAATTTCAAAAGAATGACCATATGAGAAGCATAAAAGACAGTGTTAAAGAATAATGATTTATTTTTCGTGGTTACCTGTCACTTAAAATATAGCATTATATTTTATCTTCTTTCAAATATTTGTATTTCCTGGATCGACTTTTATCAGGTGTATCAGATGACTCCATATACGTGCAAGTATTGAAACGGATTGATTCTAATCGACGCCAGTAAGAACCAAGAATGAATTTCTGTTAGGTAGAAATAAAAGACTGTCTTATCATGTTTATCGTGTTACCAAATATCTACCACGTAGCTGTGATAAAGTTCAATTTCATTTTAAGATTACTGGACAGATCGAGAAGAAGCACCTGAAGTAAGTAAAGAAATGCTGCCATCTGATTTTCTAAAACAGTTGCCGAAAACAATTACGTCAGTTTTGTCCCAGAAGTGCAATCATACCGTTAAACGGGTATCATGACGTCCTTGAACGACGAGTGTCCTAGTGCACGAGCCAGGCCACCCTTAGTTACCCGTCATGAAAGTCCTCTTCCGTAATTAGAATCTCCCAACCCTTGGAGGCCACCATCGGGGACCCACCCTCCGACCGGCCATTACTTTTAATGGCGTTGTTAATGAAACTAGGTGTCGCCAAATTAACCTCTCATTCCAGCAGTGCTCAACCGATTGATATCATTAATCTGGAATATAAAGAAAATAGTAATTAAAAATAAAATCATGCAAACTCCAGGAATTCGTATTCGATATTTTTAATACATACCTTGCGAAGCAAACGCCAAAGAGCCGAAACGAGTTGAGGTAAGTCGGTAAAACAGCAGAGTAGAAAGGAATCAAATTGAAGGCTTCGATCGACAATCGCAATCTGGCGTAGTCAGAATTCGGCAGGAAGATTTGAAATGGTTTTCCTTTGCAGGCAACCTGAAATAATGTGAGATCTACGGGGCTCGGAACGGTTTTGTCCCATCAGGGATGGCCAATTGGTACGAGACCTAAGTTGACGGTGGTGTGAATTTATACGGGTATCATGGTGAGGGATGAAAACCACTGGAGCGGGCTGATTACCGCGGTAACCACCCCCCGAGCGCCAATTAATCTTAACTTTTACGGGGCAAACACTTTTCATTAAGCCCTCCCTCCATAGCCAGCCATGGCCACTACCCTCAGCTTGACACCCCAGCCGTCCTCACCCTCTTTCTCATTCGGCCTGGAGAGGCAAGGAAAATGGCTCCCCAGACAAGCGTTTAATCTGGCTCTAATTAGCAACTTACCTTTACTATCCCCACTACCATCTTCTCTTTCGGTTTTCATTCCGAATTCTTTATTCGTTCCCTCTTCGGCCTCGCAGTGTGTACCTCCTTCAACTGCAATCATCCTCTAATTCCCTTTTCTACTTATTATACTACAATTCGATCGATTATCGAATTGCACGGTGATCATTGCACGTCAGCTTACCTGTAAATCCCCCAAAAAATATACATATCACACATCGATACAAAGATAAAATATTGATAACCGAATAATATACGTACAAACTTTTGAAATATTGCTACTCATGTACTGGTTTGGAAATTGTGATAAGAGAGTAACAATGTCGGAATAGAAATTAGGTTGTCAATGTTACGATTACTTATCAGACGCGTAATTCAAAAGCTGACAGCTTCTCGTGCTGTTAACGATACATTTGCATTGAAGTAAATTACCTTTATCACGGCCGGATGAATGAGGCTCAATTCGAATTATCTAGTTACTGCTGATTAATGTGTCAAGTGAATCTGTCAGATTGGGTATCAAGTAGTTCAGAAAGATTCAAAAGTGCAGAGGCCGTTGGTATTCTCTTTTCTGGTATACTGGATAGAGAGCACTGCATAACTTTTCCTATCCGTAGGTATTGCTGTTATCGTTATTTCCGATAAATGATAACGTACACCCGAGTATTTTACTTAACAGATAAATAGACTGGTATCTTATGGGATGTCACGAGAACCTGGATGTAGACATCTGCAGATCTGTCTTATCTATTATATGAATTTATATTACGGGTATAAAATTGTACTCTAAAGCGATCATCGTGAACATAACTGTAATTCTGAATTATGTAATATAATCTTGTACTATATTCTAGTAGAATAGTCTCTCGCGTGGTGCTCGGCCACGGAGCTGTAGGGGAATAGACGCGCATTTAGCGAATTAGCACCACTCCGCACTGCTTATTTAATGCAATTCAGAGACAGAATGCAAGGAAGCTGCAGAGCATCAGGGTATACGTGGGGGAAAGCTACTGTTGGCTGACTGACGGGAAGGTACTTCTTCGCGCGGAGGAGAGGATTTTCGGAGGAGAGATTCTCTAATAATCTAGATGGCACTGTTCACGATTGCACGTGGTTCTTTGATATAGTATATAAGTTCAACGTTACCGGTAATAATGTTCTCGTGTATTTCTACAGTTTTCACTAAAAATCGCTTGCAAAATAGTTTGCAATCGAAGCAGTACATCTTTTCTGCTTTCTCTGGACGCGCTGATTTAAGATCCAACAGTCGAGATGCTGGCAATGAAGTCATCTATCAAAATGAATGTATGTTCAGTTATACTTGCAAGTTTAACCTTAAGATTATGTTACTGTGTGATGAAGCTTTCATATTTTAGATTGTGAAGAATTATATCTTATTTGGTAATAATACATATTTATGTGATTGCAGTAACGGAATTCTTGGATGATTTTACCAACTTGAATAAGCATGTACTGCTGAATGTACAGCGCTTCGATACTTCATCACATTCACCTTTCAAAAGGAAATTTTTGTCTTTGCGAAGAAACCAATTAAAAGTACATGATTATCATGATAGCATTGGGTTTTATTATTCTTCGAAGATTATTCCTGGCTTACAGTCAGTCAGAGGAATTCATACACATGCAGCTTTTCCTTGTTTTGCATCTCTAAAGAATGTTAAAAAGGTTGAAATTACAAATTATACATAGCTTGTTGAAGAACGATTCATATTTTTAATATCAAAATGTATTTTAATGAAAAGACTTTTTTTTATAAAGGGAGATGGGTCTGACAAGGAACAATTTGAATCAGATTATTATGACAATCTTATAGACAAAATACTTAAAGATTCTCCTACCAAAAATAAAGAATTACATTCGGAGAAAGAACATAGAAGGAGGGTTCATGCTCATAGGTTTGTGAAGACAGAAACATTGCATGGTAAAGAAGATAATTTAGAAATTGAAGGTGCTTCATTAAAAGGTAAACAATCTAAATGATATTTCTGGTGTCAGATAAATGAGACTTTCGTTTCCATTTCAGAAATAGAGAGAAAATACCCGGATTGTAAATCTAAATTGCACAATATATATAACATAGTCAGTCAAGATACGAAAAAATCTAACTTAATATCTGGTACTAGTAAATGTACAAAACGCGGCCACGACGTAAGATGGGAGTTTACGTACAAAATTTTATGGCCAAGCGAAATGACTTTTTTGGCAGTAGCAAAGACCAAAATAGCTGCTTCGAAAGTGGCTGCACTCAAATGTCTACAATGGTTAGAGGCCACTGGCAAAGTGAAAAATGGAATACCACAGACTTTAGATAAAAAAGAAATGTCCTCTCTTTTAGACAATAAAGTGGAGCTTAATATTGAATCAGACATTGCTACTGAGATACAATCATTGCTTAAGGAATATCAGAACGTAAGTCACTGACAAATCAATTTTTAAATCCTAATCTTTGGCACTTCATAAAAATTGTGATTGTTGCTTTTCTGTAACTCTTCAGGAAGTTGAACATATTGTGAAAACATTTACTCCCATAAAGCGAGAAAGTAACTTGTTAGAAGATTCAGAAAATGATGGTCAAACTTCACTCCTGAATACAGAACATTTTGATCCTGTGGGAGGATCCAGTGCAAGTAAACGATTTAAGAAATCCTCGGAATTCCGAAACGAAATATTGAAGGAGAAAGCGTTATTGAGGAATGAAACTGCTGATCAGGGATTGCCAATATCAGCATTCAGGTATAAATAATAAACACATAACAGCATCAACTCTTGGTGAACTAGAACAATACCATATCATTCAGAACTAGACAAATCTTTTATTCACCTTCAGGACACAGATACTGGAAGAAATAGAAAAAAGTTCTGTTTTACTAGTAAAGGGTGATACTGGCTGTGGCAAGACCACCCAGGTACCACAGTTCCTTATGGATTACTTCGCAGCAAAAGGACGCGCCGGAGACTGTAATATGATAGTCACACAACCTCGGAGAATTTCTGCTATCTCATTGGCAGAACGCATTGCCGAGGAACGAAACGAGAACATAGGAGACGTCGTGGGGTACCAAGTGAGACTCCAGCAGGTGCTACCCCAGACACCTGGAGGAATATTATTTTGCACAACAGGAGTCTTGCTACGTAAACTCCAAAGTAATCCTGGCCTTATCGGTTGCTCTCATGTCATCCTGGATGAGGCTCACGAAAGGTCCATTGATACGGATGTCCTCATGGTTCTTTTGAAACGAGCAATGAAGCGCAATCCTAATTTAAAACTTATTGTAATGTCGGCTACGATAAATGCGGAGCTCTTCCAGCGTTACTTCGACTGTAACGCTGTAGAAGTACCTGGTAGAACGTTTCCAGTGACTATGAACTTCCTGGAGGATATCGACGCGATGGGTATCAGACAGTCTAATAATAGAGATGAACGGAATCAATCTCAACGCAGTCCAGTAGTAGACTGTTACTACGTGGCGCGTTTAATAAAGTGGATATGCAAGAATAAACCGGATGGTGCTATATTGTGCTTCCTTCCGGGATGGGCAGAGATCACTAAAGTGCAGACTATTCTCACTGAAAGTTCCTGGGCGAACAGAAGAAAAGATTGGATTTTACCTTTACACTCTAAAGTTTCATTCCAGGCACAGCGTAAGATATTTTCAAGACCTCCACCAGGAGTCAGAAAGATTATTCTGTCTACTGACATTGCTGAAACTGGTATTACTGTCAGCGATGTAGTTTATGTCATTGACACTGCCAGTCATAAGCAAGTAAGATGGGATGAAAGCCAAGGATTGGCTTCGATGGACAATCAATGGGTATCGAAGGCCAATATTAATCAAAGGTAGCAAGGAATGAAAATCAGGATGTGTGATACTTCAGATTTTTAATTCTAAAAACTAATTTTTTCCAACAGAAAAGGCAGAGCTGGTCGCGTCCAATCTGGTATAAGTTACCATTTATTAACCAGAGAGAAATTTATGAATCTAGACGAGTTTCCGCTTCCGGAAGTTATGCGAATCTCCTTGGAAAAAACAGTTCTGGATTGCAAAACATATAGCAATGAAAAAGCTATTGATTTCCTTGCCAAAATGCCACAACCACCCAGTGCTAGTGCCATTGAAAGGGCAGTATCTGATTTAAGAAAGCTAGGGGCTCTCGATGAGAACGAGACCCTCACGGCTTTGGGCAAACGGATATCGCTATTTACGACACATCCAAAACTTAGCAAGGCTATGGTCTATTCCTCTATTTTCCAGTAAGTCTCATCCGCTGTAATTGATCATTAAGATTTTAATTAATAAAATTCATTTACTTGCAGCTGTACCAGTCCTATTGTTTCTGTGGCTTCGATTCTGTCTTATGACAGCGAGTTATTCGTCGGTGCCCTAAATAACAAATCTGACATCAGATCAATTAAACAAAAGTATCATCCTGCTAGCGATCATCTGGCAATGTCCTGGCTCTTCACACAGTGGAACTCTTATTACAATGAAGATCCTCAAGATATTAAATCCTTTTGTTACAACATGAGACTTCAACCTGAAAGAATGATCATTCTGAAAAGTATGTTCAATCAGTAACAAATTTAGTTGGTGTATAAAGAATTTCATTAAAAATGTATACAAGTTCTGTTTTAATCATATAGAGTTGAGAGATCTCAACGCACAGTTTTTGGTTCAGTGTGGTATGCTAGAAATTGGGGAAAATTACGACGACTGGAATGCCACTAAGAACGACCACGCGGAACACGATGAGCTAGTGCGCGGTGTTTTGTTCGCTGGCATGGATCACCTTTTGCAACGCAAAAAGTTCGAACTTATAAAAGGAAGACTTAAGAATTCTCCAAACTTGATGGTAACAGAGTAAGTATTGTTATCTATAATCAATTATAAGAGAAGAGCAGAATTGAATTTTTTTTTTTTATAGAGATAAGCGTAGAGCTTCCCTTACGTCAGAGACTGTAAACTACGGCAGAAAATCCTGGCCCAGTCCTTATTTAACTTATATGCGTCGAACTCATAGCGAAGAGCGACGAACTATTTTGATTCGTGAAACCAGCATTTTATCACCATTGACTGTATTTCTCTTCAGTCAGGGTACCGTGAATGCTGTTGAGGTACGCTATCAAAGAGATTAATCTAATTAGATTAACTGAAATATTAATTTAATTGAAATCTTCATTTCAGCAGACAAATAAGTCTGGTAGCAATGACGACGATAAAGTATTGGTAACTATAGAAGACAAGAAGAATGTTAAACTGATTTGCACTAGAGAGTACGTACTTGTTTTAATTAAGCTAATTGTGTATATATATATATATACATAGAACTTTTTGAAAAGCAATATTAATTTTCTTAACATTTATAGAGACGCTGAATTGCTTTTCCGCTTCCGTGATATGATGTGGTCCATAGTACGTTACATGGTTGAGATTCAAGGATTCCAAGGATTTGATAGAGTCGAAGAATACAATACTGTAAATGCATATAAACGTCAAATGCTCTTCGTTCTCGGAAAAATGTTATCAAGTGCTGATATCACGGTCGACTTAAAATCTGATGAATCGGATGTTGCTTCTGTCGATGAGCTTCTTGATTCTGAATCAGGATCCGAGACTGACGAAAGTCGTTGATGTGATAAGAAATAGTGTAAGATATATTTTAGTTTGACAATTCATTCGTAAAAAATCATGACCCGAATACAAAACTCAGAGTATTTAATGCAGATAGTACATATATATTTGCGTTACTTACCATGTTCGACGTTATCAAACACGTGTAGATGATTCAGTTCCTTAGAAATGAAATTGAACTCTTTCGACAAGTCAATAGTTCATCGATATACATACAAATTGCATATGTATGTTTAGTGTGATAGAGGACAAGACCCAATAGTGTAATTGAAAATCTGGTTGATCAATAAGAAAGTGAAAGAATAATTTAAATTGATTTAGATATTATGAAAATATTTATAATAAAAGCAATTTAGTCTACATATCCTGTTATTGCATTTTCATATTTTTTTTATACAATTTTAAGACTGCATAGATCTTAATAATAGTATATGATCTATGAAAATGAGTTCAGTGAGAAAATTTGGGCAATGGCAGAGAATATGGGACAACATTTGATCTCGTATCAATCTCGTGCCAGCCGACAATTTTTTCTTTTGTAACATTTTCTTTCCACATGTCACATTGAATAGAATTTATCGCACCAGTCCATACCTATAACCATATAATATCCTTATTGAATCGTAAATAAACAGGATGATTTTATAACAGTTTAGAATTTAGATGGAATTAGATTTAATTGCATATTTCTATTGATTACCTTTTCACAGTGAGAAGCCCACTCATATATCATAATATTCTCCATTTTAATAGCTAATGTCTTAGATCGTTGTAAATATTTCATACCTAATTTTTTTCGAGAATGCACCATGTGATAGTATGCTTTCAGTAGGTTATATCTATAACAAAATACCAAATAAATACTGTAATAATATTAAAAAATATTTCCTACCTGCTCACCTGGGATATATAATTTTGATCACCTTTATAATTTTATTAATGACCTTAAATTGCTTCTTGATTTCAACTATCAAATGACCTATGGCTTTTATGTTCCTGCTATTGATCTTATGCACTGTTTTAAAATTAATCGAATCACAAAATATCTTTTATAAAGTCTACGATCAGTCTATGGGAGACCTACCATAGGATATAATTAATCCTTCCAATCTCTTCGTAGCCGTGAAAGACGTTGCTATTGAAAATTCACTCGCAACGTTACACGCATTGATCATTTCAGTTTTCCAAACAATCGCTGCTTCTAAGTGTTCCGTTCTGATGCACCTTGAATTAATTAAATTTTGTTTATTTTTTACTAAACCAGTTTTACATTAGAAAATCTAACCAGAGCCACATGCATGTGAAGTATCTCTTCTCTGATTCAGGATCACGTAGATTTATCATGGTTTGACCTTGTTCCTGATAATACTGTTCACATTTCCGGTATGGTAGTATAGTTAATCCAGTTTCCAATTGAATATCCACACAAAGTGCGTAATACCAAGTGCGTCCAGATTTGTCGACATCGTCGTTACAATTAAATTCTGTTAAAAAATAATAACCGTACAAGAATTAGCATTAATTCAAAAGTTAATTAACCCGGGAACGGGCGCGCGATTTCGTTTTCCATTTAAAGACCATTGAGTTGGGAAATCTCAGAAATCCCACGCGCCCACTTCCGGGTTAAGGATGTTGGATGGTATTCTAATCACCTAATCCACGCATCATAGAAACGGCTTCGTCGTGGCGACGTGCAATTATTAACAAATGAATGAGCCTAGGTAGTATCGATAACTCCAAACTAATTGCACGAATCGTATTGCAAATTCTAAAAGTAACAAAGCCCAAGCTTGTTGCTTTTCTTGAGTCACCACGCAGCCATCTTGAGAAGAAGATTCTGACGTATAATTCTGCTACCGCGTTCAACTCCTGCAGCTCGACTGTGTCCTTTTTGCGACAACAAACATTAATAGCGTTATCCTCCAGAGCAAGAACGATGCTTCTGCTGATTGGAAAATATGTTAAAGTTAATAAAATATCTTTTTTATTATATTACAGATAAGCATTGTGAGACCTGTACTGATGCCTGTGTGCTGTTATCATCATATTGACGTAAGCTGTGCAGAGAACAAAGAAATCTCTATTACTTTTTAATGCTGCGTTCAAACCCCAAATAGCAGCCAGTTGTGCATGTTCGAATTGGCCTTTGATCTATATGGATTAAAGATGTCCAATGAAATTACGTAAGACCACACAATTAGGTATTTAAAAGTATACCTTAAAGAGTATGTACATCTGGGCTAAACAATTAGCCAGTTGATCTGTGAAGTCAGCAGCATCCCCATCAAGTACACCGACTGTACATTGTCTTAAGCAACCAAACATTAATCGCTGTTGCTTTAACAACATGGCAGATTTTATTCTAGACATGGCGGCTGTCTTTGGGAATGAGTATCCAAGTGTTTTTATTGCCTGATTCAGATACTCGCTTGCCTTGGCGACGAGGCCGATCTCCAGGCAGCATCTACCTTGGAGAATTTGTATTTTACCAGAGAGCAATGGGAGGACGTTCAATTCGTCATTGCTGTCTTGAAACATCTGAGGGTTATAGATAGAGAAAAATAATTAAAAATGAAATATCGGTTAATTCAATTGCGACTACTTGCTTGACTTAAAATGACTTCACCGTCATTTAGTAATTTTCGTGCTTGTGGGACATTGCAGGTAGCTAGACAGATTTCGACGAATTCTAAAATTGTTGTGAGAACCTTATCCTTGCGACCTGATAGGATAATCGATAAAATTACAGATTTTGAAAAATTATTTAAATTCAGAACTCTCACCAACTCCACGACAATGGTCCAGTATCTGCGTATATGCAGTGACTAATATTAGATTACACTGACAGTTGGTAAAATCCAAATTTGAAAAAGTTCTAGTAGGACACTTATCAATGGGTTTGAAAGCTCTGACACATTTCATCTCATCTTGCAGGGACGCATTCGAAAGTAATTCTGTTTGAAGAAAAATGCAAATTATAAATGTTGCTCTTCCGCTCAAGCCAGAAAACGATACTTAGTTTTTCCAAATGTATTGAAGTATGAAACGTAAGAAACAGTATTACGTTCTTTGAAACCGGCAGAAGAGTTTCCTACGAGATTTTCAGCAATGTCTATCATGTAGTTAAAGGTTTCACGCTTTTTTCGTTCTTTGGCATCATCCTCGATGTACCTTTGCCCCAGGAGTTTGACAAAATGACCTTCTCCACAGGCAACGCAGCGTCTTGTAGTATTCTGCAGATACTTCAGAGATTTACGGTGAATCTCTACTTTCTGGTTCTCGGTCATAAGTCTAACGTTTATAAGAGCGTATTTTGATTTCTTTAAAAAGATACTTAAAACACTACTACACTGTACCTATAAGTCGTTTCGCGAAACATCGACATCTTAAAACGCATGAGACCGCAGGATGCATATTTTGGTAATTCCTGGAGTCCCTCTGGACAAAAAAAATATAATCAGTATACGGAAATTAATAAATTCAAATTTTTTACCAGCGATCACCAAGCCTGTACAGTTGCAACGAAGCTCCATGTCGGAGCTATTAATGCTTCGGTTATTTCGTGAGAAGAAAATAAGTTTTGGTACCCCCTCGAAATGACCACTTGCGCATTCCAATACGCGAATTTCGAAAAGGTGCATAACAGCTGAAATGTTAATAAATTGAAACTGTTATTTTGAAAATTGAAAAATTAATCATTTAGTGCTACTATAATGCATTGGCTAAATGGAGTCTTGCCTACAGCAATATCATGTTGGGATGTTTCTTCGAGTAGATTTTCCAACATATTTCTATTAATTGTTTCTCCAAAAACAGCAGCATATTTCAGCAGCACTTGATCTAATGGTGACAGCGAGTCAAACGTCTTCAGTATCATTACTAAAGTAATAATATTAACTTTACGTTATCCCACAGATTGAATAATAATTTTATTACCATCCATTGTCATTTCAGTATCCACTTCTTCCAAACTGAAATTCTTTGAAATGATGCAAATAGCAATTTGGTTATCATCGTTATCGTCCTTCTTTGTTAAATTGATACTTTTTTTTCCCGCAACGGTAACGGTGCTGTCCTAACAATTAATACTGATGATAATCCGTCTATTGTTATGCCTAATAAATATTAGACAAACCCTGTAACTCGAACGATACATTCTCCATTCGTCCTGACGATCCTTGACGAATTGAGAAGAGGATAGTCGATCAGTTTTGGATAGAGACCTTAAAGATAACTTTTATTATTTGAAGATTAAGTATTTTGCATAAGTTTGTTAATCAACCTCTTCAACATCTCTACTGAAGGAATAACCAAGGCCGTATTACGTAGATGCTTTTCACTTATTGTTTTTATCACCAAACCTCCAACCTGCACAAGGCTCAATAAATAACTTTCTATCCACCCTGGACTGCCCATACTCTTTTCTTGAATCACTCTGTAAATTAAATTTGTATTATACATTGCAAAGAGATTCTAGAAACTTTGCTTCCATAGTATTTCCAATAACATCAACAGACTTTTCCAATTCGGCTGGGATTCCCATCACGTTCATAAACTGACAAGCTAATCCAGTATGAAACCATTTGTCGACACCCGTTAGATTGATGGTCTATAATATTGATAAGAAAAAATATTTAAAACAATCTAATTATACATACAATAAATAGAAATTATACCGATTTAACATACCTCAGTCCTGTCAAGTATATTATCGGTCAACGCAGATTCAAATGAAAATTTGTGTCGATGTGCAAATACAAAGAAAATCAAATTTTGCTGAACGATGGTTGCCAAAAATGGGAATGATGCCTTATCACAAAATTCAGCATCGTCGACAAGAACAATCCAAAAGCTATTGAAGCTCTTACGCATAAGTTTAATTAGTAATTTGGAAAAGAGCGACTGTTTCTCTGTTTCCTGCATCCCTTGATACTCCTTGCTGATTTGGAAATTCATATTGAAAATCTCATTGAGTGCACAGAGCCACTTTGTATATTTCTTATTTCCTAAATAAGAGAGAATTTTCGTTTCACGTTCTTTGACTGTTGAAGATGTTGTAAATCCCAGTGGTACAGAGAAGATCAAATTAATCAGAGTTAATGGAATCTGCAATGATGTTAATGCAACAAATCCAATTATTATATCTATCATAAAAAGTTGATTCAACATGTACTGTGTATTTTTTATTACTTTTCTCTTTTAATATACCTCACTGTCTCGAGACATCAGGAATATACGATTGTAAGGAATTTTACCAGCAAGACAATAAACAAATTCATCGAGCAATCTGCTTTTTCCCATTCGTGGTTCACTTCTGAAAATCAAAATGAGATTATTTATTATATTATATTTTATAATGATCAATTTCTTTGTTGGATATTGTTCAGAACTTTATAATAAGGATATTTTTTATTGGCGTGGCCACTTCGGCTTTTGGCTCAGCAGAATGCTGGGTGTTCAAAAACTGTTCTAACATGTTTTGAAAAATTCCAAGTTCATTATCACGTCCCAGAATTGGATATTTCATAGACATTTCATCCTGGCCCTGAACGCTAGAGGTGAATTAGAGATTCGTTGTTTTTCAAATTCATTGCTCATTAATTGTCCTTAATTAAATATTGCTTACTTCGTCTGCTCAAAAAATTCATAAATCGGTCCAGTATTTGTAATACCCTTCAACTTTTTTGGTTCCTGTAGAACAAAATGCCGGTTGTCCAAATGTGACCTTAAGAAACTGTCACGATCGCAGACGACCTTTGAAAAAATAATAATTAAAAATACCAGGCAATCGGTGGCAATTAATTATAATTATCATTGATTCAAATAACATTGAAATCTCATTACCTTATTACTGTAAGCGCACATTAATCGCGCAGCTTTATTAACGGGCATGCCAATGACTGTGTATTCTCTGCGAAGAATGTGACCTACTACTCCGCAATACGTCATTCCAGTTGTCACGCCAATTGTCACTGACTTGACATGTCGTTGCGCTGCCAAAGTTTCCCGCACTTTGGCAGCGCATCGCAGTCCGATTTGCGACTCCAATTCATGAGTGTTGCCGCGCAGTCCAAAGATGCAAAGGAAAAGAAGATCCTTGTCAAAGAGATTGGTCTTATTGACACAGCCCTGCATGCTGTCAACTATTCTGAAATTCATGAAGAATTTTGATTAGTTATGAAATTCCAAAAAACCGCAATAACCAAAAACTGAACTGAAAAATATTATTGTAAGCCAGATTGACTATAGAGATCAATCTCCTCTTGCCAACGACAGTAGTAATAACATTGATGAACAGGATGACAACTTGTCGCATTTCAGTAAGGTATTCTATAGGTTCATCCATTTCAACAGCCTTTATCACAGGCCTCAGCATATAACTTATCAATTTCTCTTTCAAGTGCTCCTTGGCGACTTTATTAATTTTTGGTCGCACTGTAATTCAAGCAGAAACTAAAGTCAATGTTCAAGTAATTTTAGAGTCTATTAAATATATAGTTTTTATATTCACAGCTATAATCCACTTGTCTATGTTGATATCGCGCAAGTGCATCACCAGTAAGATTCATGAGTACCGATACAGCTTCCGGTTCCGGTACACGGTCGGTGGCAAAACTCGAAAACAGAGTAGCACTTTTACCAATGAGGTCGTCATCGTCCGGATCTGAAATTTTTTAAAATTCATTTTACGGAGCAACAAGGGCCTCGTACTTATCATTCAATTACCGTCAGTTTTGTAACCGTCTTTTGTCTGTTCCCAGACAATGGTGGATGATAAAATGAGAGTGTGTATCCCATCAGGAAGAACCTCGTGAACGAATTCATTTGGATTGGCCCACTGCCAGGAACTGGGAGCAACAAGAATGTCGCCACCTCTGTAACATTTAATTAGACCGTAAACTGAACGACTTCCCTATAATTAAATGACTGTCATACCGACAGAGACCTTCTGCATATTTAACGTCCCAAACTGGCTTCCCAGTTATTATGTAATGAGACACTTTTTCAGGATTTCCAATAGACGTGAAATACGTCTTCCCAGACGCTATGGCAAGCTTCACTAGATTTCAAAAAGAATATCATTCCTTTGAAATTTATCAAAAATATATTGTATCCGCTTGTCTATTGACTCGCCTTTCAAAGTGACGCCAACGTCCGTATCAAATGTGCCAAAATGCTTCTGTATGATACATGCAGTGTGCATAGCCTCGATAGCGACGTCTCGCATTACGTCGCCATCCTCCAGTTTCCACATGACTATAAAGGCGTCGCCTGAAAACTTAAGGACGTCTCCTTTGTGGGACAAAATTTCCTGCACCATTGCTCCTATGTAACTGTTCAACGTTTCCGTAAGTTTTGACGGGCCACCCTTACCGGCCATTGTGTATCTCTCTGTGAGGTCTGTGAAACCTGAAATATTGTCGTAACAAGGAAATCACATTTCTTAATGATTTTCAAGCAGGGATTTCAAATATTACCAGAAACGTCACCCAGCATCAGAGTTGTATAATACATCCTGGTGGTATAGTCGTCGTAGTGATCCAAAATTTCGTCGGGACACATCGAGGCAAATATTTTCGTGTGCTGCTCGAGTCTTATCTTGCTTAAGGATTGAGACCTTTTCTCCACCAGATGTCCAGTGCTAAAATCTAAAGACGGTTAGGTTCATAGAAATATATCATTTTCTGTATTTATAAATTAATCCAATTATTTTGCCAACATGGTTCCTCGACTATATGCTTCAGTATCGCTAAGCCGCTGCCACTGACTTGCTTGACATTTTTTCGCTTTTTGGAAGAACTCATTATTCTTCGTTTACACGAGAATCTTCTACGAGGATATGAGAAGCACGTGTGACATTAAGAAAAACAAAGAAGAATGATTTGAAGCATTTAGAAAAATTGCGTGAAGTACGATATACTCAATGAATTCAATTAGTTTAAAAAATAAACTTGTTTACATTGATTTTATTATAAAATTTCTTTCTATTTATTTCCGTACATTAATTAAAATATAATATTACATTATTTTGCCTTCCCTCATGTTTTATCAGCCAATAAGCTGCTATCCGACCTGAGAAGTTCCATATTTTTAAAGTATGAAACCCGTTAAACTCTTTTTTAATTTCACCTAATTTTGAAAATCTAAAATTGATTTCTAAAAATATATTTAGTCATCCATCACGTTTGATCTCGAGTCTCGTTCTTCTCATCCTCATTATGCAGTTGCAAGTGGTTCACTTTAACAGGATGGACAGGAAACTACAAAAATAAATAACGCGCCTGTCATATGCGTTCAAAATGCAGAAATTAAATATTTAAAAAATAGTAATATTAATAGTATACCACAGGCTGGTCTACAAGGCGAGCAAGTAGGTGGTGTAGGTGGTGGAGGTGGTAGGCAAGGAACTCTGGTAATACTATAAAGGTATCCTACGGTGGGTGGTGGTGGAGGTGGTCGAGGTCGAGGAGGTGAACAGGTCACGACAACCTTGGGTGGACAGGGCATAGGACAACACGGTGGACACGATGGGCAGGGTCTAAGATATACCTAAAAGAATACCCAGTGTTATTTCAGAAATCAGGTGAGACATATTAGATAATTTTTAATAATTCTTTGACTAATATCATTAAAGTTTAAATTGATAATGATTTAAGGGCGTTACGAACCACAGTCTTTGTCGGACGGGGTGGACAACGGGGTGGGTATGCAGGTCTGCACTGTATACAGGGTGCGCAGGGCACACAGGGGATGTAAGCAGGTGTACAGGAACTGAAAGACGATGACGTAGACGATCCGCAGCATCCACTTGAATTTTTAAGTATTTTCAAATACATCAATGAACATGATTGGAAGTTTTATTGATAATCGATTTCTTTTAAGAGATTGTTATTAAGTAATTTTTTTTCGGTTTACCTTATCATCGCGCTTTTCGCGTAACACTGTTATCAATCTTTACGTATTTGAAATTTTACTTTGGAAAACTCGTGATTAAATTTTTAATTCGAAAGAGCGTTCTTCCACGTAAATTTTGGATACCGTGATATTTTTTTTTTACTTCAGTTTATATTACACGAAATAAAATTTTCCCTGGAATTTGGAAACTGCGACTTTCCCCGGCTAAGGGCAATTTCCAAATTCGATCGTTCGTTGTCTCAATATTACCATAGCAATGTCGAAGTTCAATGATTGGTCGGATATAGATTGATAAATTAAATAGAAATGACAAACAAGTCTCTCGAGCTCGATTAACAATTTACAGTCGCCGTTTCGAAAACTTAGAATTTTATTTACATAATGAATCGTTATATATTTTTCTTCATCCAAATTATACACTCTAGGGACGATATTATAATTCTAAGCCAAACCTTATGTGCTAAGATCGTTCATACATTAACAAATTTGAATACTATTCAAGTGGATGAAAATAAGTCAGATTTTAGAATCAGTTTACACATCGTGACGTGACTTCCACTATTTGAAAGCACAACGTCCGTTTTAATGATTCTAGTAGACATACAGCAGGCTAGCATTATTATTTCCATAAATTTAGACAAATTTAAATTGTCAGAAAGTCTTGGATGTTATGCGAACTTAATGCAAGTCCAGAGACTCTATTTTATTTTTATAGACGTTGAATTACAATTAACCATGGAATTTATATCTTGCGATGGATATATATATATATATGTTCAAATATGTAGACGCCATTTAAAATACACCATCAATATGGTTAACGGAAATAGAGGTATCAAATAATGTAATTCATACAATATAGTTTTTTTTTTTTTTCGGAAGTGCCATGCGTTATGCTTACCAAAGTTAAAATATTTGTAGTGAGCTTATATAAAAACAAAAACTATTTGTATAATTATCTACGAATAAAAGCTATATTACTATTTTAAATACCTAATATAAAAATCTAGTGCGCTATGGCTTCCGTGTGTGCCAATAGGAAATCCTTATAATAATCTAATACAAAATATTACGTCATCAGTATCACCTGAGATGATATTTCGACTTGTTGCTTTACTTTTTCTTTCATTGCCAAAATATCGAGTTGTTTGAATACAAATAACCTAAACATACCAATTTCTCTTGCTATCTACGGTTTATGCGCAGATTAATTGAAAAAAAAAAAATTTATCTCGAAAATCAATTTGTACGATCAATATCAGTTGATAGATTAATCTTCCGTTATTCAGAATATTAGTTTTGTATAATGTTGATACACTATATGCCACTCATGAATGAAACGGCGCTTGTGAGTATCGTGGACAAAGATACTGTTCCTATTTGATATTGTACGAACAAAGTGTTTCAACGACAATTACTGCACACCTTCCTTTTTTTCTACTTACAAATCTTAGGTCAATTATATTATTTATTCTAACTTGACAGATCCCAGTGCAGCTATTGTTGGCGACTTGAGCTCCGAGCGCAGACTAATCCTCATGTGTTTTAGCAAAGTGTACTTCTTCCTAACTGCTTGATATTTACTTTTATCAGCGTTTACAATGATCCCAGCTATAGCTCGTACTACAGGTATCAGGTCTTCTTTGTTGTAGGTGCTATAATGCACTAAAGTGTTTGTCCAGATGGATTTATTTTCATCCGCATCGTTAGTACCAATGACACTGTGGATTAAATAATTAGAATGAAAATAACGAACACTCTTTAGACGTACTATCAATGATAAACTTACAAAAATGCAAGATACATTGCTGCAGCTGCGATAAGACTCGGTGGATAATGACACATTTCGTATGTGACCAGACACTGCTCCAAAAAGTACTTTGCCATCGTGTGATGAAGAGGAAGGGCCTATTTTTTAAATTATGGTATTAATGTTTGATGTGACTGTTTATTGTAGAAAGCGTAGAACAATATATTTGCATACTTTTCCAGCTTTGCTGTATCTTCTGAGGAAATGAAGTGGCAATGGTCGTCCTAAAGAGTAATCGAGTGTCCGTATAATTAAGATTTCCATCTGCAGTATCTCAGCTTTCGTGTAAGCATTGTCCGTTATATATACAAAATCGCTTATATCAGGCGAATACATTTCTTCGTATTTACTCGCTATAAACATTGCTGCAACACCTACCAGTTGAAGTCTTTTCCGGTCTATCGACCTGTACGACTATTAAATTAATAAGAGAAGTATGTTAATACAAATTGTAGATGATGGGATTAAGATGACAGATACAAGGCTAATTGGAATAGTTCTTAAAAATTGCGAATGTACCTGCAGAAACCGATCAATTATTGCGACAGTCAAATAAAGCGTTTCTTGCATAAGGTGAAATTGCTGATGTACATCAACAAGCCAGTCAATAAGTACACCTCTCATTTTTGGAGAAACTTCTTGTCCCGCAAGGAAATCCTTTTCCACGGGAAACTGTTTCTCTAACGTTCTTAAATAAGCATATATGTTATTGCTATAAATAGACACCAACATGGGATTTTCCTTATCCTCCTCGTCAATGTCCTCCACAGCCAGCAAGTCTGACGAGAATGATTCCACTTCCTTTTTGATTTGTGGAGGATTCGAGATGACATTGTTTGTTGTAGAAGTTAAATTCTTCAATACTGGTTTAACAATTTGCACTCGTGGCTTTTCTGTTACTTTGTCAGCAAGTTTCTGATGTTGATTAACAATAGGTTTCTTTTGCACCTTTGACAATAATAGCGATTGACCTTTTGCTTCGACTCCTTTTAAAGTATTCACTTTATTGCCAATTTCTCCCAAAGCAGCTCTTTTAGTCTGTATTGAAGTAGCAGTTGTTGATTTTACATTTCTTACATTTTCTTGATTAATTGCATTCTGAAACAAAGCAATAATAATACTTAATACCCATATTAAGACTAGCCATTCAAGGCATATTTATCTCAACTCATTGTTCACTGTTATTTGTTTATAGATCATACAGACACCCTCAATCTAAACGAAGAATTTGAACACCATGATACATAAGCATTCAAAATATAGGCCTACATTTTTTTTTCCAATTAAGCCTATCATTTTGCAAAATTTAAAACAAACAATTACAATAATTTACGCGATCAATGTTAAACTTCAATTATATATGATTCTCATTATTTAATAATTTTCAAATCAGAATAGAGTACATATAACAATCAAAATGGTGTACAAAGAACGCGTTGCGCTAAAAGAAAAACGAGCACAAGAATATTTATACCAAGCAGATATTTAATATATTATAAGATAATCTTATAAACGTCTAATTAGTTAAAAAATATAAGCGAAATATGGTGTGGAGGATGTAAATCCTGGGCAACCAACCGTCTCTTCGTCACGCATATTCGCTTATATTTAGCTAAAGAAAAAATATAAATACATAAAGATTATCCAACTAATATAGACATAAATCTCTAAAAGCAGATAATCAATAGTTAATAAAAATAACTTAATAAATGAACGAGAGTCATAGGACGTCTGGAAATCAGATTCGTTTAAAGGAAGGGCCGAGGGTATTTAAACGGACCATTCGGACCGTTACGCTGCTTCCCTCCATCACATTGACCCGAGACTCGATGCTATCGGCAAGATGAATTTCTAACTCACCGTAACGGCAATCCGATTTCTTAACGCCATTGTCGATTTAATTCTTGTGTCACTGAAGATTACAATAATCCAAATTAAAAATTACTTTTCCTCCAGCCAAGAGTCTTAGCTTTTTTTGCGGATTGCCAAACACAGCACACACTTCGCTGTAACGACTCTTGACGGTTTGAAATTGTTTGCCCGGTCGCCGGAAGTCTGGTTGTTACAGATGGCCAGTCGAGTGTGGCGGGGAGAACCGTGGAATTATCCGTCAATACGATTGGCTCCTTCGTTTATCTTATGTTTAACCGAAACTAATTTATTTTATTCTTTTTTTTGCGCTCTTGGACCTTTAAATATACTGTACCGATAAAAATTGATTAGGGATGCTTATTAAAAAAATATAAACTGTTAATTTGCGTGGATTTTAAAAATGTCGTTGAACATCGTGCCTGATCGTGTCCTTCTCTTTTCTTTTCATTCGCCCCACTACTGGCTGCTAAGGGGCGCGGAATGTGATGTATGGGTATATATATTTATATATACGTTTATGTACAGAATTATCATTTCTAAGTAACTGTCATGATTGTCCTTTACGATTGTTCTTATTTTTTATATAAATAAGATATTGTCAGGTACGCATAGAGTGTGATTTGTGAATTTTTATACATGTAAAATCAAATTACTTGAGAATTGTTGTAAAATAGAGAACTGTCAAACTGTGTATGCTGACTGAAGGGGTATTTTGACAAGTCTGATTTTTGCGTTTTGAATTAACGAAGTATAAGTCTAGTTTATATGGTTTGTTTATAGCTGACAATATTTATGGTATGAATTATTTATGCCGATAGAAAAGAATCGGACATAAATGCTATAGCGAACAGCAGTCATAGAAGTTAAGATGTCGATTAATGTGGATATAAGGTTGAAGCGTGCTAGTAAAATTTATCATGAAGGAGTAAGTCGTGCGTTTATATATCTTGTACATTTATTATATTTTTTGCAGCATACTAATTGACAATGTTTTAGGAAATTGTAGCTGGTCTGATTATATTACAAACAAATTCGGATATTAAGCATGATGGTATCTTTCTTACAATGGAAGGTTCTGTAAACTTACAGCTGAGCTCCAAAAATGTTGGCATATTTGAAGCATTCTACAACTCTGTTAAGGTGTGCAAGGCAAAAATTAGATTAGACTTCTTAAAATGGACTAGATGTTTTCAATGTTTAATCTGTTTTCAGCCTATTCAGTTGGTTCAATATACTTTGGATGTTGCACCATTGGGGAAGATACCAAGTGGCAGAATAGAAATACCCTTTGAATTACCACTGAAACCCCGTGGAAGCAAATCTCTCTATCAAACTTATCACGGGGTTTTTGTAAATGTGCAATATTTAATTCGCTGTGACATAAAGCGAAGTTTCCTTGCGAAAGATGTCAGTAAATCATTGGAATTCATTGTAGAAGATAAACCAAACCCTAAGGTTGAAAAGGAACAAAATAAAATTGTCTTGTTCAAAATAATGCCAGAATCACTTCAAAATGCAAGAGACAGAGCTAACTTGCCGTCATTCCTCATTTCCGGAAGACTTGATTCATTGTATTGTAATTTATCAGAACCATTAACAGGAGAGGTAAAAGCCTTAATTATTTTTTTACGTGAATTGAAAAATCATTTAATATTCATCCTTACATTAATATTTCGAATGTCATATTAAATAGGTTATTATCGAGAAATGTGAAGCTACGATAAAATCCATTGAACTCCAACTAGTGAGAGTGGAGACTTGTGGTTGCGCTGAAGGTTATTCCAGAGATGGTGAATATACAGTATAAGCATGACAATGCAAATAGAATTTATTTTATATTCTTATTTATCATATTTTATTCACAGCGACAGAAATACAAAATATACAAATTGGTGAAGGAAATGTATGTACAGGAATCGGTATACCAATTTACATGATATTTCCACGACTCTTTACCTGCCCTACTCTAAGCACAAGCAATTTCAAAGTTGGTAAGATACTATTTAACAAGATATATCAAACGAATAAACTGCATGATAGCAAAGATCAGCATAAATAAATTATTTTGTTCTTTCAGAGTTCGAAGTTAATCTAATTATTGTGTTCGCGGATGACTACCTCGTGACAGAAAATTTTCCCATTGTTCTCAATAGACATTAAAGGTAAGGTGATGTGCTCTTATAAGAAATCAACACACGTTTCATGTTTTAAATAGTATATTGATAAAACTTGGTTGGATACGTATGAGTATATTGTAGGTTTTAGTGTTTGGGTTCTCAGGTCAATTACACAGAATACCTAGACACCAAAAACCATTACACAACATGCTCAGACGATAAGGAACGAATAGGAATAGTTATGTAGATAACAAAAACTATGTCTAGGGATAGGTACCTTGGAGAGTTTTATAATAAATATACGTGTTAGCAATTTATCTATTTTAAAGTTCATATGAATTTTTATAAGTCTACCTGATAATGTTACCTAATTTTAGGGTTTCTTAAATTTGATTACATCTGTGGTATTTTTTAATACAATGTTTATATACATACTATCAATAAACAAAAGGTATTACACATATGATATTTATCATAGAAGTGTACCTTTAACATGATTTTAATAAAACGATACAATGTTCAGTAAACGAACGTGTATTGGTATATGACATGCAGCAAATATCTTGAAATATATTTCATAATAAAAAAAAAGTATTATATTCATGCAGAGCCACGATTTCATTTGAATTATTATAGATCAGGTGGAATATTTTCGTATTGTCTCAGTCAAATCCAGCTTTCTGAACAAAAAGTCTATAATATTTCTCAACGTGTTTGTTATGTGTCAGTCCAACCGATGTTAGCAACACAATGTAGCCAAGTACAAAAGTTAATAACTTGTGTCGTCCAAACCATGCCATGAGACCTCTTCTATCCGTGCTCCTGAAGTTATAACAAAGTATTTTTTTTATGTTTCGATGCAAAGTAAACTTCCATAAGAAACTAGTCGAACAGTATTTTGTTGACATCCAGATCAAATAAGATTAAATTATAAAGCTTTGCCTTACCTTGGTGCTCGGAAGTCTTGACTGTATACTAGAAGATAGCGAATTCGTACAAGCTCACTGTTTATAACCAAATAATATTTATTTGGAACTTTGCCTCCGGCAGAATCGACCACCCTATTTCTTGAGGTATCACCTACACAATTTATAGGAAAAGTTTACTTCGATTAATTATAATAGGCCTATAATTTTATTTATATAAATATTAATGTATGCATGCACCTGAATTTCCTTGCTTCACGTCAGGATGATTGATGAGTTCACAGAGTGCAACGCAGCTGAGTTCACTGCCTAGGACACTTCCACCCCATCCATAGCCAACAGGGCTATATGGTAAACTTACTCCTAATTCGCTTGATAGATATATTCCTTTACCGAAGAGTGCAGTCTGCATAATTGAGATATTTTGTTATATTCTTAATAATAACTGAACAAAGTTGTTTATAATATGCAAAAATCTACAATAATTAATACACTGTCCAATACATTTAATATACTGACTGTGAAACTATATCAAAACACGTTTTTACATTACCTTGCACATGTTCTGCTGCAAACCGTAATGTATTATGGAGTGGAAATTTTCTAAACGGCTACCGTGATACGCATAAAAAGTTGAATGACCTTGTGCTGCATTTTTCCATTTCTCTTCTGACGTGGATTGCTTGGCACTTGCAATTTGGAATATCAAATTTGGTGGTGTAGCTTTCATTTCTGATGGTACTTTTTGCAAAACCGATTCAAACTGAAAATATTAGATATCATTAGCATTAATAATCTATAGAACTGATAAGTTTTACTGACTTCAAGTGATTGTGTTTAAGAAGACTTACACAGTCTTTATTTACACTTTTGATATATGGATCCCTTAATCTTATAAGAACCCAATATAATAAATCAATAGTTGTTCCATAATTAGAGTAAGCATTAGGTTCATGTAGTTCTTGATAAATAATAGTCAGTGGTGGAACTATCTCAATAGCCTTTCTCTGCAAAATATTTGTTTACTATATAACAGTGTAAACCAAGCAACTCCAAACAATCTATTTCACATTATTTTCAGAATTATACCAAAGCTTCAATATCCTTGCATTCGTTGACTATGTACATTGGCGGGAATGGTTTTAAACAAGAATCAAATCGATAGCTATGGCATGCTGCTATAAAAAGTGACCATTTTAGGTCAGCAGCTTTAAGATCCTTTTGGAATAAATGCTTGAGTGACGATATCTTCTTATCCGAATCCTCCTGCGTCACTGAAGATTTCATTCCATGTGTAGTAGATTCTAAATGAAGTTCTGATGTTTGTATTAAACTTTTGTCATCGTCAATCTCTTTATAATTCTGAGCATCCATTTCATTTTTCTCACACGCTTGAGTATTTTCTTCTACGCAGACCATTTTTTCCCAAGAAATTATACCTACATTTATATATTCAAGGTATCAACTTCAAAATATTTGAATTGCTTATGTCAAATCATAACAATATTTGAATAAAGCCAAATGCCCCAAGCTATGTTGGTTTTATCAAAAGCAAACTGCACATAATTTAATCCCAGTAACGGTACCAAAAAAGCTTATTTTATTATACAACTTTACTTATAATTGCTTAAATTTGAGGTTGCTTATGATACAATAAGAAACAACACATCTCGTATGGACGTAAACACAAGACTGACGTATCTCAATCTGACCATTACAGTCCCAACTTTTGCACAGAATAGCGTAGCATCTTCCGTCTAAATAGTTTAACATACGTTTACCACTCTTGACTTACAACACTAGTTAATAGAACTAAGTAAATATCAGTTAATGGAAGTATACGATGATATCTGCTAGTGAATATGTCACGTCAGGTGACGAGCTTTGAACGTGTAATCTGAATATGTAGATTAACGATATGATTTCATTATCAAAAGAAATACAAAAATATAAAAGAATCCTGATTAGAGTAAGAAATCATAATCTTACATAAAATAGCATCGGCATCAACAATTCATGAGAATTTAAAAAAATCAATATATATTGCTCAATGTGTGTTGTATTGTATTTATCGACAGAGTATATCAAGTGATGAAGTGTAAATTAATAACGTTCAATGACGCCAATTTATCGCGCGATGTAATATAATATAGAAGTACATCCTTTAAAAATGTTTATACTTTTTTACGTCAATTCAGAGTCAATTCTACAAGAACATTTGAATGGATGCATAAATCATAGAATTCTTGAGTAATCGAGTCCTTTTCAAAACGACCTCACGGCGAGCCAATAGGAGAGTGTTTTACTAGATCTAGTAAAGTCGTTCGGCCAATAGCAGCTAAGCTATCATATTCAAAAACTTCCTTAGTACATACGTATATTTTTCTCAAACGAAGTAGACGTGAATTGTGGAAGGTGTAAATTTTAACTCCGATTATATGGTAATTAAATATTAATGACTAGCAGTAATACAATATTAAATACATACCTAATTCAGTATTTTATACAACTGATTATTCAAAGGAGTATTTATAGCCCGTTATATAAAATAAACCTCACTTATTAGGCCAGCGACAGCCTGAAAGGGAGAAGAGTATTTGATATTTAATGTCTTAATCAGTTTCTTTTTTCCCTTTATATTTGCTTGAAACAGGCGCTTTGTTTATAAGAAAACGTCAAAACTAGAGTTAATGCACAATTCGTATCTTACATGGAATAATATGATTTATCATTTCACAGCAGAGACACAGATCATTGCTCGCACATACGTGATACGTTTAATGGGACAAACACATTAATTACAAGAAATTTATCTCAAAATCTGAAACATTTTTCTAATAGGTTCGTTGTCGTACGTAGAAAATGTCTAGCATTTGTTTCCGCGACGTTACCGTTTTGTTTTCATTGCTTTTGTCATAATAAAAAGAAAGGAGTTTGCGCAACGTACGTAGCATAAAGATAATACAGAGCTGACACAAGCACAATACTATTTTCTTTCTTTCACAACGTAAATATTATAATCAGATTTCAAAGAGTATACACAACATCACGTAAATAGTGAATTTCATCTTCAAGATTTTCATCACTGCTCGCTTCGAAAGGGCAAGCAGGAACGGAGAAAGAGAAAGAGAGACGAAGAAACAGAAGAATGCGAGTGGACGAGAAAGAGAAGACCGGCCAAGAGGAAGAGTGAGAGAATAAGAAGAGAAGAGCATGCGAAAGAAAAGAGAGGAAGAAGATCTGCGGCTGATATTCTCGAAGTTACGTTCGAGTAATAACGTGGGAGTTCGTCGCTTCTATTATGAAAGTATTATTAGGAGTGTGAAAGAAAGGAAAAACCAAAGGATCGTTAAGTTATGGAATGCTTTCTTCCGTAGAGAGAAGATTCTGTAAGATCGACCGGCCGGTTGTTTCGCTTCCCAGGGATTTTGTCGAGTGAAAAGTTGGCAGCAATGCACTTCAATGTCATGCTTCAAGGTAAACTATCGATGACGTCAGTGTACGTCACTTAACAAGTGGGAGTGGATGGATGGATGTCTGCATCCGCGGTGGTTTTCGCGAATCGCACTCGGAATCTGCAGAAAGCCCGACTGTGTCGAGGCGAGGATGTTACGGGTTTCCTAGCGATGTAGTGCCGTGAAGAGTGGCGTTGATTCGCACGTGTTTTCGCGATACGTGGAAAATCACCGAAATCTGTTTGCGCATGCCCGCGCCCGATGACGTCATGAAAATTGTGGTTTTGATCAAGCTCGTTCAGTTTTTTTTTCAACAATAATGTTGCTGTGCGAAGTTAAATAATTAGTGGACAACAGGGGGAACCGAGGCCCGAGAACCGAGGCTCCACCGGTGAAAATCGTGAGTACCATCGAACTATTAACGCGCTACGTCGCCTTTTCAAAAACTCATCCGCAAGGGTACAGTCTGTTCGACATGGCCTTCACACATGCATATGACATTGAGTTTCGTTTTCAAAAAAAAATTATTCACCTGCATAATGATTTTATTGACGATGCGTTTGACTATTGGAAGGGATGTTAGACCCGCAGTGGATTTTATCGAGATTTCAGTATTCTGTCTTATGGTTTTCGCGGAGACGGTAACTAACGTTCCTCGTCCCTTCTTGCGGATATATTGATCTTGTTTGCAGCAAGTATGGAACCAAATGTCGAGAGTTTACATTACGTGATCTTTTGTGGCTTCACGAGGGGGTTGGATCGATCTTCTATCTGAGAGATTACTTGGGGAAATAATCTTAGCTCCATTGCGAGCTTTGCAGTTGTAGTTAAAAAATTGTTTTATCGCTTTTGAATTTAATCAATACTGTTTTTCCCACTTTTTTATGGGGAGATGTTTCTTCATATTTTCAATCCAATGCGTTTGTGATATGTTGTTTCTTCTGTTTTGTTTATGCTTTACTACTTCTTAGGAATAATAGTCTATAATGTGAGTCTGATGAGAATCTCGAGGTATCTATACTGATCATTCGCTGCGAACCGAACAAGAATCTTTTGAGTTAAGATCTGATTTGAAATATGCAACGTTTGTAGTATCAATTAATGTCGTAATTTATTATGCTTGCTTTTGCTATTTCACTAAACCTGAATCAGTTAGGTTAGATGTCGAGTATTGTGGGGTACGACTATTATGCACTTAGTTATTATACGGTTTAAACCATTCTGCATATGATGCTGATAAAAACTTCCTTAGGTTTAGTAATTATACCAAGTTTATATATTACAATATTATATTATTACGTTAGTTAATATATTGAAGTAATAATCTTGCTAAAGAATATCGAGACGCAATAGAACACTTTTTTAAATTGTATATACAATCAATTATATTTTTAATAACAATAGAGCAAATTCTACTCCTCATTGTACATGTATAATTTATATAACATTAACAGTAACACAGAACAGTTGACCATCATGTTTACATATAGAATATTAAATTGTTCCTTGATTTTAATGTCAGTTCTTTTCCTCTCTTGACCGACAGCATTGAACTATTATGGCTGATGTACCGAAGGTAGTTTAAACAGCTGCATCATTATCTTAAAGTAATAATTGCTTTAGCCTTTGTTGAACCTGGATTCCTCTTTGTTATAACAGATACATGATGATAAAAATTGAGACTATTACATAAAAAATATCAATATTTTTTATTCTACTTTGAGAGCAATGTAAATTATCCCAATAAATCTATATCTAAAATTGATGGTAACATTTAAAAAATCTCTAACCCACACAGCATTATTGCGTAAAGCAATGCAAAATGAAGCAAGTAACAATATTTTCTGTCGCAATGAATTTTCCTCAAGATAACATAAGAAATACCAAACATGAAACATAAAGCCTCTCGTATGTAAATATATGATATCTCATTGGATGTATATCTAGCGAAAATAATTATATCCAGTATAACATCAATTGAGAATGAATGCATTCAAAAACTATTTTGTTTGCTTGTTTTTTGTCCTTGATGTTAGGCTTATGGGTTTGGGGAGTCTTGTGATTTCTCATCCGATAACGCCATCTACGCATTGGATTTATTTATCTCGCGAAATTCAGTCGGTAACATGGAAAACTTTACGTTCCACCGGGATAACCGTAACATTTCGTCGTTACGAATTTTCGACGCGGACCAAGAGGAACGAATATATTAAATACTATACTTATTATACCCATTGTAATTCTTCTGGTTCTTTGGAGATTTACAATTTATATCTATATGTAAATCAAGGTGAGAGTTTGTTTGCATTTATATACAGCGACACTGTCTGATGTTAATGCCGCAATTGTTTACTCTGACGAAGAACAAGATTTCAATAGAAACTGACAATTATGTCGAAGAATGTCAATTACGAGTGGAATTATGATCATTATATTGTTTAAACAATATCTTATATTGCAAGACGCCCTGCGCGAAGTCACGACGAACTATCGTTATAACCTGCAACAAAATTTTCGAACATTTTCAATAAATAACATTACACCCATTTTAGTTATCAGTTATGTACGAGATAATTAGAGTCCATTGTTAAAATTTATAAAAAAAATTTGATTCCTTAACAAAAATCATAAATCGCGTACATTCATTGCCTCACTATTCACGTATAATTTCCATTGCCAAATGTTTCGTTAGGCTCGAATCCAAATTTGATTTCGGTTGCACTCTATCGGCAGAAAAAGCGTTTCTCCCGCGGTTGACGTTTCACACGTATTTCCAATAAATGCCTGAAAGATTTCACTTCGGACGAATAAAGAATGTATCTCGCAGTATCGATTTTCTGCTTCGCGGAAACGAGAGCGACGTCGAGCAATGTGCTTGCGCGGAAAAAAGCTCAATTTTTTTTTTTTATTTCAGTCTTCTTCAAATAATGCGAAGAAAAAAAAAGCATATACCGGATGCTGACAGCATCCTCCAACCATACGTAATACCCGTCAATAAGGATATATCAATATTCATATATAAGCATTGACATTTTTTGTCTGAACATAGCGCATCCAAAATTTAATCCTGCTTTAACTAGTTTTTTTTTTTTTTTTTTTTTTTTT